ATGTATATGTATACAACATGCAAAGAGGATACATGTAATGGTTCATGTGTTAACTACGACTGAATCTAAGTTGAAATACTCCAGGAGGTAAGTCTCTTTCAATCTTTCTGTTTGTCAAAGTTTAAGTGCCAGGCCCACAACAACCCACACTCTTCCACTCCCCTTGTCTTAAACTTTCCACAATATGGCATAACACTTATCTATCTCCATGGAGACAATTAGATGATGCCAAAAGGCCAAGTTGGTTAAGTTAGTTGAGGTATTATTTTTTTATTTGTTTATTTTTCAACAAAAGCAGTTCCAATTGAATAAATGCAAGATAGATAAGTTTTATATCATCCTGTGGAACAGTCCTGCAAAGAAATTTTCAAGAAACAAACGGATTGTGGACTCTCTATCCCAAAACAATAGGGCATAGTGCACTATCAAGACTTTAAAACAAAAAATACACAATGTGTCTTAATTACCATAATACAAATTGTGGATTTAACAAAGTGAAATGCTACCCATTTTCAAAGCAAAAAGCCAGAGTCCGCAGAAAGAGTCCATATTTAGCCTTAATGCCACCCGTGATCAGAGAGGTCCTGTATCACGGTAAGGCCTCATGCTGGGTTCAGACGTCACTTGTTTTTAATTCTCTACTATGGTTCTTTTCTCTGTTGTTTTTTTTTTTTTTTTAGAAAAAAACACCTGTACAATAAAAGCATTTTAAAACATAGTAAGCATTTTCTTCAAAAAAAAAAAAAAGTCTTTTGCACTGGGAAGACTGCTTGCCTCACTGATAATACTCCTTCGATCATTACTCTGATATTCTGAGAACTTGGTTTTAAAATGCGCAACTCCACAAAGGTTAAAAGAAAAGTTGAGGTGGGCAGTACTCTGTAACACTGACAGATAAAAACAACCTACCACATACAAAAACTTTCCAGACTTTGGATTTTGATTGGATAAGTTTTAGTAATGAATGTAAAAGGCACATATTGTTTGGTTAAGGTTCATAACTACAACGCCTAAGTCCTTGGAGGATCTATATTTGAGCGGACCTGCACCAAAGGGTGACTGTCTTGTGTTGCACAATATGTACAATCAGTGCAGGATGATGGCGTATGACAATATCAGGCTTTTATTCCAAACCACTGACGAGACGTGTAAAACAGGAAGGCTGACCTCCAACAACCGATGGTACATCTGAGGACACGCCCCTTGGTGCGCTGCACCAACCAATCACAACACAGATAACAGTAATCACTGGATGGCAATATAAGATAACACTTGGTAGGTTATAAGGATATTCTGTGAGAATATTACATTCCCCTTCTTTTGAAAAATTTACATGCAGTATAGTTCTGGCTGAAATATCTCAATAAATCAAATTAGTCTCTACAACACAACAATATACTGTAAATCAAAACACTTGTGCATTCCTTCAACACACATACTGCAACCAGTGCAAAATATTCAAATTCAGATAGCAGTAAACATAGACTTCTTAAATCAACATGCAATAAATGGAAATTTGCATTTCAAATTTTATCCCCCAAACTGTACACAATATGAGAATTTCACATGAGCAAAACAACAACGTCCACATTGATTTTTTTTTTTCTCAAACTGCAGATAATCACTGATATTTAAAGGCATTTCTGTGTCATGAAACCACTCCGTGTGCAACTTTACCTACAGGTCCAATACACTTCTAGGTTTGACTGTACATCCATTCCTGGTCTGATACAGAACAGTCACAGTGGGAGGTGTGGTGTCACCTGTGACACCTGTTGCCTGTGGGGCATGATGTGGTGCGGTGCAGTGATCATCAGATATTACCTCATCACTGTGTGTCTCACCCCCATATTCCATCACATTCGGAACGGTAGCGATTTTCGCCGTCCGCCAATTAGATCCGTATGTGAGGTGCATTTCCTGGCAGATTACAGACAGCGGGAATCGCGAGAACTCACAAGAACCCGTGGATTCACAAGCAATCGCACGATAATGAGTTGTTTCTATAGGGACAGCCACATAACCATATAAGCAGTAGATTGTGTGCTTCCAATGGAGGAAATCCCTTCTTGATTTCTAGAATCAGCATCTCCTCATCCATGGTGTTATTTTGTGGTAAAATGCTGTCTATAAACCTTTCACTTGTTCGTCCCCGCCCGTTTGCATGGTACAATCTGCCTGAAACACGTAGGGCTCTATTTTCATGCCTCGCTGGTGGCGTGGCGTAGGCGCGGCATTAGTCAGGTCCACTGCGCCGACAAGGTGTTCCCAAGCACATTTTGGGATTTTGGTGAGCAGCGCAGCCCGGTGTAAGTATCCCCCCTCCCTAACTCAGCTCCTCCCAGCGACGTAAGTCGTAGAGAGGGAGGAGAGAGGGCGTAGAGTGGCTTTAACACAGCCGAGACTTGTTTTTGCCAATCACATGAGCTCCTCTCTTCACCTTTAAATCTGTAAAGTAAATAACTCATCTGATCACTGAAACAAATCATCTGTTCAGCCGCCACTGCAGCAGCAGCTGCAGCAGGACGGGGAGAGGACACAGAGACATGTCCAGGTCGAGCTGCGCGAGAAATAAGAGGAAGAGGAAGAAAGAAAAGGAGGGAGACGAATTACATATCTTGTTAACTTCATCATGTGTGTCTATTTACTTAATATTTAATTTAATTTAATGCGGTTTCAGCTGTGTTAATTCGGTCAGGTTGAGTGTCCAAACATGTGCCAAACGCGCTCATCACATCAGATATAGATCAGAATATATCTATAGATCTAAATGTATGTGCTGACTCAGAATATTAGTTGTTGTTGATTATTTATTGCACTGAAATGTGCCTGACACTGTGGAAACCTGCTGGTGAGGCATCGGTGACATATGCCGATACGTCGCCTGTATACCAAAATACCACTAGACTAGCTGCACTCCGCCTGCACTGAAAGCTGACCAGGTTTGAATCTGCGAGCTTTTAGTGCACTTTATACACCACCGGCGAGCACGAAAATGTCACTGCGCCAGTTGATTCTGTTGACACCTCCCCCTGCCACGCCACCATGCCCAGCTTGGTGGACCTCGGTGCGCCTCAGTCCACGAAAATACCAAACTGGCTGTGCACCGGGCTCCACCAGACGAAAATACCACTGCACGGGGTCCGCCACTGTCCGCCGCTTCGCCTGCGGACACGAAAATAGAGCCCTATACTCCTTAATGACGAACTGATCCACTCTGCTACCACAATCAAACACATTAGAAATAAGAAAGCTGACAAAACTACATTGGAGTATCAGGGCCACATAGAGATTTTTAGAGATTAAAGTTGTAAACTTAGGAGAATAAAGTCATAAAGTAAATAAAGTCATAAAGCTGCTTTTGTGGAGGGGGAAATGGGTGGCGCTGGTCAACTGCAGGGTTATCGGTGGATGTATCAGTGGGTCATTCAGAGAGTTTTTGTGGTTTCTGAAGAAACAATAAAACTGATGATCAACATTTGTGATCCAGAGGGAGTCGAGCTCCGACGAGCACCCTTCTCTGACACCGGCGGTAACCTACACCTGCAGAGACACCAACGCCTTATTATGGCATATGGATTCATATCATAAACTAAAGCTCAATGCCATTCACAGATATTTACGGCTGCATTGACAGATTTATCCTCAGCATATTCATTTCTGCCTCCACAAAAGCAGCGATTTCCTCCAAGTCCACCTGTTTTTTTCCCCCGTGGAAAAGATGTATTTCTCATATATTCTTTTTAAAGTCTTTTTACTTGACTTTTATATATATACAGTATGTGTGTGTATATATATATATATATATATATATATATACACACACACACGTATATATATATATATGTGTGTGTGTGTTTTTATATATATATATATATATATATATATGTATGTATATGTATGTATCACTCTCAGTGTCACTCAGTGTTTTATTTAGACCTATTCTTTACCTCTTTGAGCTTGATGTCTAACAATGGGATTGGTAGGCCTTGCTGGCTAGCTACCTCCATGACTTTGCTGATCCAAATACACAGATACACATATTTTAATACATATGCATATTGTGTGCTACAAGTCAGATGTTTGAAAAGCTTTTTTTCTTAAATTTTTCAAATCATCAAACAGAATTTAAATATTAGCCAAGGACAACACAACTGAACACAAAATGCAGTTTTTAAATGAAGGTATTTATTATTAAGGGAGAAAAAAAATCCAAACCTACATGGCCCTGTGTGAAAAAGTGAATGTCCCCTAAACCTGATAAATGGTTGGGCCACCCTTAGCAGCAACAAGTGCAATCATGCGTTTGTGATAACTTGCAATGAGTCTTACAGCACTGTGGACAATTTTTGGCCCATTAATCATGATAGTGTATGCTTCTTAGAGTGACCCTTATCTGCAGTAGGATGCCTACCATGGTGGGGGGTGTGCACAAATAACCATGGTTACAGTAGACCATGTGTCTGTCAACAATCTGTGCTAACCCTGCTATAAAATAAAGTCACTTTTTTTTGCTGCATCAGCATGTGTCAAAAAAAAATATATAACCATCTGGATGAAATGTTCATTTAATCTGCTGGTCTCACAAGAGCATCTAAAGTCAATCCAATTATGTTATACAAAACCACATATCAGCAATATGGAGCACAGGCCCATGTATGTACAGTTGCGGCTTCTCAATTTCTGCAGTTACTGTAGAGCTTAAACACAAGAGCTACCACAGTCTGCATATTTGTAATGTATTTAAATAAATGCACTGATGTGATCAGGCTGGATGAACACCAAAAGAGGTTTTTGAACATGACAGTAAAAAGGAAATAATACTATTATTATTATTATGAAATCTATAATCACTAAAATAGTTCATAAAGGCAAACATTAGTCCATAAAATTAACCACAATACAGTTAAAGACGTGGTCGTGTCTATCAGCTCCTAATGATGTGTAAAGCTTTCTTGAATGCATATAACACAGCTCCACTAGCACGGCTATTGGAATTGTGAAGGAGAAACAATCATATCAAGTCATTAATAACATTAAAACAGCAGATATTACACTCAATGTTTGCAGTAGTGAAGTTGTAACTACTCTTATTTAGGCCTATAAAAAATAAACAATTAAAAGTTAGAATTTAATGCAAAATCAGATAACAAAGGTTTTTAGACTCTACTACTCAGTATGGCCAGCCCTACTTACTACTCTCTGTTTGTTGGCAGGATGACAGAAAGTATTTTAGAGCCCTAAGGGGCACAGAAGAAAGCTCCTTTCTTTGTCATGGCAATGCTCAAATACTTTAGGGTTGTTTCTCTCAGTTCAGAACCTTCCCAACCTAAAGGCCACAAGTGCATGTCCCCTTTAAAGTCAGCATTCCCCTTCATTCTGCATATTACTGTCCCTTTAACAGCCTGTTAGCCTCTGCTAATGAAGAGGGCCTGGGTTAGGAAGTGTGTTGTATTTAAAGTGTGTTTTTTGGTTTGAAATGTGTTTGTTATGTAGTGGGTATACTCAGAGTCTTTGTGCAGTTTGCCTGCAGAAAGTAGATAAAAAGTTCACTATCTTTCTGATATTGTTATGTTTGATGAATATGATATGAGTCTTGGAGAGAGGCAGCCATGTTGTCCAGTTTGTCATGATGACACAAGGAGGTGGGGCCTAAACTCTGATCACCATCAGCTGTGTGGAGACTGACATATTCTGCAAAATTCAGACACTGACGTTTAGTATGTTTATTGTTTTGATAGTCTATCAGTCAGCTTGGTTTTATTTTGGATGATCTTTATTTAAAACAAATGTTTTGAACACAGTAACAGTCTCCTGGAGAGCTTAAGGAGGAGGTCAGTACAGGAAGTGATGAAATGTGAAAAAGGAAGTGAACTGACAGGTCCTGCGGCTGCTGTGTGTGAAGAAACAAATATGAGTTTGTTACTGCTGCTGTGAGCAGATCTGAACTGTGGTCAGAGTGTCAACGCCTCACAGGAAACGCAAACAAACACAGTGCATGATGGGACAGAAGACGCTGCTGCTGCTCCTCTCTCTGCTTGCTGTTCTGGGTAAAATAAACTCCACACTTACAACTTTTTTCATTTGTTTTAGCACTGTGCATGTGTTTAAATGTTCTGAATGTTCAAAGTTCTTTCCAGTATTATCAGAGTGAATGTTTTTATCACAGTCTGCAACTGTTCCACTCTCTTTACATGATCCTCCTCTGTCCTCTTTACTGTGCTTTAAACTGTTGAGATGTAAAACCAAACTCAAAGTGCTTTAAGAGGATGGCTCAGACTCCTTACAGCTTTATATTTTCCAGGATTTCAGACAGTCTTTGAATGCACCAGCAGAGAGATCACCGAGCCCTCACTGTTTACACTTTTACCTGTTTGTTCAGGTGTTTATTCTCTTACCTAGGTCTAAACATCTGAACAAACTGCAGTTTGTCAGTCAGCCTTCAAAGAGTCCTCTCAGATTAGTCTTCATGCGTCTGACCTTAAATTATTGTATTGTTTCAGAGTGTTCAGATATAAAAGGCTGTTCTCTCTAATTTATTCATCAGAAGTTTGTCTGTGTGAAAGTTATGAGACACTTCGTGAAAAGTTGAAGCTGAGTCTGTGTTCAACTTCTGATTCAGTTTTTAAAGAGGTTCAAAGAGGAGATTCATGTGGACATCAAACTGTTCTTTTTGTGTCACTCATATGAAGATGTCCTGGGCACAGTAAATGTTCTTAAATCTTGCTGTAAGCAGACGCTGGGCCTTCAGTTTGAATGTGAGGTTTTAGATAGGATGGGGAGCCAAAGTTAGACAATTTTAGAAAAAAACGCCACATGCAGTGAACTCCAGAGTGATGTAAAACCATGAACACAACCAGGAAATAGTCACTCACAGACACTCTCTGCAGGACCTAAACGTGTCATTATTACCGCTCAGTTTTTCTGCAGTTTGAGCAGACAATAAAAGCTGAGAGCTGATTGGTGGATTTTAGTTCCTTTGATCAGAACCAGGCTAACTATTTCCACCCAGACTTCATGCTAAGCTTAGCTGACAACAGTTAATTGCAGCGCTGTACTTTCACACGAAAGCTCTGGTCAGAGTTCTGTGTGCTGATTGGCTGCTGTGCTGAGGTTGTGGGTAGAGTTCACTCTAATGAAAATGTTGTTGCCTTTAGCTTTTCTATTTTTTTGCACTGCTATTCAAGCTGACTGGAGAGTTTTTGAAGAGCTGATGGAATTTGAAGCTTCAATTTCATCAGTCATGTGACTTTCATCTTTGAAACAAGTCCTAATACTTAAGAGTGAAGCTGAGCAGTTCATTCAAGTAATACAGCCTTCACAGCGTCAGAGCTACAGAGCATCAGAGTTTCAGTATCATGTCCTCTCTGTCTTCACTATCTACTTGAACAGCTATTATTTAAGTGTCACACAGAGACCATACTTCAGTTTAGGCTAAAAATGTATGACTATTGTATGACAATGGACTGAATTATGCTGATTTTTTTTGCCTACCCCTAATTTAAAGACCTTGTTAAGACCATGCTTCAGCTTGTGGTTTTTAGCGATCAGGACATAAGGAGTGTTTGCACCTTGAATTAACCATGTTTACAGGTGATCAGCTCTCTCTCCCACTTCAGATGCAAACAAAAAGTTTTGACTATCTGACAGCCGCTGATGATGATCAGCTTAGTTTCTGCAGGCATCTGTACTGTCCTCCAGCTGGTGACTCTCAGATAAGCTAGAGTGATATTTACACACAAACCAGAGATGAAATCGAACACACCTCCTCCAGGCACGTCACAAGCCCCGCCCCCTTACCTGAACCTAAATGTGCATATTGAGTTGTGTGACACATATTTCCACTTGTAAATAATGAGTCTCTGTAAAAGCCAGGACCAGAAAGTCCTCACCTGCGTGAAGCTGGCCCCCCACCCCACGCAAAATTTCGTGAAAATAGTCTTCTTCGTTTGTGCTGTTACAATTTTTTGTTTGTGCTGCTATAGTTTTTAAGTTATCAAATATTGTTAATAGGTCATCGAGAGGTCACCCAGCCCCCTATTTGTTCTGAATGGACCCGAAATGGTGCCGATCTTTTTTTCTTCGTTTTTGCCGCTGTTGCCGAGAAGTATGCACCTCGCAGAAACGCGCACCACTGATAACATACCTGCCAACCCTCCCGTTTTCCCGGGACTCGCCCGTATTTCAGACTTATGTCCCGCCCACCTACCGTATTGTCTTTTCCCCCGGGAATCTCCCGTAGTTTGATGGTCCACGTTCATCCACGAATCAGATCACTATATTTGTCAAAAGTTGACGGGTTTCTTGACAACTGATGGTAGTCCAGTGCCTCTGCTGAGCCTCCGGGTTGATACTTTTACTTTACAATTTGGGATGATTCAACGCGGTTTAAGCTGTAACCTATATCTAAGCAGTGTTTGTTGCAAAATAAACACTCCAATGAAAGGGAAACAAATGTGAGATATAATATTTACGTTGATAGTCTTGCACAGTCTCGGAGTGATGCGTTCAGGGCAGCCTCAGACAAAAGAGTGCTGTTTTCTACGTACAGATGTTCAGAGAGCCTGATACGGAAGAGCATGTTAAAAATATGTGGACTTTAACACTAATATTAGTGGACTGAATAAGTTCAAAGCATATCGTAGCTATTATTTTTTTTATTACCATTTGTTATTGTTAAAACAAAACAAAAAAGTGTGCAGCTTCACTTTTACTTATTTGGATGAGCAATCTAATAACAAATACTCACAGACTTTCCCAAAGAATGGGTGGACTTTCCTGGTGTAATATCTCCAAAATATTTCTTGTTGTTGTCTCAATAGCTAATTAAGGGGTGGATGCATATTTCGGCAAACAGTAAAACAGCTGATATAAGGTTAATATTAAGCGTCTGCTGACTACACTATAACTTAACAAAGGAACTCTTTGATTCTAGTTGCTTGTTTACGTATTAGTGATGATATACGCTAAATACAATGGGTTCGATCAACAGAACACCCGAGAATCACACTTCAATTTATCATCATAATAATTTTAATTAATCATTATGGGGTTTGTGTTTTCATCACTGAAATAAAGTCACGCCAGTGAAACATTTAGGCTGATAAAACATCTCATCTCAAAGTCTATTCAACATAAATGACACAAAAGATATATACCTCCCTTTCGGATCATTACTGATCGTTGTTTAGCACCACAAATAAGAACTGTATGGGTTTTAAACTGAACATTTTCGCGGACCACTCTATTATAAGTGGTGCGCGTTTCTGCGAGGGACATACTTTTCGGCAACAGCGGCACAAACGAAGCACAAACAATCGGCACCATTTCGGGTCCATTCAGAACAAATAGGGGAATGGTTGACGTCATCGCCGAAAATAAAAATGTGTAATAACTTTAAAACCAAAGCAGCATAAACGAAAACGTTAACGGCACAAACGAAGTACGAACGAAGCAGACTATTTTCCCGAAATTTTGCGTGCGGTGGGGGTCCACTTTCACGCAGGTAAAGTACCCACATGTCTGGGTGAAGAGGTGAGGAGGATGATGAGTGACAGAGGCTGAAAAAAGACTCAGTTCCGTTTAATCAAAGAGATTTAACATGAGCGGCTGAGCTTTTACTAAAATTCACACAGCCATAGTCCAGTCAGATGTGTGTTGGAAATGGTTTCGGCGCAGCAGCAGATCAATGTGCTGGCTGTCTCAAAATATGAGTGCAGTACTGGTGCATGACAACAGGGGGCAACAGCAGAACTGGGAGTAACTAAGAATCTGTTCGTTAAATAGACTGCCTTTTTCAGAGGAAACATTTAAGGTGAGAGTGACCTTCTAAATCTGTCAAAGGGCAATGTTAATGTTTATTAATTTCTGGACTATTTCTGTTTCTCCACCTTTGAATGAAGTTTAGTATCAGAAAAACAATCAGAAAAAACCTTCACACCTTTTAATAAAAACTCTACCTGTGTGATTGATTATCAAAAATAACATCTTGTCATGACAAGAATCTTTTGCTTTTCCTTTTACTTCTTTCTTCAGTGTCGTAAAATTGTAGCTCCAACTTAGTGTTCATGTAATTGCGCTAATCAGACATGCCATCTCCGCAGAGATGGCATCAGCGTTGGGCTTCTACTATGGTCGCTCCATGCCTGGGTCTCCATACAACATCAGCAGGACTGACCCCAGAATCCAGAAGGTAGTCCTCGATGCCACTTTTACCTTCAACAACCAATCAAACGATGCCTACCTCTTTAAACCCTACGCCATCTACAGAGCACAGCGCCAGGTATGACACAGGAAACACATCAACCCATTTTTACAGCAAAAAGGTCAACGGAAATGTTGAGGGAAAAAAGTCTGTCACTGTCTCAATGTTTGAACCATAGACTGTAAATACAATGGACATTGTCTGCCTCCTAACTGGGTCAAGCGTCCATGATAATAGCACTCTCTAGCGATGGACTGCAGTATAGGTCATAAACCCTGCCTCCTCCAGCAAACTTAAAGCCGGGGGAGGCAGGATCTCAGAAGTGCCAGTTTTTGGGAGAAATTTTGAATGTATACACTACCCCTCCCTACCAGTTTTTCCCTTAGCTCCTCCTCTCCCCTCCCACGCTGCTCCAGTAGGCCCCGTCTACAACCAGACGCTCATTTTCGCTCCAACTCTCCGGCAATTTACTACCAGGCTAGTAAATTATCATTATCATCACCAATCACATTAGCAAAAACCTGAACAACTTTTGTCACAACAGAGTCAACAGTAGTAGTGATGCATAAAAGATGACACATAAGATAAAATAGAACAAATTTATTGGAAAATAATATCTAAATAATCTTGGTCAGATGTACACTTTGTAGGGCCTTTTATGGTGTACAAACTCCTTGCTCTGGACTTTCTGTTATACAGCTTGCTGTACATGAAATGAAGAGAAAGAGAGTGTGGTATGACTATGTTACTATGTTTCTAATCTTTATTCATACAACATCATTTTATAACAAGGTAGACGAATCACAGGCAGAAACCTCAAGCAGAACCAGACTCATGTTTGAAGGTTATCTACTGAGACTGAGCTGGGTTTTGAAAGGAAAAAGAGGGAAAAGGACAAAGAGAGAGATGGACAGAGAAGAGACTAATCGAGGGAGATCACAGACAAAATCTCGGTAGCAGCACACACCCCCCTTAGTAACACCTTTGTAAAAACTGTTGTTCAGGACTGTGCGCAACATGCTCACTCGTGCTTCCTACCTACTCAGCGACCGTGATAACTGTTGTTCTAGTCTACAAGCAACATTTTTGTTCTCATTCATGAAACGCTCAAATCAGGGACAGCTTTCACCGGGGACAGGTCATCTGATAGGGGGACTGTCCTCGGAAATCAGGGACATCTGGTCACCTTAAGTTAGAATGTCTGAAGCTAGTAAGTTATCATTATTGATAGATAGACATTGATAGAAATGGAGTGAGCTTGAAGTTGAAGCAGCTGGAAAGCAGGCAGGCCCACAGCAGCAGGACTGCCGCAGTGATCCAGAGGAACCTACGATATGACGGAGCTACATGATAGCAACAACTTTTGATCATGGGACGAATTCACATTAAACTAAACATTTCAAGTCAGTTGAATCAGGATCCTGCTGATTTGCTCTTAATTGATATTACATTAAACATTTCCATTAAAAGTAAGGTAAAACGAAGTGGATGTTACTCCTGCAGAAATACTATATTTATCTTGATATTTCTATCCTCATTCGACAGTGATAAACATTTAAACTGAAAAGGCAATATGTATGCCAACATTGAACACTGCTGCTTTTATCACTGCAGTTTTAAGTAACATTGTAGAGGGCAGCATCAGAGAGACACAATGCTACAGGACAGGATGCTTCACAATTGTTAATGTTCTATAGCCTTACAGTTAAGCGTGTGTGTGTGTGTGTGTGTGTGTGTGTGTGTGTGTGTGTGTGTGTGTGTGTGTGTGTGTGTGTGTGTGTGTGTGTGTGTGTGTGTTTTCAGGTTGTTAAAGGGGTACGGTACATCGTAGATTTTGAGATTTCAAGGACAGTCTGCCGTAAACGAGACAGCAACCACAATGACCTGCCCAACTGTGACTTTCAGCCTGAAGGTCGTCTGCACCAGGTGAGCACAGGCCGGTGTGCACTAATGTTTGCTATCATCGGAAACATGCTGATCCCGAAACCCGACCAGCTGTTGACCATCAACCCTAAAAACATACAGTCATCAGATGGGGCCAACTTGTATGATTTTTACATAGGGGGGTTAGATTAACAGTTTGAGACATTTAAAAGTATAGTCCTGCTGTTTGCTTGGTTGTTTTAGTGGCTGAGGCAAAATTGTAGGCTACTTTTGTTGACACTTGCCACACTGCACATGCAGCTTCTTGATAAGGTAGGCTGAAAATTTGTTTTTTTTATTAGGGACCCAAAAGGTTTTTGCACCTGCGCATAAGCATGTTTATTTCTGAAGCAAAACAGGACTTTATTTCATGAGGCCAAATTTTAAGTAACCCAATGTAGGGCACACCGTCTATTGGCCAGGGGAGGAACTGGAGGTTGATGCCTATTCTTGTGTCGAAGGTCTAAAAAATACAGTAGGAGTTTTTTTATTTTTTATTTTGCAGCCACTGAGGTTGCATCCTGCTGGTCATGTATAAAATTACATAATTTAGACAGATCTTTCACCTTTGTTCTGAACTCATGTTCATAGATTTTAATGTGTGTGTGTGTGTGTGTGTGTGTGTGTGTGTGTGTGTGTGTGTGTGTGTGTGTGTGTGTGTGTGTGTGTGTGTGTTTGGTTTTTTTTTTTCAGACTTTTCGTTGTCACTTGGAGGTTTGGGTGATTCCCTGGAGGAAAGAGAGCATCACTCAGGTGTTCTTTTGTCAATCTTAAAACCACCAGCTAACCACAGCATCCATTATCTGCACCCTGCATCCTCTGCTATCATCATCTCCATCCTCCAACAAATTCATCACGAACATCTTTACCGTAATCATCCCCCTTCATCAACCCTCTTCTGATCTCCCACCTCTGTACCACCCTGATGAGGTTCACCTGTTACACCAGAGCCCACCTGTCTGACCTGCTCTCTGTAACGCTAACAGTATAAAATCATACTATCATCCTCTGAATGTTTTTACTCATAGTTCAACATTTACTTCATATTAACATTCACTTCTTCTTACAGTAATGGGGAGATATGATGTGTGGCTCCACAAAAACATATAAACTGTGTGTTATCAAAACTAAGCAGAATATTTCTAGGGTTTTTACTACAAAAATGTAGAGGTAATAAATGAAGTATTAGGTATCCACAAAACTTTGTCATAGATTCTACAACAAAAGTGACCAAAAAATGTGTTTAACAGGATAAAATGAATAACTTTGAGCAACTATTCACAACAATGAAATCTAATGGGGTTTTTTTTGTTTGTTTGTTTGTTTTTTTTGTTTGTTTGTTTTTTTAATTCATATATTTACGCTGACTTCACTACTTGTCCTATACTTTATTATACAGTAAAAATACCTTTTAATAAAAATAATACTGCGGAGGCCATGCTAAAGCTAAATTTAGGATTTTTTATAGAATTGTGTATGTACTGGTAAAAGTCTTATTCATTTTATGTTTCCATTTATTTCGTTTTGCTTACAAACTCCCCTTAATGTATATCAATAATGAAAATAAAAAAGGTAAATAAAAACAATGTAGGTAAAAAAATTGGTGTCAACGAGAGACTGATAAACAGAAGAAGACCTGAGTCTGCAGGAGGGTGATAATATAAAGAAGCTCAGAAAGGTTTAGAGGTGAGAAGTTTGAGTACAAACATTTTCTCACAGAAATCAAGTCATAGTGAAGTCACGATAGAGGATCAAGTTGTAATGTTGGGGAATTCATGTCACAATACAAAAACCATATTGTCAAAATATGAAGAAATATTAAAAAAAAAAATGTATGTTGTGAGAATTAAGTGTTGATAAAGTGGTAGTATTGGTTTATTGTGAGCAGCCATCTGTCTTGACCAAAGTTACATAGTGCAGCAGATAGCCAGAACGATTGTGCATTTTGTGATAAAAGCATGAAATTTGTTACACTTATAGCCAAAGGTATTCCCAAAAGATTTGGATGTGGAGGCATCATGAGTTTTCAACATGGCGGTCATGGCAGCCATTTTTCAAAATGGCCGCCAGCAATAACTGTTTTCTTATGAAAGATGGATATAATATGGCATTTCAGACTTATTTGCCATACATAGTACTTGGTAAATGTCTTTAAGATAATTTAAAATTACTATTTTATATTCAGGATGGCTGACATTTTTCAAGATGGCAGCCAATCACAAGTCTGATATGGGTGATCTCTGTGTCAAACCAGTAACTGGTTAAAGTAAACCGGACTTTACAATTGGCCAGAAGCTTCCTTCTACCTCACAACTGGTGACCACAGTAGTCACACTATTGGTGACCTATGACCTCTGTTACTTTCAAGATGGCAGCCACATGGCTGAAATTTCAATTATATTTCAAGAATACTATAATGTATTTTGCTCGAATAAAGTCTAATGTGCAAAATGAAAACAACTGAATCATTTAATGAATAGAAATGTAAAAGAGTGGATGTCGAAACACAACCAGGGCACACTGGTGACACCACTGCTGTGTAACTCAGCATGGGGTTCAGTGCAAACTAACTACGCTCCTCTTAATAATGCCATTTTCTGTGTTGAATGTGCTAGTTGTGGTGATAGTTTAGTGGTAGTGTAGTTTAGTTTCTTAAATGCTATCTAATTTTAGCCTCACATCTACTTACTTTACATAATTAGATGTAGTTAGATAGCCGCACCTGAATGGACAGGATGTGCCAGCGCGGGAGAGCCGAGCCAAGGGTAACGGGGCTTTGTATGACTTTCATATAGTTACCCGGATGGCGTACAGATCGCACAGTTGAGCTCATAGGACTAGTTATTACAATCCCTTATATCAGCACTTGGAATTGAGTGTGGGGGGGGGGGGGGGGGGGGGTAAAAGCTTCACTGGGGTCTTCAGGTGGGCACCCCCCTTCACTGGTGTTTCATTGATAGGCCCACGACACCTCCAGGGGGCTCAACGGCGACACCTGGCGTCCCAGGTGTGCCCCCCTCTGCTTTTACCCCTAGGTGGTCATTTTGCAGCCCAGGTGGAGTCCTTTCTCTTGATCCAGAGCCATCTGCTGCTTCGTTCGGCAGCCTCTGATATTGATTTGATGGCTCGTCGGAAGGCCTGTCCTCGTACTCCCAATCTCTTCAGAAGCTTGGTTGTGGATGTTGCAACGAAGCCTCTGCACCCAACCTCCACCGGAAGCACCTGGGCCCTCCAGCCGCGCTTCTCTGCCTCGGCTGCTATGTCCGCATACTTCAGTCGTTTGCGCTCATATGCTTCACCAACTGCTGCCTCCCACGGTACAGTTAATTCAATGATGAACGCAACCTTCTGGGTGGTTGACCACAAGACCAGGTCCGGCCTGAGGCTAGTTGGAAGGATCTCAGGCGGAAAGATGAGTTTTTGGTCTAGGTCAACCTGCATCCTCCAGTCCCGGGCAGAGTCTAGGAGGGTTGCCTCCACTCTTGCAGATGGTTTTGCCGGTGGTTGTCCTGCTCTTACAAATGGGGTGGTGTTTGGGCGTCTAGGCATTGGTGGAGGGAGGGCATTGATGGTTGTTCTCCTTCCTTCCAGAGTGATCGCCAGTTGTCTTAGGACCTGGTTGTGTCTCCAGGTGTAGCGGCCTTGGGACAGACTGGTTTTACAGCCGGTGAGGATGTGACTCAGTGTTGCAGGTGTTTGACAGAGTGCACAAGAAGGATCTTCTCCAAACCATTGGTTTAGGTTTTTGGGTGTGGGAAGAACATCATAGGTGGCTCTGATGATGAAGCTGATTTGGCTTCCTTCCATTTCCCAAAGATCCTTCCATGTGAGCTTACGATGCTCCAGGTTTTCCCAGCTGGTCCACTGTCCCTGTTTGGACTGTGCTACTGCTGTCGCGCATCTGTTTGCCTCCTCTTGTTGCCGAACCTGAGTAACCACCAGCTTTCTCCTCTGGGTTGATGTTGCTTTGTGCCATGTGGGTCGACTTGTTCCGAGTCCAAACCCGCCTCTTCCATGCTGCACCTGTCCCACAATGTCTCCATGCCTGAGAGCAGATTTGGCTTGCTGTACCGCCTCAGATGGGTTCCATTTCCTCCCAGTTGCCAGTCTGGGAGCAGCTGCACGGATCACCTCATCTTGCGACTCAGTCAGGGTCATGTTCAGCCTCACCTTGGTGCACTTAAACTCCTCTGTGAGGCTAGAGATGGGCAGTTCCAGGGCACCATGTCCATACAAGCCGATGTTGCTGAGGCAACGCGGGAGGCCAAGCCACTTCTTGATGTATGAGCTCACTGTTCTTTCCATCTTCTCGACTTTGGTCATGGGGATCTCATAGACTGTTAGAGGCCACATCAGGCGGGGGAGCAATCCAAACTGCAGGCACCACAGTTTCAACTTGCCAGGAAGCAAGGTCTTGTCTATGCTGACGAGGCCTTTGATGGTTTCTTCCCTCAGCTGATCACTCTGGTCCGAGTCTTTGAGATGTGCGTTGTATAGTCGCCCTAGGCTCTTGACTGGCAGTTCAGACACCAATGGGATGGGTGTGTCCTTGATGTGGAACCTCTGGTCTGTGAGTCTCCCCCTGACGATGGATATGCTCCTGGATTTGCTTGGTTTGAACTTCATCCGTGCCCATGTGATGTTGGCATGAAGCTTTCCTAGCAGATGTTTGGTGCATGCAACGGTTGAGGTCAGGGTGGTCATGTCATCCATGTAAGCGCGAATGGGAGGGAGACGCTGGCCACACTTCAGACGTTCTCCACCCACAACCCATTTGGAAGCTCGAATTATCACTTCCATTGCCATGGTGAAGGCTAGTGGGGAGATAGTGCATCCAGCCATTATTCCCACTTCCAAAGATTGCCATGATGTTGTATATTCTGTTGTTTTGACACAGAATTGCAGATCTTGGAAGTAGTTTCTCACCAGGTTTGTGATGGTACTTGGGATGTGGAAGAAGTTGAAAGCTGTCCAGATCAGAGAATGAGGGACGGATCCAAAGGCGTTGGCTAGGTCCAGAAATAGGACGTGCAGGTCCCTTCCTTCCCTTTTGGCAGATTGGATTTGGTGCCATATCATGCTTGTATGTTCCAAGCATCCTGAAAACCCAGGTATTCCAGCTTTCTGCACAGATGTATCAATCAGGTTGTTTTGCTTCAGGTATGTTGTCATCCTTTTTGCAACGATGCTAAAAAAGACCTTCCCTTCCACGTTCAACAGGTTAATTTGCCGGAATTGATCGATGTTGGAGGCATCCTTCTCCTTGGGGATTACCACTCCTCCAGCTCTACGCCATGCTTTTGGAATGGTTTGCTTCGTCCACATCACCTTCATTTGCCTCCATAGGAAGCGTAAGATGTTTGGGGAGTTTTTATACAGCCGATATGGAACTCCATTTGGTCCTGGAGCTGAAGCTGCCCTTGCCTTCCTCACTGCTTCCTCGACCTCGCTCCACTTTGGAGGACTGTCATCCAGCTGGTGTTCTGGTAGAGGAATTGGTGGCATGTCTGATGGTATCTCCCTTTGTTCAAATCTTTGGCTGTCTGTGTGAGTGGTGAATTAAATGGTACTGGATGACCGATCAGGCTAGGTGTAGGGTAATCTTACCCGAACCTAGATGTATCCCATACTTGAATGTGTTTCCCTGTAGTAAAAGGTGGTATATAAGGATAACCCCTTGGCCTTTACTGCAAACATTGTTTTTCTTGTCTGACAAAATGTCGAAGACATTTCAACTTGTAAATTTTGATGGTCCTTGACCATCAACTTCTAGAACAGCCAAGACTGAATGGAAGCTCTGTATGCTATGCCAAGAACACACGGCAGAGTCACTGAGATGTCCTTTGCAGAACACACGAGCAGACAAGGGGAGTGGATACACTTCACTTGCAGAGCATTTGATCCAGTTTAATGAACTTGGCCAGCTCCCTTCAACTTTGGCAATTGAAAGACTCGATGAGGGTCATGGTATTGAAGCTGCCATGGTTGCAAACAAAGCTCAATATCATCATACATGCAGGCTGAAGTACAATGAGACCATGTTGAAAAGAGCAAAAAAGAGAGCATGCAGCGAAAGTCCTGATCAACAGTCAGAATCCAAAGTCAGAAGGTCCCAACCAAGCCAGACTCCTGAAATGAGACAGAACATCTGTTTCAATGAAGGCCTTCATGAGGCTGCAACATTTCAGGTGGACAATCGAGCCTGAGAAAGCATGTGCACTACCAGTGTTCCATGCATTGACCGGTTGTGACACCGTGTCAAGCTTTCTTGGTCATGGGAAAAAGACTGCATGGGCTGTATGGGCTGTGTTTTAAGAGCTTACACATGCCCTGTTGAAACTGTCTTCAGCCCTAAAGGACATAACACAGGAAGTAATGGCCACAATTGAGAGGTTCATTATCTTAATCTATGACCGAACCAGCACATGCACAGAAATCAATATGGCAAGGAGGAAGTTATTTGCAAAGAGGCACAATGTGCAAGCAATCCCTCCCACCAAGGCTGCCCTACAAGAGCATGTCAAGAGAGCAGTATACTAAGGAGGCCACGTGTGGGGTACAGTCCTGGTTTCAACACCAGAACTACCTTCACCGTGTGAATGGGGCTGGTCAAAGACATCTGAGGGGGACTTTGAACCCTTCTGGACATCCCTACCAGATGCTGGCCAGTCCAGTTATGAACTGGTCTCTTGCAAATGCAACAAGGGTTGTGTTGGGCAATGCAAGCCCACTTACAGTGCACAGCCCTTTGTTTCTGTGAAGGTGAGTGTGAATAGTCTTCCCTGTTATCGACAATGGGTTTGTCTTGCTTAATATTAGCCTTGTGAGATGGAAAGAAGACTCTTGGAAATTCTAAAGTTCTTAATGCAAATTCTGTATCAAGAAAAATATATGTTTTGACACAGATATCCAAATCTAACCAGTCGCGGCCATTTTGAATTTTCAATGAAATTGCTCCACAATCCAAAAGACATTTTACAAGTACTATGTATGGTAAATAACTTTGAAATACGTTTCCATTACATTTTTTCGCAAAATAAAAGCGATGTTTATCAAATTTTGACAAAGTACAATTGCGATTTGCGGGTGTTTCCATTGAATGGTGTTCAGTGCATAAGCGAGCCATCTGCCTCTCGCGAGCCGTGCTTGAATGGCCGTTGCCTAGCAACAAGGTAAACTTCCTGCCCGTGCGACCTCGTATTCCTTAAGCCTTTTTGCACACCGACATGGACGAGACACAAAACATTTAGCGTTTTGGAGCAGCTATTTCTGTGACCATTACTGGTGTTGCCTCTGCTGTCATCAGAAGACGAAGGCAGCGGGTGATAATTCAAAGGCAAAGCCCATATGTATGGGAGTGGACACGGATGAGCGATTTCTGGGAGAGGATCGTTAATGAGGAATTCACAGACGAGTTGTGGATTCAAAACTTCAGAAATAACTCCGTCTCCTCCCCGGTCCACATATACCGTGCCATCTTTGCGTGAAATGAACTGGTCACATGACCCGCTACGTCACGTCCGGTGACAGAGAATTGCGAGAATAGTGTTTCCATTACACTTTTGCGATATACTTCTATATCAAAACGTCTGAAAAACCACCTCATGAGAGCGTAAAAACTTTTTAGCGATATTTGAGAGGTTTTTCGAAATTTAGGTGTTTCCATTACCAGTTTTCTATTGCGATATTTAGGTTTTGCGCAAATCTATGGGTAATGGAAACGCAGCTATTCATAAGAAAACAGTTGTTGCTGGCGGCCATCTTGAAAAATGGCTGCCATGGCCACCATGTTGAAATGCCTCCACATCCAAATCTTTTAAGAGGGCCATTGGCTATAAGTGTACCAAATTTCATGCTTTTATCACAAAATGCACGATTCCTTTATATTCCGGACTTAAGCTGCTGTACTAACAGGACCATGAGGCATCTGGTTAAAGAGTCCCTAGTGTTTTGTCTCCTCAGATCCACATTTTAATAGGTGTAGCATCAAGACAACCCTGGGTGTGACATTCACACATTCCTCACAAGAAAGATTCCTTCTCTGGTCCCAGGACACAGGATCATATAAATCTTTCCAGACTTGTTTGGGCTTTCAAGTTACCTAACAGACCCAACCAGAGGTTGACCTAAAACTCTGGCATTGCTCGATTGGTCAGAAAACAGAGACTACAGTTCAAGTGTGCTTAGTTCAAGTTTTGAAACTTAAACTATTTTTGTATGCATAGCAATTCAAGGTGAAGTCTTTGCCTTTTATCTTTAATTTTGGTCATTTTTGAAATAGTTTTGACTGGCCATCGAGCTTCTCGTTCTCACAGTGCAGTGGCCAAGTACAAATTTTAGCCAGAATTGTTCAGTTGGTGATACAAGCATGAAAATTGGCATTGCATTCTTCATAGGTCACTTTACAAGGAAAGTGTCCTAGCCATTTAAAATTTCAAGATGGCGGCCGCCACCTAAGTGGAACAATTAGGTGATGTCCTTGTTAAGTTGGTGATATAGGCATGAAAATTGGTATAAACAGTCCTCATGAGTAACTTAACAAGAAAAGGCCCCAAGATGGGAGCCATCTTTAAAAGGGTTTAAAATGGCCACCATCTCATTAGAGCAGTTAAATGATGTAAAGTTGGTGAAATAAACATGAAAAATAGTAAGAGCATTCTCCATGAGTCACTTAACAAGAAAAAGCCCCAAGCTGCTTGAAATTTTAAGTTGGTGACCATTTTTTTCTCTTTGATATTTTGTGTTTTTCTTTTTTATTCAAACATATGTTTATCTATGTATATCATCCATCTCATTACAGCAGTAATATCATGTAAAGTTGGTGATATGAACATGAAAATTGGAGAGACCATTCTCCACATTTTACTTTACAAGAAAATGCTTGAGTGGGTTTTGTCCAACTCCTCACCCCAATGGCATAGTGCTTAGGGTTCACACAAGTATGCAAGCTCCTGTAGCACAACAATACGAATAAGAAAAACTTTATTTATCCCCAAAAGAAAATTCAATTGTCTGTTGTCTCATTTGTCATGTTTTTTTTTTTTTTTTACTTTTTCAAGACTTTTTTTTTGTACCTTTTTTTGTACCTTTTCTTCTTTCTGACAAGGGGAAGGCAAACAAGGGAAAGTAGTCCTGGCAAAAAGAATACACACATAGCTTCTAACAGGGGCAACTACATAGACATGTGCATTTGAATCCATATTTGAAGCACTTGCATTGTCCAGTACATTCCTTGGTGCGCCCACATTTGGTCAACTCCTGACAACTCTGCAACAAGAGGGAGAGGAGTCCAAAAAATTCTCTATTCATCATCTCCTTTTATCCATCCCCAGTCAGATGGGCTTGGCATTTCTGGCTTTTGCTTCAATGCCTGTCCCCACACACATCCAGCCTCATCCAACCATTGTTCTCTGGTGGGGCTACACCCTGTGGTATCCCTGTTCCAACAGGAGAACAATGCACCTCTTTGGCATGCACATACAAAACATTCGCATTTTCTTTGTTTTTCTTCATATCCCTTTAGAGGCTCCTTAATAAACACATGTTTAAATTAAAAAGAAAATTACGAAATATCAAAAAGAAATCTTAAAAATGGTCACCATCCTGAAATTTCAAGCAGCTAGGGGCATTTTCTTATTAAATTACTCATGGGGAATGGTCTTACCAATTTTTATGTTTATATCCAACTTAACATCATATAACTGCTCTAATGAGATGGCGGCCATTTTAAAGATGGCTGCCATCTTGAAATTTTAATGCAAATTGGGGTGTTTTCTTGTTGAATGACTCATGAAGACTGTTCATACCATTTTTCATGCCTATATCACCAACTTAACAAGGACATCATCTAATTGTTCCACCTCGGTGGCAGACGTCTTGTAAAATGGCCACCATCTTGAAATTTTAAATGGCTGGGAGACCTTCCTAGGAAAGTGACCCATGAAGAATGCTCATGCCAATTTTCATGCTTGTATCACCAACTGAACAATTATGTTGCTTATCTGCTCCACTATTAGTTCTCAGCGTTATTTCAAAGTCACCTCTGAACGCCACTCAGCTGGCCCAAAGTCATCCTCTGAGCCAAAGTTTTGCTGTGAGACCAAAGGAGCATCCAAAGGATAGACAGGGGGCTGGTTTTTGCATTCAGGCCTGTGTGCTGTGACTCCTGGCCCATCTTTTGCCTGGATTTGGTCCTCTTCTGAGCCGAACCTCTCAAACCACCGGTAGCCTGGACCTTTGGTGAACCTGCTCCATCCTCTCCAAGGACCAGCTTCGCTTAAGTATACAAACCTCAAGAGCTCACTTTTTCAAGTCATACTAAAATGATCCAAATCCCAAATTCATATCCAAATTTATCTTTACACCAAAATTAATGTAGGTTAATATGTTACAGCATATCATTCACTATCATTGATTGCTAATGTCAGAGCTTAACTCAGAATCTTTCATGCATCTATCATCATTTATTGCATGTAGGGTTGGGCAATAAAACGGTAATGAATATATATCGAAAATTAATTTCCCTCGATATCAATATAAAACATTGTCAATATGCTATTCCATAGTCGGCATTATGCCATGCTTTAGTAGACTATACGAATAGCCAATAAAAAGGGGAGTTGCTCCGGGTCCGCTTCGCAGTGAACCAATCATGTGCTAAGTTAGAACCAAGTAGCAAACTACTGTGTAGTAGCAGTCTGTAACTTCACGCAACCAAAACACTTTAACATATGAAGCCGACAGCACTGTCGGTGAGAAAAAAAGAAATGAGTGCTACCCCTGAAATACCCATGAAGGCTCAACAGATGATGACATCGTCAACAACACTGGCACAGAAAAGTCAGTGGTTTGGAAGTATTGCAGGTTTTTGAGGTCGGATATGAAGCAGAGTAATGTGAAATGTAAATTATGTCGAGTACATGTTCTCGCAAAGTCGGGGAATACCTCGAATCTTTTTCACCACCTAAAGCAATGCCACGCAGCAGAGCACGCACAATGCAATAGGTTACAAACCCCGAGTGGAGCAAGAAGCCCTGGTGCCTGTGCAGCCAAAACAGCCAACCATTCAGTCCACTTTCTCTAGTGCAATGCCTTACTACAGAACATCAAAAAGACACAAAGACCTCACAGATGTGGTGGCTTATTATATGGCAAAAGACATGCTACCAATAAGCACTGTTAAATTGATGTGAAAAAAATGTATCTTGATAAACTTTTTCCCACATCGCCCAGCCCTAATCGCATGTATGTTGTACCATTACTTACCCTGTAATAAACAAATCATTTCTTTTTCTAAGTTCTTGTCTGTTAGTGTCCTTCAAGAAGTGAAATCCCTAAAATGAGAATTTTGGCTAGAGAGATGAGATTGATTAATTTAAGATTGACATACTGTTTCATTTCTGAATTGGCCATTTTTTTATTTTTATTTTCCCACTGTTAAAGGTGGGTGATGCCCCTATCAACAAGTGCATAAATGCCATAATTTAAGATTATTATCATTTATTAATCTTAGGACATTTATTATTAATTCAAATCTCTACATTCTGAAAAGACTGAGCACAAAGATGAGACGGGACTCTTACAGAAATCAAAATTTTTATTCAACAAGAAGATATTTCTTTGAGGCAGGACCAGATTTAACATGCCTCACTCCAAAGACACCAGACTGCATTCACAAACCAGTCATAAACCAACCTCAGAGGGACACTGGAGTTAATCACTGGAAGATGTTTGTGTTCAGATAAAGTCAAAGCTGAAGGTTTTATTTGGATTTTATTTAGAAGTCGCTGAGAAAGCTGCAACACTGGTTCATTTATAAAAATAAATAAAATTAAAAAAACAGAGAGAAAGAGAGAGTGCTCAGTCACATCAAGCCTGTTATCAGAGACTGAGGAGGGAAGAGTCTGAATGAACACACATTTACAATTTTAAATTCAGAGGAAAAACTGCAGACAGTAGCCCAGAAATGTCCTACGAGCTAAAACAGAGTCCAAACTTTAGTGAAAAAACAGGAACTATTTTGGCATCTGGTTTAAAAGACGCTAAATCTCATGACATGAGTAAATTTATAAAACAACAAACACAAGAAAAACCCCAATCTCCATCCAGAGCTGAAAGGGGACTGTTTGTGGCCTTTTTACATTTTCAGGCCAAGTTAATCATCTGATAACTTCATGATGGACTCATGACAGGCAGAGAGTAAAACAAAAACATTTCTTTCAAAAATAAACAGAGGAGAATGAAAGCCAATGTCCCAGGGTAAACTTTGGAAAGGGACAGCACTGTTGACTTTCAAAGGATTCTTCTATTCACCTTAAACTGGAAAAAATAAAGGAGATAATTGGCTAAAAGTATTATGTATCAGAGAAAGCACAAAGACCCACTGGTGCCAATAAATCAAAGTTGCCTGTACACACTTATTTTACAACACAAAAGTTAAATCTGTACACAAAAATGAAATGTTAATCAAGTGAAGCATATTCAGCACAGATAAAAAACAGCTGTTATTTCAGGTTTAAGCTCTGTCTTGGACAGAGAAGATTGAAAAACCTCTGAGTAAGTTTGATAAAAAGTTCTCAAAAAAAAAGAAAATCAGTATGATCATTCTTTGATGTGTTTTTATCTTAAACTTTATTCTAAGCTTCAAAATACAGTTCATAAGTTGTTAAACATGGGTTGCATGTTTATATAATTACTAACTACCTTGTCCGGTTCAAGCACTTAAAGCGCCTAAGTCATGCTTTAGCATGTTTTAAGTATTTATAATATTTTCTGCCATTTGAGTATCACAGAAGTTATCACATCTTGAGATACAAAGAATGGTTCCTCTGCAAAGCTTCATAACTGGATACACTGTTTGTGTTATAATCTGTTATTAAACCCAGAATTCAAAAGATGCTGTTATTTGTTTTGTGTTATGCATGAAACATTATTAATGATACACTGAAGACATAATGTTCACTGCTCATTACAATATAAGCTGTTATGAATGCTTATTTCCATATATAAGAAGTTTTATAAAGCCATATCAATGTATTGAATAATAAAGCTTTATAAATGATAAATATAAGGATTAGATTTGTGTAAAGAACCTTCTTATTAATCTGAGGTCATTATCATGTTTATTCAGAAAATGACTAACAAGCACATTGCTATATTAGCTTGGTAAACTATGGGCTGCAGGGAGGCTCTGAGAGCACAAAAAATGCTGTTAGTGGACACAGGCCCTTAAATAATTTGAAGGAGCAGCTCTGGTTGTGTTAGTTATTTGTAAAGGTTTTTTGGATGAGTGGAAAATCAGACAGAAACAGCAGCTCCTCTGATTTCAGTTCCCTCTGATTTCAGCTGACCATGTAAGGTGTTAAGAATCCAGGGGAAATGACTCAGCCTCTGTTTTAGTCGCTCTTATTCTGTTTGGACACAAGCCCTCACAGTGTTTCTGTTTAAACAGAACATTTTAAACTCTTGTTACTAGTTTTTCCTATCATACCAGATGAAAATGGCAGACATTAACATTTAATGTGTTAACAGAGGACAACCCGGCATACATTGTTAGCAGCAGAGGTAGAGAGGTATAGTAAAGAGCATAAAACTATTCAAACCTAGCATTAATAAAAAAGCCTTGTGTTAGCTGCTAGATGTAACACCCACAAGGCTAAACTGACACAGCAAGTTAGTGAACGTGGGACTCCAACTGAAAGCTAACAAGCTCACGAGCCAACCAGCCTGCCATTGCTGAGTACATTTTTAAACAATTCTAGTCAGTTGCCATAAAGTGCCTCAGTTTAAGCGCCGAATGAAATGAATCCTTCATCAATACTTCAAGTAATCACTTTTCTTCAATGACCAAAAGAGGCAAAAGTGTTTATTTTTACTCTACACTAGCAGTCCTACAACAACAGCCTAAAATTGAAGAAAATCAGAGAACAGTCTGATCAAAAACATAAAAAACATGATTCATCTGACAAATAATGGACAAAAAAAGGGAGGCAACAAGTTTGGTGACCAAAAAAACTCAGGAATGAAACTTAAAACTTGTCCTGGATTAAATTGTCTTTATCGTATGTCTCTGATATGAATTTTATTTTTTATTAATAGATCAACACAATGACGGTTAGTGGCCTGAGTCGGTCTTGTCATTGGATGATGAGTCTCAGAACCTGACAGGAGACTTCGATGCCAAAAAGTTCTGAAGTCTCAATCCTAACCCTGACCCACAAATAACAGCAACACGACCCTTCACGCATGCATCCACACACACACACACACACACACACACACACACACACACACACACACACACACACACACACACACACACGGAAACAAGATCAATCGTGCACCGTAGCGGATTGTCTCTAGAGGCTGTGAAGGTTTCCCTCAATAAGCTGTAGATAAGTGTCTCTGTGAAACAGAGCTGTCACCCACTGGCCTTCAGATCCTCATGGTTCCTCTTCCACTTCCTGTTCATGAAATCCCTGTGTTTCACTGTCAGACGTCAGACAGAGCCCCTGATCTCTGTCCATGTGCTCATTTCTCCTTCCCCGGGTTGTTTTAAACCTTGTTCAGGTCCAGTTTGGCAATGTACGGTGAGCGGAAGGAACCCAGGTATAGACTCCCGTCGTGCTCGTGGACCTCGCTGACATAGGCCACCACCAGGCCATTAGGGTCGTGGAAGCTCCGTGTGCACACCCCCCCATCATGGAGCTCCGCCACCAGGCTGTACCGAGGGACGAACTTCATAAGCACGTCCTGACTGAAGAGCTGGAGAGGGGAGAGGGTGAGAGTGAAGTAAAGGTTTGAGACTGGCTTAAAGATGAATGGTTCCACAGCTGACTGTATCCTACCCAAGCACAGTAAGTGTTTTGGCAGTGTGATGGCTTCAGAATGGGCTAACTTGGGCATGTATGTCAACACATGAAAGCTTTTAGACCTGTAAGCCACACATCTCAGATTTGTTGTATAAGTCACACAGATGTAAGCCTAAAATACCCAGGGACAAGAAAAACTGAGGGCTTTATTTGCATGAAAAATATACTGTGGTTGTTCTTCTGGGACATTTTCCCGAGCCAAGTATTGTTTTTACACATTGGGTCTTATTCATGAAGGCTGAGCAGAACAAAATTCACAGGCAAACTGACATTCATTATTGTTTTAGTTGTTCTGTTGCCTCTGACCCTCCACAAATACAGTAAGAGCTTCCTTGTGTGACACCCAGTACAGGCTCTGACTGTAAGACATAGGCTCAGACTTCATTCCACTCCACCTAAAATAACTTCTTTTTCTGCATCTGAATGTTTTTTCTTGTCCACACCACATTTATTAACTTCTCTACGATATCAAATCAGGGGTTTTTCAGGCTGAGCAACTGTATGCATGAACACAAACAGTCAAAATTTTCACCCTGACTTTTTCTGGCCTTTCCCTGCCAGCCCTTTGGCAAATTTTCAAAAAGTCATGGGGAGCTTGTGAACTGCTGCTTCAGGGCAGGATGTTGTAACATTGAGAAGTATGATGGTGGGGTAAAATTGTTTATCCTCTAATGGCCTCCTGAGCACCTGGCTAACATTTTAGGTCATGATATTGTCTTTCTCTGGAGACCTAAGCAAGAATTTTGTCTTGACATCTGGAAGTCCTGAGTTATCTGTGTATTGTCATGACCTGGCTCAGGCAGTCACAACAAAAAGGAAAGACACACACCATGTATTAAGTTAAAAAAGAAATAATTCTTTATTAAATTAGATTAAACCAAATTAGAATATTTAAGGAATGAGCTGAACATGAGGCTGGTCCGAGTTCGCTTACAAATTTTATAATTAGACAACAACTTCATCATCGACAACAGGAAAGGAGCAGAAAGTATACAATCCTACGAGCCACTGTAACACTGGATCTGGAAAGAAAGTATGTGTCGTAAAACTCTTGAAAAGATAAGCTGTCAATAGTGAGGTATCAACAAAATTGTAAAATTTCCGATTTGTGGACAATCTTTATTACACATAAAAATGGACACATGTCATTTCCTGTCTTTGGTACAAAGGTCAAGACCTTTCAAAGTAATGCTTTCACACTGGGCATGAACCAGGCCGTGGTTCAGTTTGGTCCGACCAAGACCACCTCTTTTGGTCAAACCATGGTCCAGTTGTTTGGTCCAGCCCAAGGTCCTGGGGAAGTTACACACTTATCATTTTGGTGACTGAACAAAACCAAACCAAACCAAACCAAACTGAACCGAACTGAACAAAACCAAACCAAACCAAACAACACTGAACCAAGCCAAACCGAACTGTGCCAACCCAAACTGAACTGAACCAAACAAAACAAAACTGAACCAAACCAAACCAAACCAAACCAAACAAAACAAAACAAAACAAAACAAAACAAAACTGAACCAAGCCAAACTGAACTGAACCAAACCAAGCCAAAAGAAACCAAACTGAACCAAACAAAACTGAACCAAAACAAACCAAACCAAACCAAAATGAACCAAACCAAACCAAAATGAACCAAGCCAAACCAAACTGAACCAAACCAAAATGAACCAAACCAAACCAAAATGAACCAAGCCAAACAAAACTGAACCAAACCAAAATGAACCAAACCAAACTGAACCAAAATGAACCAAGCCAAACCAAACCAAACCAAACTAAAATGAACCAAGCCAAACCAAACTGAACCAAACCAAAATGAACCAAACCAAAATGAACCAAGCCAAACCAAACCAAACCAAACCAAACCAAAATGAACCAAGCCAAACCAAACTGAACCAAACCAAAATGAACCAAACCAAAATGAACCAAAATGAACCAAGCCAAACCAAACTGAACAAAACCAAAATGAACCAAACCAAACCAAACCAAGCCAAACTGAACTGAACCAAAACCAAATCGAACTGAACCAAACAAATTAAACCAAACCAAACCAAGTCAAACCAAACTGATGCACTGGTGTGCAGAGGGAAATCAGCAAGAAACACCTCCAACATGGCATGAGCACTACATGACCTTATATGGGCATCACAGTATGAACCCCTTCGGTCTTGTATACAAGTAGCCAGGTATATTTATTAACAAATATCTAACCCCCTCCATTTAAAATAATAAAAGTCATGTACACACAACATCCTTTTCAAATAAAATCCCATCCACGCAAAAACCACATTAGTGTGCTATTGACCGTGGTTATAAGCATGCCAGAACTGTAGTTGGTCGTATTTGCTATTCTATCCAATCAGAGCAAGCTTCCCTTTCTCCTTATCACTTCCCCAAGCATGAAACAAAGCGCTGTGTAGTTCGTTTGTGTGGACTGACAAAGAGTTGGAATTGTTTTTAAGCATAGTTTTGGAGTATCAAGTCAACAAGACACAAGACAGGTGGAGGAAGGGTTATTTGGTGTAGAATAACTGACTGTAAAGCACTTTTTCTCCTTTGCTCTTCACAAAAATATATATTCTGTATATATCTGTGACTCACAGCGCTATTCTGCAGAATGAATGAGTCGTGCGTTCCTCCAGGCCACCGGGCAACAACGTTTAACAGAAACAAATGTGCATCGCAGATTATTTGTGCATCGATTGAATGAAATCTTTTCCTGTTGACGAATCTGAATTTATTGTGTGAAGGTGCTTTTATTGCGATGTGGGTGCAATCTATGGCTCCAATTATGTTTGGGAATCCGGCGATGGCGTGAAATCCTCGTTTTATTTCGGCTTGTTGCTGATGTGTGTTTGGGAACTGGATGTAAATTGAGGCCAGAGAAATTATTACAGCCAACTCTGCCGGCATGATTCTGTTTAGCGTTGGCTGCGAAATATCGCATATGTCTCAAATCTCATGCTGAAATGTTCGGGTTAGGGTGGACAGGAGCTGGATGTGCGCTGGGATGGCTTTGGTGCGTTTTGTTTCTCACTCCGACACGGGTAGTAAATCACGGCGTAAATCCATTAAAATGTTTTGGGGAAGCGGTACCTGCTGAGAATCCACTCCGAGTTCCCACTGAACAGATCAGCACGCTCTTTGAAAACGTGCTCCCAGCGGAGGAGCAGACGCTTCTCCAAGTCCTCCAATAGCGCAAAATAATTGTACTTGTAAGACTTCTTGTGAGGTTGTCCTGTCACAGCAGATTTTTATAGCTTGTCTCACCAATCATTCAAAATGTCTGCTAAATTACTAATGGATAAATTTTGTATAGAAGCAATGGGAACATGTGTGAAGTTTGAGATTGCGGAACGCTGTGACTCCTTTAATGGGTTCTATTTGTAGTTTTACTGTCCTACCACTAGGTTTTGTGTGTGCGCATGGTCAGAGTTGTGCTTAAATTTACGCACGTTCCTAAGCACAAGTACAGGTTGATAAATTCCAGACTTTGCGCAGGAATGTTCGTACGCACTCTTAAAGCACACATCTGTGCATACGCACGGTTGATAAATGAGGCCCCTGGTGTCTCTGTCCTGGTAGTTTTTACCTTAAAGATGAATTTCTTGATCCAGGGTCTCTGGGACAGGAAGTCCAGCATGGAGAAGCCAGGGTTTGGTCTCACTGCAGACATGGCCACCCAGTAACCTCCAGTCGAGCTGGGGCGGATATTGTCAGGGAAACCGGGCAGGTTGTCCATGAATGTGTCCATCCCGCCTTTATTTAGCCCAGCAACATGGACCCTGATAAAAGAGACAGCATATGACTCACAGAGTGATTAAAGCTAGTGTGAGGAGTTTTTTACTGCTCGTGTCACAAACTGGGATTAATGTGGTGCCTTTCTATAACCTGTTAAAGAGAAATCATCAGACAAGGCTAACTGGGGGCCAATTCCAACTCTACCCTTTAGCCCTTGTCTTACGCCTTAGCCCTCGGTTTTGCAGGTTCACGTCAAGTGAAGGGGTGTCCCAATTCTCCCTAAGGTTAAGGGGAAGGGCTATGGACAAGGGGTACAGAGCCCTAGAAATGAAAACAAACTGGGACCTCACTTGAAAGCAAGGGGTAAGATTTTGATATGACTTTTATAGTAATGACACTTAATGTTTTTATCAGATATTCAATCCTTTGCTACTCCACGGAAATATTAGCGATAATTTGATTTTTTTGCATTTTAAAATTGCGCGACGTGCAATGACGAGCTATCTAATGAAGCCATATCTATTGATAGCTATGCTGATGTCAGACTCAGGTGACAAATTCACTGCAAATGGTAAGGAATGATGATGTAGTGGGACTCGAGTGGCCTCTAGTTTCTTAGAAGCCTGTTTTCAGCCCTTCCCCTCTGCCCTCTGTTCTGAGGGCCAAGGGGAAGGGTTAGACAAAGAGGTAAGACAGAGGGGAAAGGGAAAGAGTGACAATTGGGTTTGACCCTAAATCTAAGAGTGATTTTAAAGGCTGTCACCTCTGTGAGGGGGCAGGTGTCTCACTGTGTGATTGGCAGGACTCATGCATGTTTCTCCCAGCAAAGATTCACAATGAATAAAATTTTTCATTCTCTAAAAGAGGGGGTCCACATATTTTCTTAAGTTAACAGAATAAGATTAGCAAAAAGAAAAGAGGGTTTTACTCTGTGCAAAAATCAACCCAAACTCATGGGAGTTTGAGTGACCAGTTTTGTTTTGTTTTTTAATTAAAAATTAAATACAAAATTAAATGTATTAATGGCTGAAAAGCTGAAAGACTTTGAGGAAATCACTGTTTAAAAAAAAAAGCACTAAAAAAGTGTTGTGAATATTTTAAGGGCAGTTAAAATTCTATGTGACTGTATGAGTGAATTTCAAAGTCATGAAAATTGTTGAAATTTGAACATTTTAAACATCCCGGACAAGCATTTGAATGAGCTGAACCTTACTGAAAAAAGGTACATAACTGTGAGAGAGACAGTCAGCCCAAAGTACTACAATTTTAAGTTTTAGGTTAAATGATGTGGAAGGAGTTGGGAATCGAAAATATTTGGCAGAATAAGAATCAGTTTACAGAATATGTAAAAAAAAAGAATTAGGCACATCGTGATAATAAAGATTATTTTCAAAAGTGTCATACGCTGGTATTTTCACAAAGAACAATGTTCACATTAAAAAGCAGCGCATTAGCTTAGAATCTGATCAATTCAAGGTAAAAAAAAACAAAAACATCTTATTTTGTCAATCCAAGTCTTATACTAGCCCAGCAGAACCCATAATCTGCTTGTAGAGATGTTTCAGGTGAGACAGGTGTGTTACCTGCGTATTCTGGCCATCGTGGTCTCAGCCACTAGCACAGACTCCTCGTCCGGTAGCAGCTGTATCCCATTTGGAAAGCGAAGGTTCTCCATCACCACAGTCAGCTCCCTGCTCTCTTTGTCGTACTCCAATACTCTGAAAACACAATTTAACAATACCTTTGGTTTTTACCTCAGGACTTTTCGTGTGATAATTCAGCAGGAAATTACAACTTTCTTTACAGAACAATGTCAGATTAAACGTACATATATCTAAATGCCAGGAACTTAACTGACATTTAATATTGAATTATTTTACAGTGGGACAGGTACGCTCATGGATGATATTCTTTTACGTTCAAATAAAAGTCAAACCAAAAAGGGAAGATGCATATTAAAAAGAAAAGTAAAAAAAATTTAAGATATTAACTGGAACTTAGCGATTACATAATATGGGTTATAAGTAAGTATCATCATAGTATTTGTCTGGTGTAAAAATCTATTCATTGATTCAACATGACTGGGCCATAAACACATACTGTGGTAAGAAAAAAAAAAGGACAATATTTACATCAAATCATTTTTTCAGAATGATAATTGTAATTATTTTAATTTACGTTTAGCTGCTAATGTGAATTATATTTAAATTTATGAAAAAAAGCAGGTTATCATTTAAAAAGTGTCAGTGAACAGGATCAATATTTGCAAATTTAAAACAGCTGACTATTATAAGGATACATTAGATAAGTTAAAAGTTTTAAAGGAACTAGTTCAGCAAACCTCCCGTCAGCCGTGGCCTCCATGATGAGGTTCAGGTACTCTCTGCGCTGCCACCTGCTGCTGGAGTCTGTGAAGTACACCTTCTTCCCATCCTGAGTCACTGCCAGGTCATTGATGAAAGACAACTTCCTGCCGGCAACCTCCTCGCCCCCCTTCACCAATCTGGTTGCTTCACCTGCAGAAAAACAAAACAGGAGTTTGAGGTGAGGAAGAGAAGCATGAACATCAGCTGAACAAACTCCTACAAAGCTGCTGGTCAGTGTGCTGCAACTCACCCAATCCACAGGTGGCAACAGACACACACAGATGAAATGGAAGGATGCACAAGTTTGGAAGTTTGCAGATATCTGTTATGCTGGTACTCAAAAATTCCTCAGTTTTGGGGTTACCTTGTTTGGTGAATATGAGCTAATTATGAGAGTATTTGTAATTAAATTGCTCATTCAAATAAGTATAAGTGAAGCTGTACACTTTTTCGTTTTTACAATAACAAATGGTAATAAAAAAATAATAGCTACAATATACCTTGAACTTATTTAGTCCACTAATATTGGTGTTTAAGTCCTCATATGTTTACATGCTTTCCTGTATGAGGCTCTCTGAACATCTGTGTGTGAAATACAGCACTCTTTTAACTGAGGCTGCCCTGAATGCATCACTTCGAGACAGTGAAAGACTATCAACGTAAATATTATATCTCACGGTTGTTTCCCTTTCATTGAAGTGTTCATTTTGCACCAAACACTGTTTATATATAGTTTACAGCTTAAACTGACCTGAATCATCCCAAATTGTTCAGTAAAAGTATCAATCCAGTGTCTGTGAGGCTCAGCCGAAACACAGGACAATCTTTGGTCGTCTGGAAACCTGGCAACTTTGGACAAATATAGTGATCCGATTAATGAATGAACGTGGACCATCACACTATGGGAGATTCCCGGGAGAAAAGACAATACGTGAGGTGGGTGGGAGATAGGTCTGAGATATGGGAGAGTCCCGGGAAAAACGGGAGTGTTGGGAGGTATGGACTCATATGCTCTGACAAAAGTCAGTCACCTTCAGTGTCAGTATGTTACTGACTGTAATTAGACTCCTGACAGGGTGAGACTGCAGCCCTTTACTTCATACTAGGATCTAGTCTCCCTACTAACCCTGTATTATTCCTGATGTATTTGCTGTCTTTTCTAATTTAATACATACTTATTATGAGGAATGTTCCTTGTGTGTGTGCGTGTCAGCCAGTTAAAGTGATTGCTGTCAGTAATACTGACAAGAGGGCAGATCTTAATAAATGACCTCACGGAAGGAGCTGATTTTGACCTGTAATAAAGAGGGATCTAATGACGCTCAAATGCACTCAGCCATGTGTTAGTGGCTGCTTGTTTAGATCTCCGAGGTGGACGCTCACACTGACAGTGACTGAACATGAAAAACAGGGACTTTAAACCCTTTTCAAAGATTTTTTCTCTTAATTGTTTGAAGCTGTTTTAGTTTTATTTTTTTAGTTTTAGTTTGTTTTAGTGCTGCCTGCTGATGTGTTAATTTCCTCATGTGGTCTGTGTGAGCAGGGGAATAAAAGACCGAATAATGACTCTCATACTCTGTGTACAGGATCCTTTCTCTCTCTCACTCTCTCTCTCACCTGTGATGGGGTTGACCTCGAACACACCCAGGTAAGCGTCTGCTACAAACAGAGTCCCATTTGGTCCGATCCTGATCCCTAATGGCCTCCCACAGCTGGGCTCCTCTTCTCTGGACCCTGGGAACACACACTTTGTATGTTACTTTGGATTTGTCATATCATACTACCACAAAAAAGCTGTGTGTACCATTAATTTATCATGTTTTATTTTCTCTTCAGTCTACTGTGACTTGAATGGGATTTCTTTCTTTTTTCTACTCTTACTCTTGTTGTTGCTTACTGTGTCTGTGTTTCTTCAATTACTGAATTTCTCCTCTGTGACCAATAAAATGTGATCTTACCTAGTTATTAATGGTGACATAATGGTGGGTGGTTGTGTTTTTGTCATGGGCATACATTAGGAAGTACATGGATGAAAATGTATAAAAGTATGGGGGCAGAGAGGGTTATGAACTTATTGTAGCTATCATTTCTTCTAACTCAGCCTGTTTAAGGGATGCTGTGATTGTATTAGGCACAGAGCAGGAATATTGTGGATATTACATCAAATTATATACTAAATTTTTGTTTTTTTGTGCTTTTATCTTGGAGGGAAGGATAGTGGATAGAGCAGATGTGGTTGATGTGGATGATAATCCTACTTCTGAAAACACTTGCTGGTCTTATTTGCATTTTACAACATCATCAGTTTAAAAAACAATGATCAAAAATACACAAAAACAAATTAAACCACAATGAGGTAAAGAAAGCGGGAAAGTTAGCCAGAGAAAAAAGCACAGTGTATTTATAGATGAGATTTCAACATGAAATTTAAAAGTAGCTTCCAGGAGTTAAAGATCTGGGGTTGATGGACAGGGACAGACTGGGAAACAGGGGACTGTTCATAGTGAGTGTATGCTGTAACCTTTGTACCTTATGAAGAGTTTTACTTTATAAAGTTGCCTGAATAAGACATGAAAATTAAAGCCACAGCAGGTTGAACCCTGTTAGCCACTGTCTCTTTGCACCCTAAAGCTGACTTCCTGTTTGACAATAAAACCCTGTCTCTGTGTTCAAATTTCTTTAAAGCTTCAGGTTTTATCTGGACTGACAGTGTCTCTCTCCCTCTCTCTCTCTCAGTCCTCTGTTTGGGGTTGTTCATGCAGCAGCTCAGCTGTTAGATGATGAGACCAAATGGATCAGAGAGTCAGAGCAGGTTGTAACATATTCCTGCTGTAAACCGTCACTCTGTCTTTGAGGAACTGACTGAATGTTAAAACTCCAGAATGAGGCAATCAGAGTGAAACCACAGAGAGGAAATACCAGAGTCGGAATCTCAGCCGGTTTACAGTCAGACAGACAAACCCAAAATTAAAAATCAAACAGTGTTTGCAGTTGAACTAAACCTAATGGTTTCTCACCACAAGGCAGTTTCCCCAGTCTGGCCACTGTGAGAATCCTCCGACCAATCACCTTCACAATCTTCCCATCAGCTGTTCCAGTAAACAAAACATCTGCAAAGAGACAAACATGTCAGCCCTTAGTCTACGTCTCTGTTTGACTTCATCTAACAGAGCTGCTTCTCTTGTGAAAGATGAGAAAACTGTTTATGATTTTATGACAGCCTTGTATAATTTTCTTAAAATCAGTCTTGTAGCTGAACTTAAAACTCTTAAAACAGTGAGCAGAAGCTACATTCACAGACTGTTTAACTTTAACTCAACCAACCTGAAGTGTAATCTTAACTTTAAATTAGACTGCTCTTTATGTATGAATCAATAACTGAGATTGGACTGAACTTGATGCAAACTGCACATGAGTGTGAGAATGAGTGTGCGGACTGGTGGCGGTTAAAATAGAGTTTAACGAGCTTCTTGAGTAAAGTCAGTCAACTAAACTTAACTAAAGTATTAAGTGTAAACAGGCTTAACTTACATAAATGCACCAAACTGATTTTGAAAATACAGTGAAACAAAATTAACAAACTTCAAATTTTAACTCAGTTAACTTAACAAACATCTTAACTTAATCCAGCCTAAATAAATAAACCTTTAAGTGAAAATGAACTCAACATGACAACAAACTCCACTCGACTAGATTTAGACCAAGTTTACCAAAAATAAACTCTTTACAATATCAACCTAAACTCCTCACTTTACAAAACTTTTAAATGAAATTTACTCTAATAACCCATGTCGACTAAAACCATAACAGTGTTTGTTATAAATAACTAATCATAAACCAGTAACTTTAAATATCTGACCAAACCTACACTCAATTAGGGTCACTAAATCCTAGTTGACCCACTAAACTTTCAGAGTGAGCTCACTTTCAAGGGTCTCTTAACTCAGGTCAGGGTCAACAAACAAACTCACCTAAATCACACCAAAAACTGAACAAAACTCAAATGGACTAAAAGTCACTTTAGATCGAATTGAAACTGACAAAGTTGAAAGCCAAGGTTGAAATAAAATAATCTAATCCTAAAGCTTCTGTTGAGAACTTCTGTGAGTTATAAAACAGACTAAAAATTGATCCTGATGTTTCTGTGGAACCCACAAAAAACAAAGATATCATAAAAGGGAAAGCAGGTAGATTTTTTGCTAAATAATAAAAATAAACAATCTACTCCTCAGGGGGCACAAAAATCAATACAACCCTAAGGTTCATCAAAAGAGCTCAAGGACTGGTATTAAAGCTCCTGCGAGGATGCTGTCCTTGATGCTGTCATCTACATGCTTCACCGTGCCCTGTCTCATCTGGAGGAACCTGGGGTTTATGTGAGGATCATGTTCTTCGACTTTTCAAGTGCATTCAACACCATCCAACCCACCATACTCAAAGACAAGCTCACAGAGATGGGAGTGGATCCTTCCTGTGTTTCCTGGATCGCAGATTACCTGTCAGGAAGGCCACAGTTTGTCAGGCTGGGGAGCTGTGTTTCTGGGACATTAATGAGCAGTACAGGGGCTCCACAAGGGACAGTGCTGGCACCTGTTCACACTGTATACATCAGACTTCAAATACAGCACTGAGTCCTGCCACATCCAGAAATACTCAGATGACACTGCTATCGTGGCATGTATCAGAAATGGACAAGAAGCTGAATACAGAGATCTAATAAGAGCCTTCAGTGACTGGAGTCACAAAAACTGCCTCCTCCTTAACACCACAAAGACAAAGGAGATGGTTATAGACTTCTGTAGACTTCATCTACAGAAAAGGGCAGAGCCACCTCTTTTGCCTGAGAAGACTCCGATCAATAGACATCTGTAGTAAGATGCTGCAGATGTTTTATCAGTCTGTGGTGGCAAGTGTGCTGTTCTACACTGCAGTCTGCTGGGGAGGAAGCATCAAACACAAAGATGCAAGACGTCTTAACAAACTGGTGAAAAAGGCTGGCTCTGTGGTAGGACTCAAGCTGGACTCAGTGGAGGATGTAGTGGAGAGATCTACACTGAGGAAGGTGGAGACTATTCTAAAGAACATGGATCACCCACTTCATAACACCTTGATGGACCAAAAGGCCAATGGTGGTGGACGGCTCCTCTCTCTTTGATGCAGGACAGAAAGATTTAGAAGATCTTTTGTACCACCAGCCATCAGACTTTATAACTCTTGTGTAAATAATAGGTCATTTATAGCTCTTGTGTAAATAGTAGATAACTTTAGAGACATATCATGTGAGACAACAGACAATTGAATTTCCCTTCGGGGATCAATAAAGTTCCTCTTATTCTTATTCTTAGTTCTGTCTGTGTTTATTTTTGCAAACAAAAAACAAAAATCTTCTCCTGTTGTCTTCTTTGAGTAAAAACTTTCCACTCACTGTGAATGTTTGCTGTGGGGGAATGAACAAAGGCTGTTTATGTTGTTGTTTATGGTTTTACCTGCTTTTGTACATCACAGACACTAATCAAACATTTCTCAAGGGAGTTTTAAAATAAACATTTACTCAACGTTAAAATTGATTCAAAAACTTTAATTTGAACCAGACTAGACTCTGACCTCCAATGTTGGCAATGGATTCTGGTCCGATGACATGGTCTTCCAAGAGTCTCTGAGCCTCTCTGAGCTTCAGGTTTGGCTCCCAGCAGCCCTTCATCATCGGAGGCTCCTTTAGACTGTACAACACATTTTCACAAGAACATTTAACAACCAAGAAAGACATTAATTCACAGCACATTACAACATACATCTTTGAGAACTAAACTGTAGAAATGACACTGTGACGTGTCTCTCGTTAAAAAGACTGCTACAGGTAATATAGATGTCCCAGTCATATATCACAACTACAGCTGTCACTTAAGAAATAATTTCAGCCCTGGATAATCTCAGAAGAGGCAGAGCTCATATTATATTGATATTAGTCCTCATTTTCTGCTGATTCATAACACTGCAATAAGATTTGATTTGCGTTTTTTGATTAAATCTGTTTTCTACACACCCAGCTTTGCAGGTAACCAAACTTTTCTATGTCGGGGTTTAGTGTCTAGATAAACTGACCCACTCACAGATCTGCATTATAAGTTTATTCTGATGAATTATTAACCAGGACAAGTTGCAGAGTCAGCAAATATTCAGAAAGCTGCAGCAGAGTTCAAAAACTCAGCAGGACCAAGTGAACCATCAGTAAGTCTGTGTTCAGTCCTTCTACTGACAGCAAACAGCTGACTACACAGAAATACAACAGAGCATGATTTGATCAATCCTCCAGTACTTTTGAAAATAATAGTAATTATCTTTGAATGTGACTTTGTTAAAGCACAGAGATCCATCAGACACTTGATCTCACTTATGAAATATTTGCACGTAAAAGTCCTCGGTACCAAAAACCTTCAGCAACCAAAAACCTTTTATGAACTCTGTGGTAAAGTTAAATTCATGCTGTCAATGCACTCTCTTAATCATTCATCAGTCAGCATCGACCAGGGAGACTGGCACAGAAAATGAATAAAAAAGAAAAAAAAAAACACATATCCAGAGATCAAAAATAGTTTGGTTGGAGTGCAATAAAGAAAAAATTCTCTATTTTCTCCCGTGAGTGGTAGGGTGACACTCTCCCACAGACTGCCGCTGGTGCGCTCTATATCAGTCCTGGTTGCTGCACGGGTTTCATTATAAATGATGTGTGGTCGGTGGAGTCATAGGCTACTGCTTCAGTGGGTGACCCCAGCCTCATATTAACAAACAGCTGGGCCACTGCGTAAAACACACAAACAGGGCCCTGGAGTGAAACTGCAAACTGAACTGTCCTCTTTTGGGATAAATAAAGTGGTTTGAATTGAATTGAATAAACCAAGTGCAATTCTGTGAGTATAAAAGATAATTGATGCACTTGTGGATTCAAATGCATGCACACAAATATGCACATGAATTTCTCTTCTTCTGGCACTTGACGCTCCATACATTGTATCAGTCATTGAACTGCTCCGTTCTCTGTGTGAGTGCTGGCTCTGCTGTTGGGTGGGGTGAAGCTGTCCACCTGTGAGTAGACTGGTAAGACAGACTCACCTGAAGACCTCGGGGTGGATGGGAGACTCCAGGATGAGGATGATGACCAGGAGAGGAAGGAGCAGAAATCCACCCAAGGATAGCAGAGTCACCTGGAAAACCTTCCCGCTGTATGTGCTTAGAGAGGAAATGAAGTCAGAAACACTCTAGAGAACATCAAACTTTAACCTCTGACCTCTGTACAGTATTTTCTCTGGGGCTCCTCAAGGTTCTGGCTTTGATCCTCTTCTTGTAAGCTCCCATTTGACCAAATCAACCAGACATCATATTACTTTTTACAATAGCAGAGGTAGTAGAATGTGTGTGTGTGTGTGTGTGTGTGTGTGTGTGTGATTTTGGTCTCTTGTATTCATTTTAACATGCTATGTGGGGATAATTTGATAACTACACAAGTTCAAGCCAGCAGAGCTCTGGGTGTTTCGCTTACAGAAGTAGCCCTAATGTTAGGGTAGTTACAGCAGATGTCGACAATGTCGTAATTAATTATTCCTAAAGACGTGTTTCATTGCAATATTAAAATACACACCGTAAATCTGTCTGCAAGAAAACAATAACATTAAATGAAATAATGGGGGGGATTCCAGCAGGAACGTTAACAGCTGCTATAACTACGACAACCAAAGACATATACTAACGGAAGTCTCCAAATAACACTGTCACTCTTTGAAAAACACCCGTAGTGATCAACTCGAATTACTGATCAGTTCGGCTTCACTAAAGCGTGTCGCGAAAGCCTCCGGTTATCCAGGCACCGCAAATCAGCTGATCACACATCCAGCTGCCGTCACGGTGTCGGAGCCGGAGGGGCCGAACCAGCACATCATGGGTACTGTTGGTATTTCGGTTTATGTGTCCGGACCAGGATGTAGTCAGAGCGTGGTTCCAGGTCCGTTTCTCACCCGTGGGACTTGTAGTGCTGCTCCGGCAGCTCGTCGGTGATGACCTGCGGTCTGTTCACCCGCCGGAACCGGAGACCCTCCATCTCATTCGGGATGAACACGGACGGTTCACCGGCTCAGTTTGCCTCCTGCAGCTGCGAAGTCTAGTTGTGTCTGGTTTAACCCGGTTACAGAGGGTGAGATACCGGTGACAGCCTGACCACCCTACTGGACCGGTGACGACAAGACACAACTTCCGGTTTGAGGCTTCGAAATAAAAGCCCCGACCTCCAAATACGTCATCAAAGTTTTTCACGTCATTTATTTTATCAAAAATTGAAAAAAAAAAGAGAGAGACATAAAAAGAAGATAAGAAAAAATAAGACAACCAAAGGTCGCAGCAAAACAAATTCAAGTTATTTTTTTTTACAACCAACACAGGTGGTTGGAAAGACAGATAACTTATTTATTGTAAAATATAAATTAGAAAGTTTAAAAATACAGTTTAGCAAAGGGAAAAGCCTGAAAAGTTCAGATATTTTCCAAAAATGTCCCACTTCCAAAAATGTAATGTTGTACAACAGGAGACAACAAGTGTGTATTACCAAGACCCTGTGTACCTGGAGATCAGCAGTATTTAGAGTTAAGTGTGTATTTGGATGGATTTAAATGTGTTAATCTATTTAGGACTTTCCACTCAAATTACTGTCATGGTCTGTCTGTGAGTCAGAAATAATAGGCAGTATAAACCTCAGAGTGGATCATTTTATTCACATGTGAATGTAGAGAACATGAAACCAGGACATGCACACTTTTTCTTCACAGCAGTAAATGTTTTATTCATTCCTGAATGAAACCAAGCCAATGTTTAAGCTTTAATTTATTGAAACTTATATAAACCACACAGCCTCTCTGACTGTGTGAGGTTGTGATAATAATAAAACCTAAAATAACACCATTTAACAAAATCCTTTTGACTCAACAAGCCAAAAGACAATCTGCAGATATGTCTCATTAATCTGTCAGCTCACAGAAAAGTCCTTAAAGACTCATGAAGGTTCCTGCACTGACTAAAACAACATAATCACATCATAATTCTGACTTTCTCTCTAGGACTTTCAGAGTGAGCTCACTTTCAAACAGCGACAGCTTTAGGTCAGTTTGATCACTAAATTTCTGAGAATATAAACATATATTTGTAACATGTTTGATTCTAACTTCTTATTCTGCAATAAAGTCACAAAAAACAGACCGTTCTTGACTCTATATCAGATCCCCAAACACTCCCTGAGCTGAGCAGGTCATCAGACCTTCGTCGGTGTCTGCAGGGCTCCACAAATTTGTCTGTCTCGTGTTTCCGAGTCCCATCTCTGCGTGTGGAGCTCATACTGCAGTGGTGGCACACTTATGCTCTCTGAGGCTCCTCATGGAGGAGAAGCTCCTGCTGCAGGCAGGGCAGCTGAAGGGTTTCTGTCCGGTGTGAACCAGCTGGTGAGCCTTCAGGTTGTTGTTCTGACTGAACCTCTTCTCACAGATGCTGCACTCAAAAGGCTTCTCTCCACTATGGACACGTTTATGCCGGACAAGGTTTTGTGACACGCTAAAGCTCTTCCCGCAGATCTCGCAGATGAACGGTTTCTCCCCACTATGTGTGCGCTCGTGCAGCTTCATACTGGCCTGTGTGGAGAAGGTTTTCTGACACTGACCACAGCTGAACGGCTTCCCCTCTGAGTGGCTGCGTCGGTGTGTCTTCAAGTAACTCAGAGAGCTGTAGTGGCGCCCGCACACGTCGCAGGTGAATGCTTTGTTTCCACTGTGCAACTGCAGGTGAGTCCTGAGGATGTGGGCGCTGGTGAAGCTCTTCCCACACTCCTCACAGGTGTGAGCTCTATGCCCGCTGTGGGCTAGCTGGTGGCGTTTCAATGAGGTGGAGGAGGAGAAGTTCTTCCCACACTCACCACAGCTATGTGGTTTGATTCCTGTGTGGCTCTGCTCGTGGACCAACAGAGCACTGCGCTGTCTGAAGCCCTTCCCACAAGCCTTGCAGATAAACGCCCACTCACCGCTGTGAACCAAGCGATGCACCTTCAGGTGGCTGGCCTGAGTGAAACTGCGCCCGCATACCTCACAGCTGAATGCCCGGCAGCCTGAGTGGACCAGCTGATGGCGCTGCAGGTTAGCAGACACACTGAAGCTCTTCCCACAGGTTTCGCAGCTGAAGGCCTTCTCTCCAGTGTGGACACGGCGGTGGACCGACAGGCTGCTCCTGCTGGAGAATCTGTTCCCACACTGCTCGCAGGTGTAAGGTCGCTCACCTGTGTGGGTCCTCAGATGAGCTCTGAGGCCACTCTGCTGGCTGAAGGTCCTCCTACAGATGCTGCAGGTGAACGGCCTCAGTCCTCTGTGCACAGTGAGCTGGTGGACGTGGACGCTGCGCTGAGCAGTGAATCCTTTCTTACAGGTAGGACATTGAAAGGGTTTGTCCTTTTGGTGGACTCTGAGGTGTGCCGACAGGTAGCTGTGTTTGGTAAACTGCTTCCCACACTCTGCACACCTGAGCCCCTCCTGAGTTTTCTGACAGCTGAGTCTGTGCTGGGGGAGACAGCACCTCGCTGCCAGCACCTTTCCACACATCAGACACTTGAACGGCACACCACGGCGCCCCCAGCTGGACATCTGGTGTGCCCTGAGGTGGCTGCGGGTGCCAAATACCTTCCTGCAGCGAGGACACTTGTGAGGCCGCTGCTTGTTGTGCACAGTGAGCTGGTGAACTCTGATGCTGCTCCGGGCGGAGAAACCTTTCCCACAGGTGGGACAGGTGAAGGGCCGCTCTCTGCTGTGGACACGCAGGTGAGCACTCAGGTTGGAGCGTCTGGAGAAGGTACTGCTGCAGACGCCACAGCTGAAGGTCTGTCTGCCACTCATAGGTTGGGGGGTTTCACCTGATTGCCGGCTTGTCTCAACCTGAGTGTCCCCCTCAGCTGCAGGGTGGTGGAGGTCCTGCAGAGGCTGTTCTGTAGAGACAGACATGATGACTATGAGCAGAGTGAGACTAAGACCCCTAATGATGAGAGCACAGTGAGTTATCTTAGTCCTTACTGTCCTCCTGCTGCTGTCTGCCCTTCAGCTCCTCGTTCTTCTCCAGCAGCCTCCTCAGCTCCTCCAGCAGAGCCCCACAGAGACTCCTCATCAAGGCCCGCAGCTGCTCCTGCACCAAACACAGACATGCATCATGTCTATGACACCTCATGTTGGTCTCATTCTTAAAGATGCTATGTCCGCACAGACAGCTGTAGACTGTGTGACCTTTGAACTTAGTATTGCTGATGAACCTGTATAGAGACTAAGGAGGCTGGATCAGCTCTGAGTTCACTGACCCCCTGAGTTGTTGATTTCAGATCAGCTGATCTGAATGTATGCATGCTGAATATAAAAAGACAACATGACGTTACACAGCGATACAATGCCAACAAGTCGAGATCATACCATGACAGTTTTCAGCGGCCAGGGATGACACTAGTTTTGAGAGCAGGCCGGCCAATGGTCGACATATGATGATATCATAATGTATTTTTCCTTTTTTGCGTGTTTGACAAATTATAACGACATAATGATACAAACAAATGAGAAACAAACTTGCTGAACTTAAGTGAATATTTTATTGATCAGTGTAGATGGAAAAATATTTGGCTTGGTAGCTGGATCGCAGGATTTCTGTCCGGCTATCTGACATAATCAAGAAAAAGAAAAAGGTAATATTATTATCTTGATTTTTAAACTGCATGTTCCTACAAATTTTTAATCCAACACTGGCCTGAGTCTGTTTTAGATTCAACGTGCTGTCATTGTAGATGGGAAAATGCATTTTTCATGTGAATAGATGATGGTAAAAGCTGCTTCATAAGGGCCAATGCTGAGCACAGAGAATTTACATGAATCAGCCGGATTGATTGACTGATTAATCGTCTACCTCTACCAGCAAGAAGTTCTGCCTTTTGATCCTTCAACTAATTCAGATACAATCTTGCTTGAGTAAAGCGAATGTGGAAACAGCTTGAAAGTAAATGTATTTACAGCAAATAATGGTCCTGACTGTGATCGCAGTGAAACAGCTGCTGTGTCAAATATTGGCTCTGTCCAAAACAGAGAGATTTCTGGGTATCTGTTAGTGGTCAACTGACGTTTATTTTTCAGGACCAATACTGATTATCTGTCAGTCTGACTAACAGATTTAGTTGAAATTCAGTATATTCAAAGTGAACTTCTAACTTATTTCATCAGCTATCTGAAATACAAGAAGCAGATACAGTTACAGATCAATAATCAGTGGAGTCTGAGTTCCGACACTGTACTTGAATTCCTTATATTATATTAGGATCATGTGGGTACTGTTGTCCATGGAACATTCAGCAATAATAGCAATATTTTTTACAGTGTATGAGTACCACTGGATCTCAGTCTACAATCTCAGAGACATTTTCTCCAATTTTAGAGCTCAGGCATCTTTTAGGCCCAGAAACCCCAGCATGAAAGGAATAGCTATGCTGATGGCTTTAACACCATTTGGCAGCCAGTCCTAAACCAGGTGAAAAAGATGGACCCCTAAGTAAAGTGCAAAAATCCCCAGCCACCCACCCACAACCTCCTGTTTTTTTTTCCTTCTCTTTTTTAAAATTCTGAATTGGTAAACTTCTGCATGTGCACTTACATATGTATTTGTCTTTTTGTCTTTATCATAGCTGACTTATATAACCATAATTTTAGTCTACATTCTCTTCTTTGATTATTTTGTTTATTGGTAGTTTATTGATACTAATGCTGGTGTAACAATGCAGGGTGATTGACAGGATGGTATTTTGGAAGAAAAAAATCATCTGACTGTATTGTTTATGTATTTTCCTTGAGTTTCTTGAATTTGTAAAATTGAATCATTACAGAAATAAAACATAGAATAGTACACATAACGTACGGAAAACCGCCTTAAAGTAACAACATTATTTATACATTACTCACAGACAAATATTCTCTAAGCCAGAAGCGTTTTTGGAAAATGAATACACAGCAGCAAAATGTGAACAGCCACTTGTTTTGTCTGTGTGGTATCAACTGCAGCACGGAGGAGACCTACAAAGCTCCACACAACGAACAGAGCGCTCACTCTGACGCGATTTCTGAGGCCCAATGAGCTGAACTGTCACTCTGATAAGTAAAACAAAGCACTAAATTTCTAAACCTTTCAAACTAATGACTTATTTACTTATTTAACATTTTCGACTGTTTACGTTCACCTTTAAGGCAGCACAGTTTAACTTTGAAAATATAAGCCCACTTAGAAAAAAAAAAGAAAAAAAAAAAAACAGAGACAAAAATGGTAGGACATGATGGGCGCAGCTCTTCAAAGTTAATAGAATATTTTGATCCCATTTGTGGACTAATGCACTGACTATAAATAAAATAGAGAAAAAAAACCCTGAGTTTTCTACAATATTTCCTTTTAATTTCATAGATAAATGTGTATAAATCAGAGTACTTCTGGACTGACCAATATAGACGATTGTGAATAAACAGGTGTTTTAGGACAGACACTTTAATTCTATAGAATTATGTAAATAAATCAGTGTTTTTTGACAGACCCTTAATTTCATAGATAAATGTGTATCAGTACTTTTCTTTCCCTGACTTTTTAATCTCGTCGATAAATGTGAATGTATCAGGGTGATTCTGGACGGACTCTTTAATTTCATAGATAAATGTGTATAAATAAACAAATTTTATGGATAAATGAGTATAAATCAGTGTTGTTTGCTGGCCCTTTAATCCTATGGATAAATTTGTATAAATTAGCATGTTTTTTGTTTTGTTTGTTTTTGTTTTTTTACCGATTCTTTAATTGTATAGATAAATGTGGATGAATCAGGGTGTTTCTTGACTGACCTCGGTCTGTGGGTCTCCCTGGGGCTGTTTGAGTCTCTGACAGATTTCAGTCGCCGCATTCATCATGAACTCATCTAACACGGCTGACACCAGCTTCTCTACTGAGGACGACATTTCCTTTTCAAAATTTAATGATCGTTAATCCAGTAAAAGTGATCACAGAAAACGATCAGCGTGTTTTTGTTGTCTCCAGGCAGCCATTGCTGGAGAGTTTACGACAAAGCATACTTACTGACGGCAGATCTCATAGAAGAAATTAGGGGGAAAGTCCGCCTCCCGCCCTCTGTTGGCCGGAGGTCAAACTGTATCAACAACCGTCTTTGTATTCAAGACCTGATTCATTATGAATAGATTGAACACAAATCCAAATTTTAAACTTTTATAAAACAAAAAACAAAAAACGACAACAAAAAAGAAAAAGATCTGTGTTTTCTTCATTTTTAATCAAATGAGCACATGAATGTGAAGCGTAGAAAATATACTCTAAAGCAGTTTTGTGAAGAAATGTACCAAAGGGCTCGGGATTAATTCAAACATGGAACAAAAAAGAAATAAATATGGAGTCCATTGTGTGGTACATGATGTATGTTTTTTACTCACAGTGTGCTTTCCATGTCAAGCTTTGAATACTTAATTAGGGGGGGGGGGGGCTGCGTGATCACTATCACCTTTGTATCACGCACGCCCCTTGTAATAACCCCCGTACCCCGTAAAAACTGTTGTTCAGGACTGCTTACTTGTGCCTTCTACCCACTGCTACTGTAATAACCGTTGTTCGAGCCCACACACAACATTTTTGTTCCCATTCATGAAACTCTTAAATTGGGGACATTTTTAGGGACAGTTTTTGCCGGAGACAGGTCATCCAATTCGGGGACTGATCCCGGAAATCAGGGACATCTGGTCACCTTAAGCTGGGTGGACCATTTACTCTTTAAAGCAAGGATGTGGCATCCATGGTTTCCAAAAAGAGTGTCAGATTGTGATTTATCAGCCCAAGTGAAGTGATTTGGAGCCCATGCAGCAATTTCCACTCCAGAGTCCTGTCTGTCTTTAATGTAGTGCTGCCTGAGGGCCTGAAGACCAAGACCATCCAGTCCTGGTTTTGGTCCTTGTCCCTTTAGTAGAGAGTTTTCCAGATTCTCAGAATCTTTAATGATATTATATATTGAATTTCATTTCGGGGAGAAATAAAGTTATTCTTTTGTACTCTAGATGATGAAATCCACTCATTCTTTCACACTCAGGAACATGATTCTTAAACTGTTGAACTATATACTCACACAGTCTCTCACAGAGTGGTGAACCTCTCAGATACTTGGCCTCTCTGAATGTCCTTTTTATACTCAGTCATGTGACTAACCTGTTGGAAATTCACCTAATTAGTTGGAGATGTTCCTTCAGCAGTTTTTGTAGAATTACACAACTTTTTACCTGTTTGGTTGACCCTCTTAAACCATTTTGTACCTGTTTGGTTGTTTCTTTAACTTGAGTTGATGTTGAATATCACTTCATGTTAAATAAATAATATGATCATCATATCTGAAAAATAGGAAACAGACAACTAGATTTTAACTGTTAATCTATAAAATCTGTAAATGTTTTACAAAGTCATGTTGAAAATAAACTCTGACATAGACCAATATCAAACATTGACAGAGTGAACATTTTAAGAATTCTATAATATTTGATCAAATCAGAGATGGAGCAGTCTCTGTGACTGACCTATCTATCTGATTTAATGCTTTTACTGCATCTATACATGATTTAGTTTGGATCAGCTCAGTCCACAGTGATACACACTCACGTCACAGTCAGTCAGTGTAGCAGTGCACAGTGGACAGAGTACAGATAGTCTTTAATGTGCTACAACATTTGATTGTTTCTATCTGGGTGACCTGTGGTGGTCCTCAGTCTGACACTACAGCGTGAAGTTGTTCGTCTGTCTTCTTCTACAGTTTTCCTCTCTGCTTCCTGTAGAGTTTGTGGGCCTCGATGATCTCTTTGACCACAGATGGATCGTCTAGAGTCGACACATCGCCCAGGTCCCCAGTCATCTCCATTGCAACCTTCCTGAGGATTCGCCTCATGATCTTCCCAGAACGTGTTTTTGGGAGCCGCTTCACCACCTGAGAGACAAACAGGTGAGACACACCTGAACAGCAGAGTTCTTCCACCCCATTCGCCATACTGACTCTCTTTCACCCTCATGAGAGTACAAAATGTTTGTTTGAGATGAATTTGTTTCCATGAAAATTGGAGGTAGGCAGGGTCTCACCAGGAAATGCTCAGGGACTGCGTATTTGGCAATCTTTGTGGTGACCAGCTCTCTGAGCTCTTGCAGGATGGCTGGCGGGTCATCAGAAAATTCCTCCTTCAAAACAACAAAGGCAAACGGTACTACACACGCAGACACACACACAGACACACACACACACGCACACACACACACGCACAGACAGACGTTTTCTATGTAAGCCATAGTCATCAATGTCATCTTCAGATTGAATAACTCACTGAAGAAAAAACAGAAGGTAAATGCGGCTTCATAAAAACAACTCAAGCTTTTCTACAGTAAAGGAAGTGACAGTTTTTCTCAGTTGCTTTGGTGCATTTCTCACATCACTATTAACATTTGCACAGCAGTTGGTTTAACCACAATCCACAACACTGTGTGATTTGTGCACATCATAGCAACAGTTTTTCATTCCTTTCATCAAAGTGCAAATTCTTTTGGACATGCATCAATTGCTGTCCTACAATTCTCTGCTGTTGTTTAACATTATCATATGCTTCCATCATGTCAGTCAAAATGAACTATACTTATGAATGCTGAATCGTCATTCCCTACAAAACTAATACCCCCATTTCATTGCTTGAGTCATTACATACAAAAATATTGAACAAGTCCTCAAAATCCATCAGACAAATTTCATACATTTCTTTATCTTTTTTCCTGAAAATGTCTTTTAAAATAAACAACTTCTCTCAGGTGAATCTCAGCCTTCACTGTTGAGGAGGGCTGTGTGAAGCAGTAGTTGCAACCGATGATAAGCCACTTCTCCACTGTCACTCAGAGCTGAATACCATGAGGCCTCACATGAGCCAAGCAGGACATAGTATGAACCATTTCTACAATAGTGTGACACAGTAATGGAAGGCCAGTGTGGTGGAAGAGGGGTGAAGATGTGGGGAGAAAGGGGAGGTGGGACAAAATAGGGAAGAGGAAGAAGAGGCAGAGAACATGGGCAGATTCCTGATGAAATTGGGGCTACAGTTGTAGGCCATACTGTCATGAATTGCCTCAGAAGGGCTCAGGCTGGCCAAAGGGATCAGCCAAACGTTGGGAAAAACACTGTAACTTCAATTATTCAAACATTTGGTTAGAAGAACAAGTGTGTCTATCAGACAGTAATGCAGTACTAAACAATCTGCACTACGCTACTGTTATTGTGTTATACATGAAGCTCACAGTGGGACAAGAACTTGTCACTTTTTACATTTTACATTTACTTACAGCTTACTTACAGCACATATTTACTGTATAGTAGATTGATGATTGCAAACAATGCCATAAGGTTGAGAAAGATACAAAGCGCTGTTATAGTGTTACCTCTATGTAAATACAGTAATGTGTATTTACTGTAGTTTTCAAATATCTGTACATATCTGTACATCTGATAGTGTCACCAAGATCTGACTTTTTTTTCATTTGAAAACAGAGAGTAAACTGTCAAAATGAAAACATGACAAAGTCATTTGACTATCTGGTTCAGAAACATTGCTGTCAGGACTTGTATTTTGATCATTTACTGACACTGTCATTGACATGAGTACTTGCTTTTAAGGAGCCAACTATCTATTTTGAGTAAAAGAGACGCACCTTTGCAGGTCATCAACTAGGTTTTGCTGTTTGTACTGATTTTTTTGAGAAATGCACCAACTTTTGTGCAAATGTTAATAGTGATGTGAGAAATGCACCAAAGCAACTGATAAAAACTGTGAAACAAAGATGTAAAGAAGAAAAAAGATTTTAAAAAAAACAGGAAAGAGAGATAAACAACTAAAGGAAAAAACTAAAGGGAAGAAAGAATCCAGGACAAGTAAAGAAGGTAAAGGGAGAAAGAAAAAAGGGAGGAAGAAAGAACTGAAGAAGAAGAGGAAAGATAAACAAAGAATGGGAATGATAAAATGGAGAAAAAGACAAAAAAAACACAAGGAGTGCAAAAGTATACACAAAGGTAGTAAGAGGAAAAAATGAAGGAAAGGAAAGGAAAGGAAGGAAAAGAAGGAAAAAGAAGACAAGGTGAAAAGAAAAAGTATAAAGAAAATAAAGCGTAAGAAAATAGAAAAGAAAGGTAGGGAGGAAAGAAGGAAGGCAGGAATGAAGAGTAACTTAAGGAAGGAAGGAAGGAAGGAAGGAAGAAAGAACTTTAGGTAGGAAGAAAAGACAGAAGGTGGGAAAGAAGGAGAACTAAAGGTAGGAAGGTAGGAGGAAAGGCAGGAAGGAATAAGGAATGATGGAAGAAAAAAGAAAAAGAAAAAGGAAGGAAGAACTTAAGGTAGGAAGAAAAGACAGAAGGTGGGAAAGAAGAAGAACTAAAGGTAGGAAGGTAGGAGGAAAAGCAGGAAGGAATAAGGAATGATGGAAGAAAAAAGAAAAAGAAAAAGGAAGGAAGGTAGAAAAAGAAAGGAAGAATGGAAAGAAGGAAGAAGAAGAGGGATGGAGGGGAAAAGAAAGGTAAAAAGGAAAGACGGTAGAAAAAAGGAAGGAAAAATGGAATGATGAAATGAAAGAATGATGAAGGGTTGGGAGGCAGAAAAGAAGGGAGGAAAGAAAGAACAGCAGGGGGCAGCAGAGTGTTATAAATCAAACTGGTGTCATGTTCTTCAGTTTCAGTGTGAGATCACTTTGCTGCGTCTGATCTGACTGAAGTTCAGCAGATCAATAATCACAAACAAACTATTGAGGCTGAATCACAGATGCCTTTTTTAATAAAAAGGGCACTTTAATCAATTTGATCAATAACAGAAAAAAACTAACAACATGCTGACATAAACAGCAGACAGAAAGGGTGATATCATGAAAATATTTGATATGAATGTAACTCTCTGGTCATTTATACTTTATTGGAGAGATTCTTTCTTGAATTGTCAAAGCTAATCTGCCATACTTTTATCATATTTAATTGTTTCCTGTCTCTGTGTTCTTGCTCTGAGTTCCTGACTGTCTTCCACAAAAAGAAAACACACTGCCCTTGTGCATTTGTTTTGAAGGACCTGAGAGTTTAATTTTTACATTTGTCTCCTAATGATCCATTGGCCAAACACTTTACAACCATTTAACACAATTACATAAAAACAGCAGAGGATAATGGGAGTTCAGGAGTGTCACATGTGTTTGAGCACTCACCTTCTCCTTTGATGTCATGTGGGTAACCAATCACAGCGGTTTCTAGAACAGCTGGGTGCTCATCCTGAGACACCAAACACAGCATTAAAACAGAGTCAGGGCAAAACATAAGGAAACAGAAAACATAGTGGCCTTTGTGGAGTGACTTTATCTCCTCTAACCTGCTGAATGTAAGTGCACGTGAATCAACAACAGTACCATAAAGAGTACATTTAACACCAAAATATCGGCAAACCTGGAGGCTTATGTGTGATGCGGCTACATTTAGGAAGGTTTCGATTAAAACTCTCTGATACAGTTTGAAAAACAGGATGGAAGGGAGCATAACTAAGCCTCAGCCAGTTCACATAGTTGAGCTGTGAGCTCAAAAAGAGTTTCAATCTGGTTCATCACTGACTCACCTGGATTGGCACATTAAAACTAGAGCCATATGGTCCACTTTGAATGAACCCTGGTTTGTTACAGAATGGTCTAACAATCTTTAGAAACTTTTCTGGGAAACTTTGTTTGAGCATGTTTGTCTGTCAGCACGTCTTGAGTTTAAAATAATTTGTGCCTGCTGTGCCTCGTTTCAGTGGATTTAACACCATCTTTGCATCTACAACTCCTACATTGAGCTGTGTGGAAGTTGAAACATTATAGTAACAATGTAGAAACTGTTCTGTCGTACTAGCCCGATGCACATTTTGCATCTATGTGCACCTCAGCATTGACTTTGAGATGAAATAGCTGATGGAGAAACTTGCTGTTTTCTGAGCAACACTGTTAAAGCGTTGAAGATAGATGTGCCACGAGAATCTAAGCTTTACAGAAAAAAAGTCTAACCAGGGCATCCTCAATCTCTGCCGACCCGAGACGATGAGCGGCAACATTGATGACATCATCTATCCGTCCAGTTATCTGGTAGTTGCCGTCCTCTGAGCGGTATGCTCCATCCCCAGTGAAATAACAACCTGACAGGACAAAAAAAAAAAAGTTCATAGCCTGGGATCAGAAAAGAATTGCGGCAGTTTGATTTATTTCACTGACCAGGATATGGTTTGAAATACGTATCAATGAATCTCTGGTGGTCTCCATAGATGCTTCGAGCCATCCCCGGCCACGGCTGGGTGAGAAACAAAGCTCCACTGACAGAGTTAGCATGTAGAGGTTCACCCTGTAATCACACAGTGTGTTACAGACACATCACACTTACATTATACAGAATAAGACTGTACATGTATACTCAGTTATTATTGGTGTTTAACCTCAGCGTTTAAAGTCATCATGAAACCTGCTTTGGTTACATTTACAATTTTAATTGTTCAAGGTGGCGGTCTTTAGCCTAATCTGTGAGAATAATCCCATGAATTTTGAACTTTAGCATTAACCTCAGTCAGATAGCATTGTTTTGTTGTTGGGACATGGGCAAAACCTGAGGCTTATTAGCCCCAGTGCATTAAAGTCATATCCTGTGGTATGACCTGTTCGCTGTAGCTGTGTTTTTGTTTGCGTTCAAACTTGTTAGTGTGAGCTCAACATTTGAGAACTTGCAGAACTCCTATATTAGGAAAATATTAAGATTTGAAACTTAAGTTGTAGAGATTTCAGTCATTATTTAAGTCACAGATTAGCCGCATAAAGCTGTCAGGAAGGCAGATACCACTTGTCTCAGCTTTCCTCCACATTCCTCATTTTGATAGAGACAGCTGGCCACTCACCTTTTACCACAACTATGAATTTGTCACCCCTTTATTCTTATAACATGATGACTGTATTCTCATAATTTCAAGACCTAATTTTCATAACATAAAAACTTCTTTTGTAACATATCTTATACTAATAGTGTTCTCATAATTTCAAAAACTTTTGTCTTTAATGTGGCCCTTATATTCTGCTGTGTAAATTTAATCTAGTTAAAGAAAAAGAATTATTGATAAATAATTAGCAGCAAATGAAAATTACCCCTCAGTAATAGTAATGATTATTTAAGCTCCTATGATGAATTTTTTTAAATAGATTTTCAATACAATACCTCAACCAAGTAGCAGCAAAGTCTGGTCTCTCTGAATTTTCCGCAATGTTCGCTCTATTTTTTATATTTGTACTATACTGCTGTACTGTCAACTGCTAATTGGTATTTCTGCCAGGAGAAGAGTTTATTCAAGAAAGGAAGAACTTCTTTTATTGAGACTGAGCGGGTTTGGATGACAGTATCGGGTTCCAGAGGACATCTAGAGGTGTGTTACTGTGCTGGTGCAAAGGTGAAAGCAAAGTTAAAGGGTTGGAGATATAAACCCTTTCTCCCATAAGTCATTATGGGAAACATGTACTCTCTGCCCAACTAAAGCTGGAGATCTTGGTGAAGACTGAGAAAGCATACTGTGAGTGCAGTCTCCTTGTGTTTTACTGAAACCTGGTTGAATCAAAACAACTCGGACTCCAGTGTGGATCTACCTGGCTTCACTCTCATAAGATCAGACAGAGATGCTCAAGCTAGTGGCAAGAAGAAAGGAGGAGGTCTGGCTTCATTCGTCAACCAGAGATGGTGTAACCCTTCACACATAACTGTCAGTTATGTTGCGTTGTCCAGATACTGAACTGTTGGCAGTTGACCTTTGGCCATGTTATGTTCCAAGGGAGTTCAGTCTTATCATAAGAATTCTTGTTTACATCCCACCTAAGGCAACGGCTAGATTCTATGTGATGATCTTCATGAAACAATCGCTAGGATACAGACTCAATATGGTGATAAACTGGTGAAAAAGGCTGGCTCTGTGATTGGATTCAAGTTGGACTCACTGGAGGATGTGGTGGAGAGATGTAGACCAAGGAAGGTGGAGTCTATTCTAAAGAGCATGGATCATCAATTGTATCATCAGTCCATCACTTGATGGACCAAAAAACAACAGTAGTGGACGGCTCCTCTCTCTTCACTGCAGGACAGAAAGATTTTGAAGATCTTTTGTACCCACAGACATCAGACTGTTTAATTCTTGTGTAAATAGGAGATGAGATGTTTCAGCCAAATAAATTTCCTTTTCTCGACATTCCTGAAAAGTGATTTTACCCAAAACTCTCATCCAACAGACTTTTGAGAGTCAAATTCATCATTTATTGTGAATATTTCAAGCTAAAAAACATATAAACTGTGCTGTTTCTTCTGCTGCTAGGCTGACACCTACTTCCCCACACCAGTTCAAGGCATTAAAATTAAAAAGATCATCAATCTTTCCCCTGACGGTCTTATCCTTTTTTGTCAGGCATAAAATGGCATCAATGTGGAAATTGAATGTGTCATAAATGATCAAAACTCTTCATGGGCGCTTTAAATTAAATAATAAACAATAATTCTGGGCTACTAGATTTCACTCACAAACCCTGCATGTCGACTGAACATACAACATTTAATGAAGTTATATTATGGCATCTTAATGTTTAGTATCAAATGAAAGGGCATTAATTTGAGTTGATTTTAGTGGAGAGGCATGTTTTCACAGTTTTCTTTACACTTAAATCCAGAGGTTGTATTTTAGGTGTATGTCTTATATTGGTTCACAGGCAGAGGATCCAGAGGGCCCTGTGACATTTTTCATCTTTTAGAAAAACAACAGTTTTATACATATTTTCAGTGGAAAGGGCATCGGTAAAGAAAATGTATCTCATGTTTTCACTTCAAGAGACTTTTCATTGTAATGAGTGGAGCCGCAGTTTTTACTCTGAGAAAACATCTGAAAACTCGCTCTGCCTATCCATCAAGTAGTAGCAGCACCTTCGAGGGTTTAAGAAGGAGAGTTTGAGCCACTTTAATTGAACCAAAGATCCACAGTGACATATGATATCAGATCAGAATTACTTGCTTGTGTTGTGTGTAAACACTGTTGCTGTCTGTCTGCTCGGAAAATGAGGCCAGTGTTAAGTGGTACAAATGAAATCCTGCACAAACTGTCTAATAATCACTTCAGGGCTGCATTCATCAGCCTCACAGAGCAGTCAGTGTTAATGCTGAGAGGATTGGCATGAAAGTGAAGTGACCTCCTCCCAGGATGAAGTGAGAAACTGAAGGAAGCCTAATGAAATCTAATCTAGACCAAGCAGTAACAGCGCTGATGAAAAAAACGTCAGATTAGAGCTCTTTAACCCAGGGAGAGGGCAAAATGGGGAAACTAGTGGATAATTAATTTGGGGGAGCAGTGATCATCCCAACTGAGCCTGAAAGTCTGTTAATCAAAGCAAACATATGCCGCTGGACCGCCTGAACTCTAAGATTAAACCTCGAAAGAGAGAGGGTGTCACTCCAAGGATGGTGTGACCCCTCACGTCCAGAGATCAAGTAGGGTTAATGAAAAGCAGAGATTGATCGAGGATCCCATCTAAAGCGCACTGGAAGGAAACACTGGCTCTCTCTGTCACCAACAGAAGCGGAACATTTTCTTCTTTATTCCACACAGCACATGGGCTCATCTTTACTTGGACCATTTTTAAGACAGCTGCAAAGGTGAGGCAACATGAACACAGACTCTAAAGCACAGGTGCACAACTGCTGTCTGTCTGTGCATCTGAAATTTGACATGAACAGATCATAACACTCATAATGTGAAAAAAGATTATGCAAAATCACCTCAAATAGATGTCAGAGGGGAAAAAGACAAATAAAGTGATGCAAAGTGATCACTGTTAGATAAAACAGATGGTAAAACAATGATAGACAGCTGCAAAACCACCATGGGAAGACATAGTATATGGGACCACCAAAAGGAAAAAAGTAAGATGCAAAACCACTGCAAGGACATATGAGGGACTGCAAAGTGATCGAAATGACCCTACACTCTCAAAAAATGATGTGCTGACTCAACTTTCAATAATTGATGTAACAATGTGGATGGATATTTTTCAAGGTCTTTTAAACTTACCTAGTATTAAGTACATGCCTCAAGACTTCTCTAGTTTGGCCAGCTGAATTACTTTAGTACAAGCAACATGATAAGCCTGGTCCTCTACAAGAGTTGGAGAAATGAGTTTGCTTGGTGAGTACAATTTTGACTCGTTTTATACAGCTAATAACTGCATCAGCAGACAGTACAACAGTACAATAAACTGTTTAACACATGGTCAGCAGTGGTAATGTGTAAGCTAGCAGTAATCTTAATAATTCGCTCTAACATTAGTGTTTGTTTAGTTTAGTTTTACAATGGCAGGTTTTAATTGGCACTGGTTTTCTGTACTTTTTACTTTGTTTCTTTTAAATGTAGTTACAATTCGTAAAAGTGTTGGAGGTTTGAGCAGCAATAGCTTCATGGTCCGCTCTCAAATCAGTCTCAAGAGCAGGACCATCAATAGGTTCAATCTTTCTGAGAGTTTTACAGTGCTATTTTATGTTGTGAGTTTCCTGATTTATTTTAGGTTACATTTTGATGTAAAATGTGAATATACACTCAGTCCTGTTACTGTAAGTGAGGTGCTGACTGGTGTTTAAATAAACAGATCATAAAACTGAGATTTAAATGTGTGAGTTATTCTGACTGAGATAAATAAGTTCTTGTACAAAAATAATGATGTGACAATTTGCATGGACATTTCTGAGTAGATGAAAGGAAAAGTAATAAGTTAGAATCACTAAAAAAAGTCATTTTAACACAATTAAAATGAAGTCTGTTTAACTTCAATAAGCTTGTAGAGGACCAGGAAAATCATATTGCTTGTACTAGAGTAATTGAGGTGGCCTAACCAGAGAAGTCTTGTGGCATGTACTCAATACTAGGTGAAAGAACTTGAAAATGCCCATGCAAATTGTTACATCAATTTTTTACATTGAGTCAGCACAACATTTGTTTAAGTGTGGTTCCTTTCTTTGTGTTTGCAGAGGTACTTTTGTGGTTGCTCTGCTCAGTGTGCAAGTCACCTTCTCTCCCATAAGGACTGGCTGGATGCCGAAAAACGGCCTCATGGCCATTGTTGGAATGATGGGTGCTCCTTCCTCTGCAGGACGAGGGGCAATACAGACTCATCCGGTCTGTACAGGATGAGAGAGACAGATTTGATAAATGTCAAAGAGAAGAGACAAACTGAGAGAATTTTTCACTTTCCAGCAGAACTGTATATCAGCAATGTTTTGGTTACAAAGAAAAATCAGATTTCTGAGTTCATAGAAAGGTTTAAAAGACTCGTTTCTTTCATCATGGCTCCTGTGTTGTTTTTTAATTCAGTAACACTTCTTTGGTGCAGTGTGCAGATCAGATCAGTATCAACAAGAAAAAAAAAAACACAGGATGGCCCTTGTTACTAACCCATATGTGCCTGAACTGATGAATCACAGGCAAGAACATTAAAAACAGAAAATAACCACTTAGGTAGATTATTCTTAGACCTGACAAGTGTGAACATGTGTAGACAGTTTCACAGATACGAGTAGACTCCACTTTTGAACTTTGACTCAGCGTCCTTTAACTGCCAGCAGGGGGCATCAGATTTTTTTTCCAACATGCAGCTTTAATTTCCTTTAATTTCTTAATTTATTGGGGATTTCTCCTCTTCTTAAAGAAAGAAGCAGCTGGCAGAGAGTTTAGAGACTGATTTAAAAACAACACACACACACACACACACACACTGAGGGCTCTGTGGAGTAATTGTCGAGGAATTAGGTCATACATACACACACTCATAGAGCGGTGTCAGTGATCCTGGACTGTCTTGTCTGTGGGGCGAAGGGGGTGTAAGTGTGTTGAGAATTTAATCGCGATTCATTTTCCTGCTGCAGAGCTGCAGATGTTCTGCTGCTAATCTGTTAAATTAGGGTTTAAGCTTTAGTAAAAAGAGAGTCAGACCGACTCACAATCGGATCAATAGTCCAACAACCAAACAAGCTAACAAACAAGAGGAAAGACCCAGATGAAGCACATCTCAGACTTCATCTAGGATTTGGTTTATATTCAATTGGTTTACATGAGTCCAACAGACATTTTTTACAGACAGACTGCCTCTGAAGTTTTCTAGAAATGGAGAGCTTGGGGGTGGGGGCTGGGGTGTCTCAGAGGGTCAAAATTATGATGTCAAAAGGACACTGTGGTGGTCATCCTTTTCCACCAGTGGTCCTGGTGTTAGCGCTGGTTCAGAGGTGGTTCAAAGCTTATGTCTTATGTTTGCAGAGTTTACAGGTATAATTAACTGTGGAGGTCTGATTACAACACAGTTTTTTTTCTCATGTAAAACATATTTGAAAAAGTGTGATCATCTCATATTCAGGATCCTGATTTCTTACTCAGTTACCCAATCTGAACAAAGTAAATGGGAGTGACTCCACAGCTCACACACAAAGCAGGCAAACATTACAGTCTCCCCAAAAAACTGAACAGGATGAAGTCTGGATTACTTTATGCCACACCAAAGTACAGCAGGCACAGAGAGGACTCAGAGTTAATAATAGGAACCATTGTTGGGACAACGTTAAAGAGTAAAGGTCCTTACACACTGGCGAATTTGCGGAGCGAAGCGAAAAAGCGAGACGAAAATTGCGAATATTCACCGGTCCGAAAAATCGCTTTCGCCTATGCACACCGGCCGCGAAGCGAATATGCGTATATTTTTTGCAAAGCGAATTAATGAAGTCGTTTTGCGGCACGGAGGAGAGGAGATGCGAGGTGGAAGACAAGAGAGTGTCATCTTGTGAGGAAACTACTTCATTAGTAATTAGAAAGAGTTTTGGATGCACCTCAGCTGCCTTTCTCTGCGTATTCATAATCTCAAACTTCTCCCTCTCCTCCAGCCGTATGGGTCTGTGACGTCATCAACAACATGACTTTTGATTGGCCAGAGGTCTAGCAGGTCCAGATATTCGCCTGCGAATATCCGAAAAATTCGACACAGGAGCGAAAAAATAAAAGCGGCTTTTCGCCTGCGGAAAAATCGCCGCCGGTGTGGAAGCTTGCATTGACTTTATGCTGTTTTAAAAAAAGGCGAACAATTCGCCGGCGAATTCTCGCCCGGTGTGTAAGGACCTTAACACTCTCTGTCACCTGCAGTAGTATGACATATGCTTTATAAAGACAAATGAAACACCAAGTGTTTGTACAGCTCCATAGCCCTACATGTCTGGAAAAAGGGATTAAAAAGGATTCACTGTGCGGGATCTAGGCCAGTTAGTTAGTTAGTTATTTTATTGATTTGGTTGCACAGTTTGTCCTTGTGTGTGATTTGGTTTCTGTCCTGTAAAGCTGTAAACAGCATCATTACAGCATCAACCCCACCTGAACTTGCTCTCTGTCAGTCTTTGAAGCTCTATAATAAAAATCTCTTAGAGAATGAGTTTTATACTCGAGAGGGTTTTACAAGTTGTAATGAAAGAATAAAAGCATCAGAGACTTTCTGTAGGTCAGTCACCTCATAAAAACAGAAGAGTGTACAGACCCTTTACTGATAATAAACTGTGGATATACTCCAACACACTGCTGACATGCGGCAATAAAACAAACTGCATCTGCTGTGCATGACTGTGTGTAAATGTGTGTGTGTTTTGACCTTAGCATCACTCACCTGTCTGCCACCAGGTGTCCACTATAGGACACAGTCCATCTCCAACCACATCATGGAACCAGTGCCAGGCCTCGTGATTGATGGGCTCTCCAACTGCACACACACAGTCTGTTTGTGTGTTGTTAACAGGTTGGCTGGTCAGTTACAGCTTATAGTAATCAGCCTGTGTCTGATAACTCAGGTCAAAATTGAGGTGTTTTCAGGAGGATAATGAATCAAATCAAATCTCAAAATCAGAAATGAAACATCAGAGTTGACTCAGTTAACCTGAGAAAGAAGAACCACGATAAAATGGATCAGGGACAAACAGAGACAGATCATTTAAAGAGCTTTATGGTTATAATGTGTTCAGATTCAATCTTATAGTGGACTTGGATCATGGAGACGCTCTCTGTTTCATCAAGAAGAGGGTGGACAGTCAGACTTTAAACAGGTTTTAATTGTAATTCATTGTTTTATTTTATTTGTTCAGTTCACATAGACATACAGTAAAGGTCATGACTCACCAGGTCGTATTTGCGGTCGTAAGAGAATAATTTGCTTTTTTCTAATTTGCTTCCACACTGGCAACAAACTTCCGCAGAGCGAAAAAAGTGACTATAATTCTTTCACCCCGGTAGTAAGTTTTGCCAACATTTGCAGACATCTGGCCAATCAAAATGCATGTTGAAAAAAACTAGCTTGTTTCATTGTGGCGGAGAGGTTTGTTTACATTGGGTTCATTTCTACTCAATTCATAGAATGAATGCTACTGTGCTCCTACTTTATAGAGGGCAAAGTTAAGTCTCAGTGGAAGAACTTCAGAGATACTTACATGAGACACAATAAAAATAAGAAGAATGAGGAAAGGAGTGGCTCAGCAGGAGGAAGATAAAAGAAATGAAACATGGCTTTTATTTTTTACAGTATGGGTTCAAACAAAACAGTCAAACTGGTGTACATATATATATATATATATATATATATATATAAACAGTATATATATGTAACAAACAATGAAAAATGAATGACGTAATAATTGACAATAATTGTTATATACTATAAATGGAGAGGGTGGTTAATGGAGACAATATATTTACAATGTTCTAATGTTCATGCGTCTGTGTTCATGCCCGTGAGTGCCACATACGAAAACCATGGTGAACACAAGCATATTGCCAAGGCACTTGTCCAGCCTCTGGGTTGAAGTACCCGCGAAAGGTATGTCTTATTCTTTGGAACTTAACTGATGCCCGGTTGCAAATTTTATTAGCAAATATGCACGTCTTTTTGCATCTCACCAGGTGTGTGTAGGAAAAGCGTAAGCCGGATATTTCGCATTTTCGTGCTGCTTTTTCACGTTGCTTCGCTAATTCACAGGTGTGTAATGACCTTTACACTGGTGCTGTAACATTTCACCATGCACAAATCCTGAATCCCTGTTACTGGTAAGAAGGAAAAGAAAAACGAAAACAGTTACAAATACAATGCATGGAAAAAGTATAACAGAGGGCCATTGCTAATCAGGTTAACTTTGACAGGATTAACTGATAAACTGCAAACAACTTTTTTTTTTTAAATGATTAAGGGTTAACTTTGTCATATTTTTGATGAATGTATTGGTGCTCACTTCAGGGAACTTTCCATATAAACTGTTTATGATGGTTACTGAGATAAAGTTCACTCTTTTTCTCTTTCTCATGATGTTAATATCAGTAAAAACTCACTGAAGAGACTCTTTCCAGACTCTGATCTGTTATCAGACATCAGCTGGGACCTGCAAATAGTCTTATGAGAAGGTTTGACCACGTCAACACTGAACTGCTGGATAAAGCCCCAAATTTACAGCAAGAGTGAACATGTCCAAATCCTGGAACAAAGACCAGGTCAACTAGGACCACTTTGTCAAAAAGAATCATGTTCATACACTAAGTCATGTTTGCTAGAATGAATGGCCCTGGTCTGAGGGGCCCTTCCACCCGTGTATGTGACAGCATAAAAAGAAGGAGATGGGCAGGAAGCAGGCAGAGCTGTAGCTGATAGGGCTGTTATTAACATTAGCTGATATCATATGGACTAAGCTTGGCTAGCCTAAACCAAATATGCTGAATTTTTGGTCCCTATAGCTCATTCCTGACAAGTATGCAGGCTGGACTTCTGTAAAGCTCATTTGTTCATGTTAGAAAAAAGATGAAAGGTAAGTCTGACAGAGAGTGCATGTGTGTAGTTCTTAGCCAGGTAGGTGTGCCCTCTCTGTCTGTCATCAAAGAGTGACTGTGGGTAAGAGTCAGCATGACCAATATAGCCCCCACCATCTTTGGGCATCATAACACCTCCCCAGGAGCCACTGTGGGGCATTGCTGAGTGTTACCTGAGCCAAGCATCCTCAGAGATGAGCGGTCATACTTCTTCACCCAGCTCTCATCATACTTCAGAAGCAGACGCAGAGCTGTGGGAGCGCCATAAAACTGAGTAATCCTCAGGCGCTCCACCATTTCCCAGTACCTACCTGAAGGATCACACACACACACACACACACACACACAAAACGTTAAACAATACCAGTTACCTGGTATTTAACCAGACTAAAATAATAACTGATGCCTCTTTATGATCTAAAATGGTACTAGATCTTTCCCTCTGTGTTACTGTAGGAGATGTCTTTCTCAAATTGATAGCTGTGATAAAACCCACAGCATTTACTTCAGGTGTGATTTTGACTCTTCACCTGTATAGAGTGAACTTTGAATATTTTGGCAGCACTTTGTTCCATCAGACAAGATGTAACTTTTATGTCACAAGTCTAGTCAAAGACCCACTCTGATGAAAACCATGTTTTTCTTGTTGTCTAAATGTTCATACGGCATTTTTCAAAAGTTGCAGGACATATCATGAGAAAACTAAGTGCAAAATTGCATTTCTGAGTATTTCTTCATTCAAATCACTTTGAACCTCTTGCAGACCCAAACAGCAAGTTCAGAGACAGTGAGATTTTCTACGTCACAACTACAAGCTCCACCCCCAGAGCCCCGCTTTGCAGGCCAGACTCAGAGAAGAAGAGAGGATGAAAGCAGAACAAGCGTGTGCGTTAGTGGATTGCAATGCTTGTAAGAAAACTAATTATGACATTAGCTTTCACCATGCCCTCAAAGACATTAACGTCTGAGAGCTGAACAGCTCTTGTATTACCTACCACTTCTACTACTCCGGCAATGTTAGGCTACAGGCTAGCATGAAGAGGAGTGTGCAGAGCAGCGCTGTCTCTGCCCACGCAACAAGGGTCCTCAAATCTGCTGGCCCACGACTCAGGCCCAAACTACACGTATATAGATATTTATTTATCAGGATATTTTTGTACTCCCGTCTAAATAAATGTATCTGTCCACACGTGTTAGTTCTCAAAAATATCTGCGTCCACACGTAGCCTTCAAACTCAATCCTATCTGGTGCTGCTTAAAAAAAATTCAGGAACAAAGCTACCTGATTGGCCGATGAATCGTAACAGCGTGATGCGTCATGCATTGTTTGCGGAAGCTACGCTAGTGCGTCGGGTCCATGTGACGGACCATGTGACCAATAAAAGTATTGGGCGCAGCAGACGCCTCTGTGAGCTGGCTGACTGGTGGATGTAATTGTATAAAACAAGGTTCACTTGCAAGGCTGACATTAGCCCCAAAAGGGCAAAACAAATGTAAAGAATACCCTGTCTGTCCGCCATCGTTGTTGTTGTTTTTCTTTTTAATTCGCATGCGCGAGCTGCGGTTTGACGTCATCGATCCGTAAAAGTCCAACCACATGAATCGACTACGGATACGGGATCCACTTGTTGTTTCGTATTCAGATTTATCCGGTTTGAGTGTTCCAAACTCCCGTTTTGGTGTGGTAGGGAGGCCTAATCGGACATAAATATGTGCGGTTCGAAATATATCCGCATTCGTGTAGTTCGGGCCTCAGAGGTGAATTGCTAATGAGCTACTGGAGCTCTGCAGAAGAAAAGTCCTTGAAAATGACACAGGTAAGGTGATTTTAACTAAAAACTTCATAATCACAGTTGAAAGACCACTGAGAACACTTTAAGTAGTAAAAAAAAATTAATCCAAGTGGGACTTTTAAGACAATTTTTGGTATGAAATATCTTTGAACTTTACTGAACACATTAAATGATGCTGATTAAAATGGAGATGGTATTTTCTGACCAGTTCTTGACCAGGAAACATTAAGAGCAAATTTGAAGTGATTCATAGATGATTTAACTTATTAAGAGTCAATATTAAGGGGCAGAAGAAAAAAGTTTGGGAAAAAGATCTGAGTAACCCATTGTCGTGATTTCAGTTTGTTATAGGCCCTACTTTAACATTTTTAAAGAAATGCTTGCTGATCTTTGGAGTAGGACTGCAGTCATTAAAGAGCATACAAGAGGTAAACAGAGTCTTTGTTATTCATCCTCATCAGTCTCCCCTCTTTGATATCACCTTTAAAACTGCCAGTTAACCAACCAATGAGCTTAAAGAGGTCAAGGGTTGAAGGAGACATCACAAGGACAAAAAGGTCACATCCCAATGAAGAGACTTTCTGTTGTGTTGTGTCCTGTGAACACCAGCCAATCAGAGCTCTGAGGAAACAAGGAAGTGAAATCTACAAGGTGGGATAAACACCTGTGAGTCTACACCAGAAGGTAATAAACCCACAATAACAATATGAATCAGTAACAAAACACTGGAACAACCTATCATTACACCCGCAATGCTTCAAAGACCTCAGAGCAGGTGAAAACCTGATCACATGCACTGATCTGAACTCTCACCTGAGAGGAGGAAACTGATAAATTATCAGACTAGTTGTTCACAGGCAGAGACAGGTACAGTCACATCTTTGGACAGGAGGTGGAGAGGAGTCTGCTGTCAGTTCACCAACATAAAAAGTATCATTATAAAACTGTGAAACAACTTTTCCAAAGAGTTTTTACTGGAATGAGGAGGGTCAAAGGTCAGGTTTTTGCCCCCAGCCTGACAGCTATGCTCTCAGGGGTGGCCCTCGCAGGTTGCTCTGGATGAAGCACATCTTGTTAGTGTTGAATCAGCTTCATAAGTCATCAGTCTGGTGAGGGATCAGGGGAATGATGGTGACGAATGATCAGATGTTGATAATAAGAAAACCATAATCTGTTCAGCTAATTAATACAATTCTTGGTTCAGTTTATTCATACCTGCAGAATATCTTTGTGGGCAATCTTTAAATTAATCAGTATGAGTTTCTGTATTTCAACTTGTCTTTTGAGATGGGAAAGCTGGGCTTCTGATTGGACGTATACAGGCCAGCTGATTGCAGGTACCTCCTCTGATTGGTCTGTAGACCCAAACTAAGATGGCAGCCTCTGCTTGTCCAGAGCAAACATCAGGGGTGATAGTCTCAGATTACCTTTGCTTTTCAAGGATTGGATCTTTAAAACACTCTGAACAGTTCTGGTTGTCATGGTCTCATAAACAGAGAGAATTTTAGAGTGTATTGTAGAGTGCTGAGTAGTGAGCACAACAATAACATGTCCTGTCTTCCCAAACCAACAAAACAAATGTGAGGCAGTCTGTGTGCTCTGTGGTTTAGTTGCAATCCAGTGGGAGGTGCAGAGAGGTGAGGGTGTTTATCTCTATCTGAAGTTTGAGTTTGACTGAGGCGAATACATGGAAGAGAAAGTATGAAATGTCAGACTATCAGAAGTTAAATTTAGAGTGACTTCACTCCAACTTGTTAACATGTATTTTAAAAGCTTAGTTTCAGTCAGACTATCACACTAAATTATTTTCAAACATAAATGTAATGAGTGTGTGGACACAGCATGAAGTGGTCTTGAACATTCACACTTAGCAAGTAAGCAAAGTATTTAAGTTGAGGGAGCAAAGCTAATATCAGCATGTCCCACTGTGAAGGACGTGTTCGAGGGAAAGTCCAGAAAAATGTCAGGTTGTCTGAAAAATTTCTGGAGTTCATTTGTGAAAAAGGCGCTGTGACAGCTTTAAAACAGGACCAACTTAAACTCCACCTCCTGTACAGCTCTGTTTGTGTCACTGACACAGTTTCCCCTAAGAGTTATTATAGAACAGCAGCTCTGCATTCCTATTGGCTGTGAGAGAACTGAAGCTTGTGAAGGTGTGCGTTCTTTCTAACCTGGGTTTGGGTAAACAGGGGTGCTCTCAAACAGGACGGTGGTGGCGCCGTTACAGAGAGGCCCGTATACAATGTAACTGTGTCCCGCTATCCAGCCGACGTCTCCCACACAGCCAAACACGTCACCATCCCGACAGTCAAACACATACTGTGGAAATCACACAGAGACATGAGGGATGGAGTTGGAGTCAGGGTCAGCTGCTGATTGTCCTGAGGACTCCTTTGTGGCACTTGCTGGCCTCCATATACTGGCTCCACCAGATAATCGAGCTGATCACCTGCACCTGTGGGCAGTCTATAAAAGCCAAGGGAGACTCTTCCACACTCTCTCTCTCAGCCTGCAGCCAGACCAGACATGCTGTCCCAGCTCCCATACCTTCCATTGTTTTTCACATTTTGAAGAAAACTTTGAGTTGTTTCAACTCCCTTATGTTGCTTCCCCTGAGCAAGGGTCGTAACAAATATAAACAAACATGTTTTTAGCCTGGTTCAAAAAGGGTTTCAGTTTGAAGAGCTCATTTCTCTCTCTGCATTCAGGTTACAGGTTCAGCAAAATAGGGTGCACAGCTGACTCGACAGACAGGTGGGCAGGCTGAGTCAGTATTTTCAGGCCCTGGATACATGTGTGGATATGTTTGTGAATATATTTTATCTCTGCATTTCCACCTCTTGTTCACAGGTAAACCCAGTTTTGGAAACACTGACACACTTGCACTTGGCAATTGTTGCTGACATGTACATACAGCAAGATGGTGATTTCTGATTTGTATAAGTCTGCTACATACTGTGAAGTTTACATAAAGGTTTACGGGGAAACCTTGACGCTCTTCATCAGTGTTCACTATGAAGCATGGGGGCAAATATATACACCACACTTAATAAGACCTCTGTTGCCTTTCTTACTCAAGAGGATGTTCTACACTTGTGTCCAATGTTGGTCTGCAGTGTTTTACATGATACTGATTCCACAGTATCACCACTTACTGGTCCAATAAATGGTTTTATCAACAGTTCCTGCATCATTTTTTGGACAGAGAAATATTCAGAGATCTTTTGTGTGGGCAGGATTTTCTTGAGGAAAAAAGGCAAATTTTGAAAATATCTGGTTCCACTGATGTGTGGATGTGTGGCACTTAGCAAACCCCCCCCCCGGCCTGCACCCAGTGGTCCTTGTCTTCTTCAGATAAAGCAGCTTTTGTTTTGTTTTTTCATCCAAACAAGTCTCGAGCCAACCCCCTTAAACCCTGAACCAATAAGCTGCTTTAGAAATTAGCACTGATAAATATTTGGTAAGGATGGAGCTGGGAGGTTATTATGGTTTATGTTTATATTCAGTTATCATCATAAACATCATGTCAATCCCTGCAAACACACATGCAGAGAAAGCAGACGTTTTTGCATGTCAATCAGAAAAAAAAGCTAATTTGAAGCTTTGGGGCAGATTTGGCTGCAGGGCTACATGCTGCTCACGCTACTCTGAGGACAAACAGCAGCGTTTGTGTTCAGCCCACTGCTTCCCATTGTCTTCACTTGCCCATGAAAACCCTGAAGCATAGAGACGAGCAGCTCCAGTGTTAAACAGGGACGTTCATAAGGAGGTGACTGAGTTAAACCCTCACTGAGACTCATTTATCACATCACATTCAATTCTCTCAAAACTTCACTCTGACATTTAGAAATCCAATTATGCTCAGTCTTCATTAACACAGCAGTACCTGGTGTGTTAGAGAGGTGTAGAGCAGGTATCCAGCCTGTGTGTGGACGATGCCTTTAGGTTTCCCCGTACTACCTGACGTGTAGAGAAGAAACAGCAGATCCTCACTATCCAGGGGCTCTGGGGGACAGACGGCAGGCTGACAGGACATCGCCTGCACAACACAAGACTGTTATGATAATACTACTACAATAACTACTTCTACAGCTACTAACAGGGCAGACTGAAGGCTAACCAGGCTGTAAAATGTATGGTTATACTACTACTTTTACTTCGACTACTATTACAGCAACAGACTGAAGGGATGTCACCTGAAAGATACAACTATTGTATTGATAAAAACAACTAGTACTTCTAATATCACTGCAACAGGATAGCTGCAGGCTGCTCGGACACCACGTGCAGGACACAGCATCAAATAGTTCTGATTATACTACTACTGCTACTACTTCTAAGCTTAGTACAACTACCACTGCAGTGTAGACAGTCCTGTGAAAAAAAAACATGTTCCTGAACATGAACATGAAACATGTTCCTGAACAATAATACATTTTTACACTTTTCATGGAACAATTCAATTGTGATACACTGTCTTTACACCCTTTTCAATTCAAAGTAGTCTTTCAATGATTTTCAAACCAACACTTTTTACTACAATAAGTTTACACAGTGTCCCAATGGTTTTAGGACTGACAAATCAGTGAGGACATTGCCTAAAAGATACAAAAATGACACATTAATACTAGTCTTATACTGTACAGCTTATACTGTTATTTAACTGTCATTGTGTTTATATCAAGTACTACTCAACTTCAGAATCATCCACATAAAAAGATAAAAATGAAAAGGTACTAAAATATAATATAATGTATAGTACTACAAGTTTCACTGCTTAAGACTGACAGGGGTTAACCTGGGAGAGATACAAACAGACAACTATGATTAATATTACTACTACTGCTACCAGAGCCTCAACTGACACTTGTTCTTCTCATACAACTTCTACTCATACTAATACTACTCAGAAAGATACCAGGCTGACAGCACATTGTCTGAAAGATGGAGCATGCTAAGTTGCAATACCTCTACAACTGAACTTACAACTGAAGCTACCAGTCAGGTATTACCTGCAAGACATTGTGTGTACTATGAACTGGTTGTGTGTGTGTGTGTGTGTGTGTGTGTGTGTGTGTGTGTGTGTGTGTGTGTGTGTGTGTGTGTGTGTGTGTGTGTGTGTGTGTGTGTGTGTGTGTCTGTGTCAACTATGAAAGTGATTTGTGTACAGTGAATTTAAACCATAGACTTTATATACTATGGAAAACTTGGCTCCGCCTTCCACCATTATATGAATTTGAAGCTGTATTGCTCTCAGTATTTCCGGGATTTTCTCCACTTCCTGGAACCACCACTTACGCAGTAGCGTTGTTCGCATTCAGCGGGAGAGCCACCGTGCTCAAACAGCGTATCCCCCTGGGTGAGCTACACAATCTTCATACACCCATAGGCTGTATCAAGTGTCAATCATAGAAAACATGAACCCCCTAATGACTTTTTAAAATGGAGTTGTACAGAAAAAAGAGGACTTGAGCACAAACCAGTCTTACAGTAACTACATGTCAACATTGCAAGCAGGGGGGACAAAATGTATGTTCTTTGTAATTAACTTCTAAAGTTTGTCCACAGCTCCATAGGGATTGCTGGAGGAGGCAGGATTTATGACCTATACTGCAGCCTGTCACCAAAGGGTGCTGTTCTCAGCGTGGCTTCACCCAATAAGGAGGCAGACGGCGTCCATTTTATTTACAGTCTATGATTTAAACCCTTAATCAGAACCTAGATGACCAGCTTCTTGAATCAGGTGTGTAACTCAAGTGTGTGTGTGTGTGTGTGTGTGTGTGTGTGTGTGTGTGTGTGTGTGTGTGTGTGTGTGTGTGTGTGTGTGTGTGTGTGTGTGCATGCGTGCGTAGGTGCGTGTGTGTGTGTGTGTGTGTTAGACATTTATTCACCTTCTCCAGGGTGACAACCAGCTCCCCCATGACAGCAAGTGTCTCTGTCCTCTGAGAAACGAACACATGTTGGACAGTTGGACACCTCTTTACTGCAGCATCCACGGTCTGCTTTAGAGGAACACGCTGCCCACCCTGCACACTTTCATTACAGGTGACCACAGCTTTACACTGAGCTGTGGACACACACACACACACACACACACACACACACACACACACACACACACCTGAGTTGTTCATGCGCACTGTGGCCTTTCCACCATGCCTTTACATGGGTCATCTTATCTCTCTGACAGCTGACAGCTCTCCCACATATCCCCGCACATTAACTTCTGTCAACCTCTGCAGTACCCCGTCATTCAGATTATTCTAACAAAAACCTACTCAAACACTCCTGTTGGTCTGGGGTTAAAATGAATGGGCTTTTAATTCCTAAAGAGAGTGTGCATCTACACTAATGTCAGTGTTTGGATTAGAGTCTGGTAAAATGATATATTTACTGCAGTTCCCATTGGGTCCAGTAGAGGCTGCCCAAAGATATGTCTGACTCTGTCAAGATAAATAAAAACCCTGTCCTGTACTATTAAACAAATTCAGACCTCTGTGCACATTGACTCACCATCCTGGATCCTGCCTGCCAGAGCCTCTGAGCTGAGACCTGCAAACACCACAGTGTGCACTGCTCCAATGCGGGCACACGCCAACATGGCCGCCACTGCCAGTGGTGACACAGGCATGTAAATGGCAACTCTGTCCCCCTTCTGGATCCCATGGCTCTTCAGGGTGTTGGCGAGACGGCATGTTGTGTGCAGCAACTCTCTGTGGACCGATGGTGAAGGTCATGATGATAGAATAGGTTGTTGATAATTCAGCTCCCTTGTCTATCAGTCAGATTTGACTGCCTGTATTCTTTTTCTCCCGCTGTCTCATCTTTTTGTTTTGGTCCTTCCAGCTTGATAAGTTCATGTTTTAACATCTTTTAAATCAAATTTTTTTCGTCGTCTTCAATAAATTTGTCACAGCTAAATGAAATAAGAAACAATTGTGTGTAAACGCAGCCCTGACTCACTGGTGTGCAAGACAAGATCTGCTAGATACTAGAATAAGCTGAATAAGATGAGCCCATCTCAAACAGTTCTGGCTTTCACTGTGAAGTCTATCTCAAGCTGAACTGATCCTTTGATTAGACCTTTACAGGTCAAGAGTTTGTAGATACAGCCTCTGATTGGTCAACAAACCGAATCAAAGATGGCACCCTCTGTTAAGCAGAGTCAAATAATAGAAAAAATAACACAATTTCACAAAATAATAACCCAAAAATCACCCCGGAATTTCTTCATCATTGAGAGATTGAGTCCAGGCAGTTTCTAAAAAAATATTCTGATCTTCTCTGTGGGATAGAAAAGCTGTTGGGTGCCAAAGAAAATTCAAGTGTTTATCGTCAGAAAGCTTGTTTTTCATTTATGTCAAAACAGTCTCCAGCGTTTATAGCCATCACTTTATTTCTTGTTCTATTTTATTTATTTTTTTAACTGTCCTTTTAAGCTTTTTTCATGAGTCAGTATTTCAAAGACGTCAGTGTTAGCCTGACATCATCAGACCAGTTCACCTTGACAAATAGGTTGAGAGGTGATAATCTGGTTTTCTTTTTCTGGGAGGGGTATGAAATGGTTGCATGTCGAAGTCCTTCTGTGGGGGACTGGACAGAGCAGTGCAGTGTGAAACAGCTCCAAATAGCACTAAATCAAACGCACCTGTCTCCCCGATGAAGGATGTAAGTGAAGCCCTTTGTTCTTGACTTGCTGAAAAACATCATTCTGTTTGTTTGAATCATCAGTGGAGACTCAGGGTCCTGCAGCAGAGGCTGTCACCTTGGCTGCTTATGAAAAGACTGCGATGTGGTGCTCCTGTGTTGTCATTTTATAAAATTTCTAAATGAAGGACTGTGACTCGTCTGGTCCATCTAAAATCCAGAGTATTGTTCAGGTTAACAGTGAGTCTAGACCATAGACGGTACATACTACAGACAACTTGGCTCTGCCTCTCGTCATTATACGAATTTGAAGCTGAATTGCTCTCATTATTTCTTCCACTTTCTGGAACCACCACTTATGCAGTAGCATTGTACCGTTTAAGCGGGAGAGACGCCAAAAGTCGCTGTGATGATGCTCAGCTCAAACAGCGTATCCCCTTGGTGAGCTACACAATCTCCATACGCCCACAGGCTGTATCAAGTGTCAATCATAGAAAACATGAACCCCCTGATAACTTTTAAAAATGGAGCTGCACAGTAAAAAGAGGACTTGAGCACAAACCAGTCTTTCAGTAATTACATGTCAACATCGCAAGCGGGGGGGGAGAAAAATGTATATTCTGTGTAATAAATTTCTTAAGTTTGTCCTCAGCTCCATAGGGATTGCTGGAGGAGGCGGATTTATGACCTATACTGCAGCCCATCACCAGAGGGTGCTGTTCTCACAGTGGCTTCACCCAGTGAGGAGGCAGACGGCGTCTACTCTATATATAATCTATGGTTCAAAACTACCTGCCAGTTAAAATGGATATGAGCTGGTTGGTGGGTCTGACAACACCAGGATAAGCTAAGGACTTTATTTAGCTTCAGACATACCTTTTATCAGGACCAGGGGAATATAGGATACAGTCTTGTAGTTTATTTTGGAGTCTATTTCATTAAAAATCTGAGGCTGCTGTAAAAAACCTCCTCTATTGCAGTCCCAGTGTGCTCATCTATATGATTTGAGGATTTCAGTGTTAGTTGTCTGCTCTGCTTTCTGACGGAGGTTAACAGGGTGATTGAATTAGGACAAAGACCCTGTGTACATAGAGGAGATGACTTTAGAAAGTAGCATATACAAATAAGATATAGATCAGTGTCTACTGCATAAAGGGAGATACAGCTAACAAAATACAAATGATAATAGTGATGTTAGATTATGGACTGAGGGAGGGCAGTAGGTATTTATAACTGACTTTTACCTGCGATCACATCAGGTGTTTTCAGCTGTATTTACCTGTAGGTCACCTTCACCTCAGTGCCAGTCTTTGATTGTGTTTAAGCACCGAGCTCTAGATGAGGATGCAGTTTCTCTCAGCTGCTTACAGGAACTATAAAGACTCTGTGAACTGAGCTGTTCCTGCCTGCATGTCGAGAATAAAATGAGGCTTCTGGTCAATAAATAAAGTCAGTAAATCAGCCTGTTTTTTTTTTGTTTTTTTTCATACTAAGAAGAAATGACCCCTTTTTCCTGTCCTTTTACAGAGTCCCATAAACACACATTATCATGTTAGTGGTGTTGAAACTGGCACATGATCCTGATGGAAACTTCATTTAAGTCCTGATTGAAAATTAATCCTAAAATGGATTTAGAGCTGAACATCCTGTTTAGTGTCTCACGCAGCAGATTTATAAAGTAATTTATGTAACAAGAGAAAATCAGATCAGATCAGATACAATTCAAGTAATCCAGCCCTCTTTATTGAAATATTATTGGATTATTATCAAAGATAGAGAAACAACAGTGAAGGATAAAGACACATCACAATCACTGCAGAGACTGGACACATCAGCTGCCTCTACATTTACTCTGTCAGCCTCTGTATGCTCACCATCTACCCCTAAAAACATGTTGAAAGTATACCGATATAAACCTGGAGTGAAAATGTCCATATTTGCAGCAGAAATAGACACATTTACAGCCCACAAAGATTTTAAACATTGACTAATTCATATCAGGGAAATGAAGGCACTTCTCCTTCAAAGCTAATTACTTGCAGCTAAATGAATGAACTATAATTAAGGGATGCTCATTTTAATGCGAAGCCACCAGCTTTTGTCTGATATAAGATGTGTTGACCATGAGAAATTTACAAGAGAAAAGTGTGACAACCAACCCGTCTCCTCTACACCAGTGAAAGACAGAGGTCCATACAGCTGTGACAGTCGCCCTGTCTTTTCTTGGCATCAAAATGAAGTTTGTCCACATGACTGCTCCTCTTTTCTCTCAGGAACTGACATTTTGTCGTGTTACTCAGAGACAGAGAGCACAGTCAGAGTTGTGAGTCCGTCTGGAGTAGATCAGTCATTTGTACTGCACAGATTAGTTCTGACTGGATTCCCCCCAGCCCCCCCTCCACTCACTTCTGCTAAGCATTTGTCCTTGTGTATCAGTTGTTATTTAGCTATCGTCTCATTTTCAGCTAAGAAAAGGAGGATGACAAAAACTTTGACTTCAGCGTGTCATTGACTGCAGGGTGAGGCGGAGACCGCCTTCTGTGTAGAAATAACAGGCTCCTTCAAAATGAAGTGAACAGGGTTTTATATCCTGGTGATTACACTCCTTAAAGAATATTATAGCCCACCTCTGTCTAGTCTGCTCAGCTAAATGCTAATAAATACACAGTTTAAATCATACAGTTACTGAATGTAACCCACACCAAGAGCAATTTTGTTACAATTGTGTTGTACTATTTTTCAAAATATCAAAATGATTTTCATATAGTATATTTCTCTTGTAATCTGTGATGTTATAATTCAGCCAAAGAATCAGAATACTTCATCTCTAGCCCAATGCAGGACATTCGTCTTTTTTCTCATAATAGAGACTTTTGGTTTCATATTAACCATGACTGTTCAGAAACTAAACTGAGTTTATGAACAACTTCAATAGAGTGAGAACACAAATAAAGGTTGTAAATTTCTTCAGGCTAATTACAGGATCATTACCAATAGATTACTTAAACTTTATCAATAAATGAGCTCATGGTTTGAAGGTGTGTCTAATGAGGACAGTATATAAAGATCTGGACTCTCTTCGACAGGTGGGTTTATAAATCTCAGTTATTGAAGTTGCATCAGCAGTTTATTAGTTTAATCACTTTAGTCAAACCAAGTAGCCTATTGCTGGTTTTAATCCAGACAGGTCTTCGGAGCGTCTCTTACCAGACACGTTCAGTTTTCCACCGAGGAACCAGCTGATCCTACCGCTGCGGAGGTCACAGTCCCGGACCTGATGAAACGGCTCGACCCAGCGAAGTCTGTCCACGGCAGCGGAGCCCAAGAACTGATCTGGATCAGTGACCGAGAGTCGATACAGGTCACGGTGGGACATCCGGGAGAGCCGAGAGCTCCAGGTGCTCGGCGTTTGAGGAGGGCCAGAGGACTCTCTCACTCTCTCTCTATCTCTCTCTCTCTCCCTCTCTCTCTCGCTCTCTCTCTCTCTCTCTCTCTCTCCCCCGCGTGCGCTCTCCCACTCCTTTAGGAGCTCTCAGGTGAACAGGTGTGTAAGAACTTTTATGCCGAGATGAATCACGCGACCACTGGCGTGTTTTATGTGTTAGTGGTTCTTAGCCAGGTCTTTGTAACCCCAGAGGGACTTCCTGCTTCGGCAAAGGTCAAATACAGGAATTCAAAAAAAGAGAAAATAAACTTTACAAAGGTGAGAGTGAAGTTTTACAGAATTAAAACAATGAATGTTGTCAGATATGGAGAGGTTAAAGTGCACTGTGATCACTGCACTGAAAAAAGGGACTTTTTGGTGCAGCAAACTATTAAAATTAGAGTAACTGTCATAATTAAGTGGAAATGCTGATTAAGCATTTCCACTTTCCACCATTCAGTTTTGTGCTATCTCTTACAGTTTTTCCACAATTTAGCTTTATGCACCTAATGGTTTTCAGCAAATTTTCAGGCTTTATAATGGGTGTGTATTGGAGAGGCTAGAGTGATGATTTAAAAGCTAGAGTGCAGACCTCCTCTCTGATCGACAGAACCTCGCTCGAATAAATCGCTCCCACGCCAACAAATTTCACTCAACAGCCATAAAAAATACATGAAAATGGAGGTATATGTGTCCTGCTTCTCACAAAGAGGTTTCAAATCATTAAATCGTACCCCTTGGCCAGCAGGTGACCAACTGTCCAAATAGGCGGAAATCTCTCCCATTAACCCTAATGTAATTTTTCTCCAAGAAAATCCTTACCGTCACTCAGGCTCAGACTTTTTTAACTCGCTGTTGTGGCCACATTTTTTGCAGTACAGTCATGAAAAAAACATCATTGTGTTCATGAAGGGCGGAGGATTCGCACAATGTTCTTATTATCATTCTGGGATTGAAGGAAATCACGCTATGTGAAGAAGTTCAGAGGCCCTAAATTCACTGCAGTTCAGCAGCTAGTAAGTCAGTTAATGCCTTTGATCTCACAGCTGTAAAGGATGCAATCATTAACGAGACACACACACACAGTCTGACAATGTGTGTGCGTGTGTGTCTGTGTCTAAAAGACCTGCATGTACACATAGTTAATATGTGACTGCTTCACAACCTATCTCCACCCACAAACTTTGAGCTACAGAAACCATTCTGGGCCTCAAAAATTCAGCTCATTGAGGACATTATGGGGTGTATTTAGGATTTTGTTAATTAATTGTATCAATATGTTCAGCAGAGTCGTGGGGTTCTCACAAGCTCCTTATCATGAATATATACAGAGGTTGACCATCAGGGCCTAGCTGGAGAGCCATTTCCTCAGCTTCAAGCCTCCTCTCTCCTGCTGCAGTGTTACATCTTCCTTCACCATAGCAACCAATTAGTGCACCTGGAGACACACAGCTGACTGGAAAGCTGCTTCTAACGGCCATATGAGACACATGAAACCAGGCTTAGTACACAGAGCACTGAGTGTTACATTTAAAACCCTTCACTAGAGCGCTTGCCATCTTCGGCCCCTATCTTCTCCCACAAACTTTGAGCTACAGAAACCATATAGGGCTCCAAAAATTCAGCTCATTGAGGACATTATGGGGTGTACTCAGGATTTTTATCTATTCAACTTTTCCCCACTTATAAATTGTTCTCATTATTCATGCTTTATTAAATTCTTCAGACAAATCCAAACTCATTCAAACCGATTCAAACCTTTCTGATACTTCAAACCTGTTCAATACTTTAGGACTTCTAATTATTTAAAAAATTTTCCCATTTTAAAATCATTCTCATTATTTATGTATGTTTTAATTCTTAAAACAAAATCCCAGTTCTACCACTACAATTACTACTTATATCACTTTAGTATCGTCACTTCTACCTCCACTACTCTTGCTTCTTTTTTTTTTATTACTTCTACTCTTACTTCTACCACGAGCTCTACTGCTTTGACTTCTACTTCTTCTATTCTAAAACTACTTCTACTGCTTACATGACTACTAATATCACTACTACAACTACCTACTTCTAATACTACTTCTAGTACTACAACTTAAACTTATGCCACTTCTCGCTTTTCTGTGTTTTAAGGTAATTTTCTTCCTTATCCAATTTTTTTGCAATTTCAGACAGTTTTTCTAGCCTTATTCAGCTGAATTAAATTTTGATTTATGAAGCACATTCATACTATTTGTACTTCAGCAATTTTCACTTTCATCCAACTTCTACTTCTCTTTCTCCAGCCCTTTTACATTTAAACCTTCCTCCATTTTTTTAGCAGTTTTGCATTGCTTTTTCAGCTTTCAGCACTCAGCATTTCCATGCATTTTCTGCAAGGAAATGCAATTTTTCTAGTACTGGTTTAAGTGTTCATGTTTCTGGGAAGTGAAGTTTTAACAAGGTATCATATATACGCTGATGAACAGCTCCGTTGACAAATGGGTGAAAATGAAATAAAGACTAACACAGGTATCACTGAACTTTCTGTAACTGTGTACAAATCAACACAAAATAGGTTCTGCTGTGGACTACACTGAACTAAGGAATCTACACAGGTCAGTTAAATGCAGTGGAAAGGGTAAGATGCCAGTCCTGTATCTCAAAGTCATTTAAGCATTTAAGACTTTACTAGGGCAAAACACTGACGTCTGATGTAAGTCGCTGTGATGATGCTCAGCTCAAACAGCGTATCCCCAGGTGAGCTACGCAATCCCTGAACGCCCATAGGCTGTACCAGGTGTCAATCATAGAAAACATGAACCCCCTAATAACTTTTAAAAACGGAGCTGTACAGAAAAAAAAAGGACTTGAGCACAAACCAGTCTTACAATAACTACATGTCAACATCACAAGCAGGGAGGAGAAAAAATTATGTTCTGTGTAATAAATTTCTAAAGTTTGTCCACAGTCCCTTAAGCTTTGCTGGCAGAGTCGGGATTTATGACCTGTACTGCAGCCCATCAACAGAGGGTGCTGTTCTCGGAGTGGCTTCATCCAGCGAGGAGACAGACGGTGTCCATTCTATATACAGTCTATGATTCAAACCCAAAAACAGAGATGCATTCTTTATTTTTTATTTATTTTTTTCTTACCTCAGAATCTAAATATGTCGAAGTCATGGGCTGTGTGAAACAAGGATGTAAGACCAAGGAGTAAGTAAGTAAGTAAGGAGTACCAGTGAGACAAAGGAGATGGTTGTGGATTTCCGCAGGAGGGGGACACCTCAAACAGTTCCAGTGAACATACAGGGTCTGGACATCGAGATGGTGGAGTCCTACAGATTCCTGGGTGTCCACCTCAACAACAAACTTGACTGGTCAACAAACACAGACGTTCTGTACAAGAAGGGCCAAAGTCGTCTCCACCTGCTGAGGAGACTGAGGTCCTTTGGAGTGTGCAGGACTCTGCTCAGGACTTTCTATGACTCTGTGGTAGCATCTGCACTTTTCTATGCAGTGGTCTGCTGGGGGGCAGGGAGCACCGAGAGGGACAGGAAGAGACTGAATAGACTGGTCAGGAGGGCCGGTTCTGTCCTGGACTGCTCTTTGGACTCCCTGGAGGAGGTGGGTGAGAGGAGGATGTTAACAAAGCTTGTATCCATCATGGACAATCCCTCTCACCCACTGCACCAGACTGTGGGGGCTTTAGGCAGCTCCTTCAGCAGCAGACTGAGACTCCCACCCTGCAGGACGGAGCGCTACCGCAGATCATTTCTCCCCTCTGCAATAAGACTTTACAATGAACAGTAACAAAACTGATTTTACACCACCACTTTTTTTTATGGCATTTAAATTGTGTATATTGTAGAAAGTTTTATTTTTTCTTCTCCCTTTTCTAATTTTTTTCTTAATTATTACATTTATTTAAGTTCTTAATATTAGGACCCTTATTGTTATAACTGCATTTTTGCACTTTTTGGCTTGTCTGTGATGCTGCCGTGACAAAAAAATTTCCCCCATGGGGGATCAATAAAGGAATATTCTATTCTATTCTATTCTATTCTATTCTATTCTATTCTATCTTGTCACCCTCTGGTTCTATTTTTAGAACCAGTATTTTTAGATTAGCCTATATTTCACATTCTGTTAAATCTCTTTTTCAGCCAAACATCTTTTTATTATTTATGCCGATTTAGAAAGATTTTTCAAGTTAATAAAAGCATGTAATGACTTCACTCTATGTGTGAATTAGTATAAAGTGCCATCACATGAAAATAGGCTTCTTTTTACTCAAGTGAAAAGGTATTTTGGCTCAGAGCTGATGTGATGTTTTTGTTTTTTAAAGTTCAAAATGCGATATCTTTATGGCCTTTTTGAAGCCTTATAATGGGCTTTGTCAAATAACAATGATCAACTTTAGGGGTTTTTTTAAAACAGGGGGACAAAGTGCTTTACAGATCTAGTTACTGCTCTAAAATATTAATATGATAGGAGTATATATAGACTATTTTTAGAAGCCTTCTAAAGAAAATCGACTGAATTTAACTGAAGTAAAGGCTTCAGTGGAAATTATAATGAAACACAAAGTTTCCAGTTTTTGTCTGGTTACCTAAGAGACATAGGCCTACTAAGCTATAGTTTTAAAAAAGGGGTCGTTTTGTACCGAAATAAGGAAGGTTTTTAAATTAAAATGCTTTTTAAACTCTTAAACTAGTTGACGAAAAATAACCTCCACTTTACTTCAAGAGATATTTATATTCCATTGAGATTAAAGTAAATTAAAGATAATATTAAACTTTTACATATAACCTACCAGTGTAAGGGTTTTTCTAAAGTAAACAGCATTTTAAATCTTCATGGTAACCTGTGACGATGTCAAAACTTCAAATCATTACAAGCCAAAGAGAGCGGTCATTTCTGAACATCAAATCTGAAGAGAACAGCACGAAAAACTTGTGGCTCACGAACTTACAACTTTTGACGGCTTCATCGGTAATAAAACCTCACCAGACGACTAAGAACTCGGACTAACACCTCTGACCAACACCTGAACAAAGAGGACAACATCTACGACATGGAGACCGTAAGATTTCATGACAATATTATCATACAAACTTGTGCTACTGTCGAGACTTTCGTGATGGTTAAGCGATGCATCGACAAGAATTAAATGTGTGCATAGATATTTACAGTGTTTGTGACTTAAATGTGACAGGCATTATCAAAATTAACCGAAAATAAGTGAACATAGGCGTTTTTTTGTGTGTGTTACTGTCGAGACGTTCGGATGGTCATCTTAAAAGTGATGCATTGACATCGTATGAAAGTCCTGCCCACCATGTCAAAGACTATATGTGCTTAAGAGCAGAAAAGCTCATGTTATTGTGAGAAATCTCTCTAAGAGATTTTTTATGTCTTCTGGGCTATTTAAAGCCGTCAGTCTGAAACTTATTTGACAGTTTCTTTTATACTAACCAATGCTATCAGGTGAAAACTATAAACACAAGCTAGTTTCACTCTTATTACAGCTAAAGAGGCGCATTAAAGGAGTGAAATGTAGTGTTAAAATAAGGGACGCCTTCATAACTTTAAAGAATTGTCAGTCATCATAAAATTCAACAGAATAAACTAAAAAGACATAATAGTTAGACCTATTTATAAGTGCTCTAATAGGCCTGAGTAACCAAAAGATCCTATGAATTACATTTGAACCTATTTAAAAAGTTACAAAAACAAAACTAAGTTAAAAGAAATGTCTTATGTACAGCCTTTAAAATGAAGAGTTTGATAATGTTTCACTGAAATATGTTTTCATGGATCAAGTGTGTGTGTTTTTTTACCACAATATTTAAAATTTTAAAAGTGTAATCGAAACACTGTCCTTTTGTAGAAGTCCGTTTTTTATCAAACTGAAAACAGGATTTTCTTATTTAATCCTGAAAAAGTCTTTTTCCCAATAAAATAAAATGACTGAAATAGACATACCAAAAATATAAATTCTTAATGGAGGGGGTTGCATTGATGTTAATCTATTTCTATTGCACAATTAACCTGCTGATTAGAGACTAAATTCAAATTAAAATGTATTGACTGTCTCTTCTTGATGATACTGATGTTACAGATGCTTCCTTCATGACCTTGACCACACAGTCAAATGTTACAGCTTGTTTAAATGTCTGCGTTGTTTCTGTCTTCAGACCAGCCGACGCATCACACGGACCTCGGTCCTTGTGCACAGCTTCCACTGGTCCTGTCCCAGACCGATCTTGAAGAGGGTCGCGGCAACACCCATGTCCCGTTCCAAGCCTCGCTGTGTAAGTAGGAAACTACACTGACAACATAGATAGGCCATTAGCATGCCTTCAAAACAACATACAAAACTTTTATAGTCTGTATGATTTTAATTACAGAAATATGTTTATGAATTTGTCTTTTTTAATTTTAATTTTCTTTAACTGAATTATATTCATTAATTTATTTCAAAGATGTGAAACCTTCCCCTGGAAAAATCATTTCTGCAGACTTCAGATTTTATAATTTGTCGGTTTTTCTGTCTCAGGCCCGGGTGGAGCAGTACAGCCTTGTCCAGAACCAGGATGAGTCCACTTCTAGGCTGTTACCGAGGAAGGTCCCACCGAAGGACGGCCCTCCACGTTTCTCTTCCCCCAAGCTCAAACAGGTCACTCACTCTCACTCCTCTTCTGTCTCTCCCTCTTTCTCTCCATCTTTCTCTCCCTCTCCTCCTGTCTCTCCTCCTTTCTCTCCCTCTTTTTCTGCACGCCTCAATGGGGCCCGAAGCAAAATTTGATTTTGGGGCCCTCTATTTCTGCCAGTAATATTGATTGTTGATCATTCATACACCTTCACAAATCTCTTTGATTAACCTTACATGACATGCAAACATACCTTTATCTTAACGTTTTTTCTCTTCTTCCTCTTACTCCCTCTTTCTTTTGTCTGCTTCTGAAGGATATGCCCTTTTTTGCGACGTTGTTTTGCCCCACAACTACCTGGGCTTTGGATGCTTAGTGCACATTGTACAGCAGAAGGCACATAACTGTAGCGGAGCTTTGACATATTGGCAGTAAGAATCATAGGCCTACATCAGGAGCAGCACTAAAATGTTTTTACTTTATAATAATATATACTTGATCATACAGAAAGCATCACTCATACATGCAAAAAATAAAAAATATTATTATTATTTTTAATTATTGCTCTTGGGGGGCCCCTTATTGGCCGCGGGGCCCTAAGCAGGCGTTTAGTTTGCTTATGCCTTGGGCCAACTCTGGGTAGAGCGTTCATCCAATAACTGGAAGGTTGGCGGTTTGATTCCCCCTTATCCCTAGTCTGTCCATTGTGTCCTTGGGCAAAACACTTAACCCACCGTGCTCCCAGTGTGTGTAACCTCCACTGGTGTATGATTGTGAGTGATGTTTGATGGTGGTCAGAGAGGCCATAGGTGCAATTTGGCAGCCATGGTCAGTCTGCCCCAGGACAACTGTGACTACAAGAGTAGTCAATGAGGATTGACATGCAGAAAAGGCTGGAATCAAACCCAGGCCATTCACCTCAACCATTACCTTTATGTACAAGAAGCGCGCTCAGACTGCTATAATCCCGTTGGAGCAAATTTGTTAGTATATGAGTGTGTGTCTTGTTTTTTACTCTCGGCCTGACCCCAGAATTGACCCCAGTCTCCCCTACTCTTCCTTCATGTTTAAATTGTTTCTCACTCACTCTGTCCTCTTTGTCTTCTGTTTGATGTTTGAGAAAGTTCAGTTTGGTAGCTTTAGGACTATTGTAGCTCTTTGACAGACTTTCACCACAATATTTATCCTGTTAGACAGTTATGATTGTTGGATTTATTCATTTCAGACCAATGGCTCTCAAAACAGACTCATACAGAGCTCTGCATGCTACTAACATTCATCATGGATATCAAACTCCTTTATTCACAGAGAAATGGATACAACTCTGTTATTGTCATATAAAAAATAATTTAGACGCCAAAACATGGGTCAGCTCTGAGGGCTGCTGTCATCTTTAGGTCTGCTCAGGAACTGCACCCTGAAAATCAAATCTGGATCCATCAGTTGACACTGCATATCACTGCATTTCACTTAACTGTCCCCTAAAGAAAATTTTCTTTGCAGCCAGGTAAACCATAAAAAACATAGAGACATAAAGAACACACAGCGGGGCACACAAATTAAAGGCATAAATTGATTAAAAAAAAAAAAAAAAAAAAAAAAACATTAAAAGACAACAGAGAGTAAAAACTGCCCCCAAAACTATCGATTTTGCCAAAAGAGAAAAAAGTTATACCTTTATTCAATCACACCCCAGTTCATGTACAAATAAGAGCCTCCTCTGTTGAAGCAAATAACCAAGTATGGTTAAAGACTTCAGGGTGGCAACCAGGGTGGCCAATCAGATTTCAGCTCCTCAGCTCTTCATTGATGTGTTCAGTTGTCTGTGTAAATCATTCAATATAAATGTCTCAGGTCTGACATCTATATCTAGAAAGGATAAATAAACAGATATATGCTGATGACGTTAATCTTATCCCAGAAGCATTATATCTGCATCTCAAACATTGGATCATATATCCTTTTTCTCTGGCGTTGATCTTGATGTTGTTATGTTATGTTAAGCTTTGAGCACAATAGTTGTGTAAATGTAAAGCAGTAAAGATTCTTTTGTGTTCAGATCCAGAGGCTGAGAATCAAACTAAAGCAGGTTTCTTCGTGTCCTCCTGTTTCATTAAAGCTGTTTGTTTTTAAATTGAACCCTTTAAGGAGATTAAATTAGTGCTGGCTGAACCTGCAGCTGGAGGCGGATTACTCTGGATCTATTGTTGTTGTTTGTTACTGATGATGATGATGATGGTGGTGGTGGTGGTGATGAAGATAATGATGTGAAGCATGCAGATCCACAGCTGGACACGGACCCCAGTTCAGCCATATCTAAACACCAACGCAAGGTTTACAGAGTCAGTGTTTCACAGCTGAAGTTTAGGCTCTCACTATCGTCCAGCATGGGTGTGAGTCTGATAGAGTTCTGTTTCCCAGTCAGGACCAGTGACCTCTGACCCTGACCCTCCCTTTTCCTCTCTCTTATGAGTGTGTGTGCTTGTGCATGTGTGTGTGTGTTAAACCCTTTTAATCTGCTGATCGGTCATAATTCAGATGATAAGTGGGGCTCCTATGTGTAATCCAGCAGGCCTCAGACTATTTTTCTGCAGACCAGAGGTCAGATTAAAAGATGTATACGACCCGTAATCCCACCTTTGTGTTTGTAGGATGGATTTAATCACCTTTAATGATCCTCTGTTAATCTGCTGATAGAAACAAAAACTCCATCACAACAACATCATCACATCCAAACATCCTCCACACACACTCCATCCCTATTATCCCCCTCACAACCACAATCCAACAAAGAGGCTCATAGCCTTTAAACCACTTAAATGGTAATTCTGCTGTTTTTAACCTGGGCTCTGTGTTTTTGTAAGCTTGTTTTGTTTGAAGATCATTTCATAGATTTCTTCAGCAGCTGTGTTTTCTGCATGCAAATCTATGGGATGAACTACACAAAATCATTCCTGATCTAAGCTTTTTAGTTTTTGTGCCTGACATGCTCAGGTTGTTTTTAAAGGAAGGGTAGGTAGGATCTGAGGAAGTGCCAGTTTTTGGGAGAAATCCTGAACGTAAACACTACCCCTCCAAACCAGTTCTCCCCTCAGCTCCTCCTCTCCCCTCCCTCTCCACTCCAGCAAGCCCCATCCACAAATAGACACCCAGCTCGCTCATATCGTTTCAATTAAATTCAGATACAATGCAGATAAATTCTTCAGATAATTACAAATGGAGCCCAGTCAACGTGAAAGTAAAAAGCATTGGTGCTACTGTAGATGCCAACAGACGACCAGCAAACACAATGTTCTCAGGACTTCTACAACTAGGATAAAGTGACATAGTCCAGGACCCGAGGTAAACAGTTTAGCGGCGCCACAACACGCAGCAGGTCCTGTTTGAAAAGAAACACTTCTGTTAGAGACACTTGGCTTACTTTGTCAGAGCAGTTTACCTGTTCAGCAGAAAGGTTACAGGGTCCGGAAGATCCGAAGCGTCCCCCAAATACTGCATTGATGTTGACCCGTCTGTTTAGCTCTTGTCCAGTCTACCTTCTTTATAAGCACCTGTTATTCGGCCAGTCTTCTGTATGTACTTTGTTCACTTGTTTGTGTTGGCAGTCGTGGCCAAAGGAGGATTCAGACAAATTTCCGTACTTTTTACTGTTAAAGAAATTTGGCTTACTTTGTCAGAGCAGTTTACCTGTTCAGCAGAAAGGTTACAGGATCTGGAAGATGCCAAAGTGTTCATTGATGTTGACCCGGCTGTTTAGCTCTTGTCCAGTCTAACTCCGTTTTAAGCGCCCGTTATTTAGCCAGAGTCTCTGGTACTTAATTTGTTTTCTTGCTTGTGTTGGCAGTCATGGCCAAAGGAGGATTCAGGCAATTTTCCGTACTTTCTGGTTGATTTCTACTGTCTGATATTGTAGCACACTAACTTTGTTTGGGCTCGTAAACTTTATTCGAGGACGTGGAGCGTACCTCACAACATGAGGAAGCAGCGTCTGCCTCACAACCAATCAGGTCAGGAAGGCGGATAATGGCTTTGTTTACGGCAGAAAGAGCGGGCCGCTCGAAAAATTTTAAATTTTGACTATACAGACATAAGAGAACACAGCGATATCATTATATTCCCTAATGTCATCAATAATTAATAGCTATTGGCTGATAATAAAAGCTTTTTTGTATATACACCACAAAAAAGATGCTTCTTTAACAGATTCCTGCCTGCCCTACCTTTAACTGTCTGGAAACATTACAGAGAAGATCCCTGCAGAAACAGAGCTTTTTGCTAAAGATGAAGTGAACTTCTAATTGATGGAAACTGTTATTTTGCCCAACACGAACAAAAAGTCTCAGAGTCAGTCTTTCTCAGGTTTTAGTGTTTAATCTTGATTATAGAGGTCAACAATAATGAGAAAACAAGTATAGAGTCATGGGTGCTTAAACATCAGGCAGCTTTCAAGGATAGACTGTCCGCAGCAGAGAAAACTTCAACAGGGCAAACATGCTGTCAATGCTCCAAAGATGAAAATACAGTACCTGAGGACACAGCAAACACACACAACATACAGTTTCTTGACAATGCCTATTCAGAGTCACTGTCTGTCAAAATATTGATTTTAACAACATTTGATGGTTTACAAAACATTTTAGGGGGGAAACATGTTTCAATGTTTTATGAAAAAATATCTGCTCATTTCAAAGCGTATGACACATTTCTAAAAGTTGTGACAGGATCATATTTCCCATCACGTTTTATCAGTTCCTCTGTTCCCTAAGCGAACCCAGCAGACTAAGTTCTGGAGTCTGACAGTGAAATATTGTCTCATTCTGGCCTGATAGAGGATTTCAGCTGCTCAACAGTTCAGGGTTTTCTTTGTCCTGTTTTTAGTGTCATGATGCTCCAAATGTTTTTATTGGGGGACAGTCAGGACTGCAGGCAGACCAGTTTTTCAGCAGGACTCTTCTCCTACAGAGCCATGCTGTTGTAATCCCTGTAGTCAGAATGTGGTTTGTCATTGTCTTGCTTTTTAATCATTTATTAGAAATAAAACAATACACCAAATAGTGGCAACAAGACTAGATAAAAGGATAAAAGAAATGAAAAATTTGATGTAATATTAAAAACCTTGACCAATGGAAAAGCGACAGGGGATCAGGAATAAAACACACCTGTTTGACACAAATGCATCCAGAAAGAGAGTCAGGCCTAGTGAGCAGCATCAGACCTGTGTGTCGATCAGGCGAAACTTCTCCATGTAACAGCCTAATTAATGGAGGGAAAGCTCAGTTGTAGCAGCAGATCTCTGTCTGTTTTATAATGCTGAGTATAGAGGTCAGAGGTCGGAAGTGTTGCTTTGCCTCCGCTGAGTCTGCTTCAGATGAGCTTTGGTCTGTAGGTGAGCCTTCAGGTAGGTGAGCAGGCGGAAGTGTTTCCCACAGTCTGAGCAGCTGTATGGTGTCTCCCCAGTGTGGATGCTGCGGTGTCTCATTAAGCTGGTGGCCAGGTTAAAGGTTTTGGAGCAGTGTGAGCACCTGTACGGTTTCTCCCCGGTGTGGGTGTACATGTGGTCCCTCAGCAGCTCCTTTAGACGGTAACTCTTACCACAGACGTCGCAGTGGAACGGTTTCTCCCCCGTGTGAACCCTCTGGTGGACTTTGAACTGGGACAGGTAAGAGAACTTCTTGCCGCACACGTCACAGGTGACACTGGCCTCTCTACCTGCCAGCTCATCTGTGGCAGGCTCGTGCAAGTGTTTGCTTATGATGTGGTCTTTCAGGCGGCGGTAGCGTTTACCACAGATGGAGCAGAGCTGCCTCTCTCCGGTATGGGTAATCTGGTGGCTGCGCAGGTTGCCGGCCTGGATGAAACCCTTCCCACAAACGTTACACCTGTGGGGCCGAACCCCCTGGTGCACCAGTTTGTGGCGAGTCAGGTGGCAGGCATGGTGAAAGCTCCTCCCACAGACCTCACAGGTGAACTTCTTCTCAAAGTGGGTCGTCCTGTGTGTTTTCAGCATGCTGCTGCAGGAGTAGCCTTTCCCACAGATGTCACAGTGGCAGGTTTTCTCTCTGGTGTGTCGTGCCCTCACATGCAGGTTTAGGTGAGGTTTGTGTTTAAATCTTTTCTGGCAGTATTCACAACCGTATGGCAACAAACCATGTTCCTGGATCTCATGTTCATGCAGCCTCTGGATGCCAGTGAAACACAATCCGCAAGTGGAGCACACAGGGTGTGACTTCCTCTGGTGGTCAGAGAGCCGCTCTTTGTTTGGAAAAAGCATCCCACACTGCTGACACTGGGAGAGAATTTCTGACGTCTCTGTGCTCTGAGGTTTGTTGGCGACTTTTTTATGACTGCTGCTCACTGCTGCAGAGGCGACGACAGGAGGTGGCATGGGTGGCTGAGCGTATTCATGGTCAGGAACATCAGCCTGTGGGGTAGGGGAGGAGTGCTTGCTGTGCAGTGAGGAGGATTTACATGCAGCATCAGTTTCATTTTCACCTGCAGCAGGAAATAAGAGACCATTTAGTACCAACTTAAAGGTTTGAATCTACACAATGAATCCAGGACCCCAGTCATTGTGTTCAATTAAACAGATTTGAAATCACAGCGATCAGCTTGGCTTCATCATTTTCTTTTCTCCTTTGCAAGGTTAAACTCACATTCCAAAGGATTCACAGATGTAAAAAATGTTTATGAAAACAAGAATTGATGGCTAAAAATTCATTTAAAGAAGGGTACTATGAATTATTTTTCCAAATCTATACTTCCTCTCTGAATCCTTTTTAATAGTTCAACATAATTTTCAGATCAAAACAGCCCCCTCTTTCTCACAGTGGTGTATTTAAATATTATTATTTCTGCCTACATCTGAAACGCTTTGTTTTAGCTGCCTTTTCTTTGTCCTGCTTTTGGTCTCATGATGCTTCAAATGTTTCCAATGGTCAGGACTGCAGGTAGACCAGTTCCTCAGTCCACCTTAAATGGACTCAGATCCAGAGAAGTCTCTGGTGTTCCTGGACCCTGTTTCTATCTGGTTCTTTACATGTTTCAGGTTTAACCTCATTTGTGGATGCAGTGATGAACTGTGATTGTGTGAAAAGTAATTTGGAGCACATGTAGTGATTTCCACTCTAGAGTCCAGTCTTGGTTTTGGTCCTTGTCCCTTTAGTACAGAGATTTCTCCAGATCCTCTGAATCTTTGAATGATAATACGTACTGAAGATGATGAAATCCACATATTCTTTCACACTTAAACATTATTCTAAAACTGTTGAACCATTAGCTCACACAGTCTCTTACAGAGTGGTGAAACTCTGAGAGACTCAGCCTCTCTGAATGTCCTTTTTATACTCAGTCATAGGTCTGGGCGATTATATGATCGTGATCGATGATCGTGATAAATTTCAGTTCGATCACGATGATCAGCTGTGAGCATATTTACTCGATCAATCATGGTGGAAATGTGCGTCACAACAGCCAATCAGAGTCGAGCTTTTCCTGCTTACTTCTGTAAGTTACCAGAGAAGTAAACAGAATGACCGAACACATGTCATTCATGATTTGAGTCTTCCTCAGAAGATGTTATTGTTGAGAAGTTATTCAACGCCTCTCCAAAGTGATGTCGAGCAATTAAGCCGATAAACTGGCAACAAAACGAATCTGTTCTTCCTGAGTGATTATGCGGGAAGCATGAAAATGCGAGCGGAGTCTGTACAGCCTGTCACTGCTGGCGGTACGAGTAGCATTAGCAGTTTAGTCACAACTAGTGGTGCAGCCACAGACCAAAACAGCAATCAATCATATCCATACCTGCCAACATACCCATTTTTCCCGGGACTCTCCTTTATTTCAGACCTTTCTCCCGCCCACCCCCTGTATTGTCATTTCTCCCGGGAATTTCTCGTAGCACGGTCAGCATTCATTCATGAATCGGATCGTTATATTTGTCTAAAGTTTCCAGGTTTCCAGACAACCGGAGATTGTCCTCTGTTTCTGCTGAGCCTCACAGACACTGGATTGATACTTCGACTTTACAGTTTGGGGCGATTCGGGTCCGTTTCAGCTGTAAACTATATTTAAGCAGTGTTTGTTGCAAAATAAACATTTCGCTAAAAGGAAAACAAACGAAAGATATGCGAGAGTGATGCGTTCAGGGCAGCCTCAGATAAAAGAGTGCTGTATGTCATGCACAGATGTTAAGTGAGCCTCATACGGGAGAGCATGTAAAATATACAAGGACTTTAACACTAATATTAGTGGAACATAAGTTTAAGGCATATTAGCTATTATTTTTTTATGACCATTTGTTACTGTTAAAACAAAAAAAAGTGTGCAGCTTCACTTTTACTTATTTGGATGAGCAATTTAATTACAAATACTCTCATAATTAGCTCATATTCACCATACGAGTTCACCCCAAAACTGCCCAGCGTGCGCAGCAAACAACTCCTGGATTTTATAACCCAAATGTTGAAGGGTATGCATATCATCTACGTTAACATCACCTAATGTATACATTTTAAAGCATCTTCAGTATCCCTGAGGGGGCGATTTGTTTATTTTGAGTCTTGCATACCTGCAAAAACACTCAGGACTGTAAACTAATTAACTGAGTTACTTAGTATTTATCTACATTTGTTGTACTGTTGAGTTAAAATGTTTTTTATATTTTTCTAAGTGTATCTTATTCAATTTGCTTTGTTATTTACTTTGTATGTTAATAAAATGTTGAGCTAATCTCTAGTTTCTTTAGTTTTTAGTACAGATACTTTAAAACTGGCAGTTTAAAAATAATCGTGATTGTGATAATAATAGAGATCGGACGATATGACAAAATATATTGTGATCATTTTTTTGGCCAAATCGCCCAGGCCTACTCAGTCATGTTCCCAACTTGCTGGATTTTCACAGCATTAGTTGGAACCTCTCATAACTGTTTAGAAAAATGTTTCTTTCATCTTATTTATATTACATCAAATATTTTGATTAAAACAATACCACATTTTGGTTTCAATATTTGATTTAATCTCTTTCCTAGGTTTTAAATTAATGACTGTAATCTCAGCATCTCAAACTCTTTTGGAATTGGAGTTGTAAAACCACAAAGTTTAGTTCCTGGCAACTTCCTGCCAGTTTCAGTCAGAAAAGTCTTTCTAAAATTTAGACATGGTTACTGGTTCGATGAATTGAGTCCTCACTCACCATGAGCCTCAGTTTCCACTGACAGAAGCACACTCTTGGAGCTGACAGCAGGGCTCTGTTAAACAGAAATGGGTTAGCAGGGTTCATTTTAGTCATCCTGCAGTCTGACTGTTATCATGAGTTAGTCACTGACCGTGAACACCAGGATGACGGTCTGTCCCCCAGGGGGATACTCATCCCCACCATCACCACCTGAAACACACAAAAACTGCTCTGTTAGATGGCTGGGTGTTTTCTGTCAGACGACCTCGGATTAAACAGACCGAATATCACAGCATCTCTGTAAGAGACAGGCTCACCTTCTGTCTTTAATAAACCCTCAGCTGCTGCGTGTGGATCCTTTAGGTTTTCTGGACTCTTTTCCTGCCTCAGTAAAACAAAATCAAACACCTTCAGGATCTTATCCACTGCTTCATCACACAGACTGTCCACCAGACGGCCCAGCTTCTCCTGAAAGAGGGACGTGAATCTTTAAAACTTACAGATGTTATGAGATTTTGTAGTTTAACTTCATTAAAAACCTCACTGAAACATCTCCGAGGTTTGTCTTTAGAAGGTTGTTTTGCTCATAACATGAAGTAAAGCTCATCTCTGTATGAAGACACATGAACTAGCAAGTCAAAATATAAAAGCTCATAATGCCATACCCACTAACTGTATGCAGTATGGACAATGTGGCCCCGCCTCTCGTCATTGTAAAAACGTGAAGCCACAATGCTCTGGGTATTTCCAGGAATTTCCTCCATTTCCTGAAACCGCATTTCCACAGTAGCGTTCAGCAGGAGAAACGCTGGGATGATGCTCTTCTCCGACAGCATAACCCTGGATATCCTGCGCAATCTTTTTACACCCACTGACTATTCTCAAGTGTCAGTTATTGACAATATAATGTCATATTTGTTTCTAATGACCCCTAACAACTTTTAAAAATGGAGCTACAGAAAAAAGAGGACTTGAGCACAAACCAGTCTTATGATAACTACATGATGAAATGAAAATTTTATAATACTTGTATTTAATTTTTCGAGTTTGTCCACAGCTTTGCTGGAGGAGGTGGGGTTTATGAACAATACTGCAACCAGACACTAGGGAGTGCTACTCTCGCTAAGGTTTACCCAGAGAGGGGGTAGATGTCCATTCTATACACAGTCTATGGTCCCACTCCCACCCATCACAAAAAATCTCTGTGCAGTGTGTCTAATAGAGCATCAAACCCTCAAGTGTAGGCATCGAGGTTGTGTCTGTTTTTCTGTTTGGCCTGAACACAGACAGATGCAAGGGTGACATGTACATTTGCAAATGAAGCGTTAATCTTTTCCAGCCGGGACTGCAGTAAAAAACTCTTTAAGGTGGGGCAGGATTCCGTTCAAGAAGCATCTTTTTTTGTGGCGTATACAAAAAAGCTTTTAATATCAGTCAATATCTACTAGTTATTGATGACATTTGGGAATATAATGATATCGCTGTGTTCTCTTATGTCTGTGTAATCAACATTTTACATTTTTTAAATTTTAAATCTTTCTGACTGTAAACAAAGCCATTCTCCACCTTCCTGAACCTGATTGGTAGTGAGGCAGATGCTGCTCCCCTGTGTTGTGAGGCATGTTCCACATGCTTGAATAACGTTCATCAGCCCAAACAAAGTCAGCGTGCTACAATATCGTACAGAAGAAAGCAACCAGTAAGTATGGAAAATTGTCTGAATCCTCCTTTGGCCACGACTGCCAACACAAGCAAGTAAACAAAGTAGACTCTGGCCGAATAACAGGTGCTTATAAAGAAGGTAGACCAGACAAGAGCTAAACAGACGGGTCAACATCAATGCAGCATTTGGGGAGCGCTTCGGATCTTCCGGACCCTGTAACCTTTCTGCTGAACAGGTAAACTGCTCTGACAAAGTAAGCCAAGTGTCTCTAACAGAAGTGTTTCTTGTCAAACTGGACCTGCTACGTGTTGTAGCGCCGCTAAACTGTTTATCTCGGGTCCTAGAGTATGTCACTTTATCCTAGTTGTAGAAGTCCTGAAAACATTGTGTTTGCTGGTCGTCTGTTGGCATCTACAGTAGCACCAATGCTTTTTACTTTCACGTTGACTGGGCTCCATTTGTAATCATCTGAAGTATTTATCTGCATTGTATCTGAATTTAATTGAAATAATACGAGCGAGCTGGGTGTCTATTTGTGGATGGGGCTTGCTGGAGCAGAGAGGGAGGGGAGAGGAGGAGCTGAGGGGAGAACTGGTTGGAAGGAGTAGTGTTTACATTCAAGATTTCTCCCAAAAACTGGCACTTTAGGTAAGGATTTCCTACCCACCTTTAAGCTTTATTTAAAGTTCGTAATTTTTTTGACAAACTTCTGTGCTGTGCTTATTGGCAACACGTGTATTTGCAACATTTCAGAGGAAAAATTCATCAGTGAATGTATCTTAAAATGCAAAAAGTGCAGAAATTGTCTAAGTATTTAAACAGGTTGCTTTTACACACCTGTTCTGTGAAAGATGTGAGGAGTCCCTACTACAAATTAAAGCTCCTGTGAGAAACTTTGTGTCAGTTTTGGCGCCCCCTGTGGACAAAGCAGTCGTTGCACACCTTCCCCTGTGGGTGTTGAAGTGGTGTCTTTGACTTTTGACAGTTAAATGTTCAAGTCAAATAAATATTCTGTGTGAAGATTGAAAAAAAAACAAAAAAAAACAGGACTGTTTCTTCTTCTGCTCAACTGACACCTGCCCCCTCACATCAGGCTCAGGCAGTAAAACTGAAATTGTCCATCTTTTTGATGGTCCTGTTTGCTATTGGTTATCATGAAGGACTTCAATATGAATTTTGGTCTGCTTTAACCTAAAAGAACTCCTTGTAGGGGCTACAAATGTTTGAAGAGGAAAATTAATGACTATTACCAGCCACACAGAGCAAAAAGTGCTAAAGCTGAGGAATGGCGTCTAGCTGACCTGCAGAAACTATATTTCTATCCGAATTTGTGTGGGTTTGAACCCTGGGTCGGGTCATAAATGATATTTTATAAAACTATGTTCCTCCTCCTCCAGTCTTCAATATTCTTATTTTATAAGTTTGACATTAAAGTCTAAAAAACTAACTATCTCACCTTTGAGGGAAATTCAATCTGATAACCTTGAATTAAACAGTTCTCAGCCTCCCCGGACCTGAACCACTCACCTTTTGACACTTTCACTGACAAGTCTACTTACTTAGCAGGCTACTTACATCAGTTCCGGGATTTTGATTCAACCTCGAGTTTTTCTCCGCCGCGGTAATCATCTCACTCATCACCGCTTTGACCAGGTTATTAACAAGGAGTTGAAGCTCTTTCTTAAAACTCACCAGGTCAAACATATCTACCATTTACTACAACAAACTGCCTGTTAGCTTAGTAAAGTCACTGCTAACGGCTACGCGGATAACGGAAGTGACGCGACTGTCTCCTCCAGAGGCTGTGCTCAGAGCAGGCTGTGCTTATCATGTCTTCAAAGTTCCGATTGCTCGATTCAGTCTAAGCAGGTACGTATAATTAACATAAAATAACAGAAGAAAGTCCTGTAGTTGTTTTACATTGGTGATTTTTAAAGGTAAGAAATGTTTTTATTATTATTATTTATTATTAATTTTTTTTATTATTATTATTTTTAATGAGTGACATTTTACACCCTTTTTTGGGGGGGGGGGGGGCTTGGACTGAGAGTTCTTGGACTGATGCAGACAAGTTGCCAGTTCATCACAGGGTTGACAAACTACACACAGAAATGCCGGATTCGAACTCAGGACCTTCTTGCTGTGAGGTGACGGTGCTAACCACTACACCACTGTGCCGCCCCAGATCATAGCCATATCAATATAATTATCATAAGAATAATAACAATAACAATCATAAAAACAACAAAAACTAAAAAAATAATAAAAATAACAAGAAGTATAACTACAAAAACAACAATAATACATTAATAATAATGCTGATATTTCAAGGAGAACTATTTTGCTCTCTTGCACAGGCCTGTACCAATCTAACATCAACTAACACACAGGAACTGGAACTTAACAAAAATAAAATGTGCAAAGAGTGTGATCACCACAGTCCTGTGTAAAAACTTCCACAATACACCTTGTAACCACTTTGTGAATGTGAGACTAAAAGTAAATGCATATTTTGAATATTAAGCTTAATCTGAGAGTGCTTTTTCAATGAATTTTAAACTCAGACTCATCCTTTAACAACAACAACAAATTCTGACCTTTTTCACAATGTATTTTTAGTAAGGAAATCAATTTAAGTTGTGATTGTCATATTTCTGATAAATGTATATAAAAAATCACTACATTTGATGTGATTATCACTGAAGCAGCTGCTTCAATTTTCATTTGGATGGCAGTTGTGTATTTACAGTAAGGGAACAATCATTAGACTCATACAGGACCTGCATGTAACGGAGAAAGCAACAAAACTGGAGTTTCTAAAAAGTGCAAATACTGCTGTGTTAACCAGGGATCCCTGGACATCAGTGAGTCACCAAGAAACATCTCGACAATTACTGCACCACACAGACACTGATTGGACATTAAGTACATGCGCTCTTGCGTATCTCTTCAGGTGTTATTCTTTATAATGATAAAATAATCTGTATATTTGCCAGAGTAAACATTCCCCTCTCTCAATCATGGTTTCAGACCACACTGATGTAGCAGAGCAGCTTTTAGCTAAGAAATATATTAAAGTAAAGACCATAAAGGACATTAAATTGACTTTGTTTGAGTCATAAAAAAATACACTGGTAGGAACAGCCTCATGTTGTTATGGACTAAAACAACCTGTTTAAGCTAACAAAGAAAGTTTAGACCAGTGGCGATTGCTCTAAGATTGCAAGGGAAGCTCAGCTTCCCTTAAAATGTCACCCCCCCAAAAAAAAGAAAAAATGGTGAAATACGTACTGCTGTGTGTTCATTTCATTAACTAAATACGCGCTAGAAAGCCTCCATCTTTTGTTCAGAATCAGCTTCTTATCACACTGTGATAAGAAGCCGATAATCACAGGTAACCGGCATAACTTCGTTCTCATTCATCCTCGCAGCGCCTCAGCGCTTCACACAGCCGGACGCTCAGCGTCTGCTGACTTCAATGTGGAAGCTCAAAGTGGGTTGTTCCAGCAGCGAAACTAGACGCTCATTGGATAAATGCTGGGCTTTGTCCCGCCCATCGGACGCTCAGCGTCTCTGGAGTTCTATGGCGAGAGGGCGTTCCCAACTTTCTCGCGGACGCTGAGCTTCTGCATCCATGATTGGATGTGCTGTCTGAGGCGAAATCCTTTTTTGATTGACAGCTAAATAAGCGAATCAGTGATCTTGAAGAATAAAACATCTACCAGAGCATTTTCCAAGTTATTCATTCCGTGGTTCTTAACTGCTCCGGAGACTTTACCGATCCTCAGCGACGTTTGTCTTTGTTAAAAACAACTGCCGTTGTGTTTGGCGACTCTGTTCTGTTACATACAAATAAACAAACACAAAAGGTTGTCTGACAGTGCTAACTTTAGGTATGACATAGTAATTGAAAAAATCAATTTGATATGTTTTGTTTTTGTTTTCCTCTAACATTAAAAAATAATTTTTCTTGAAAAGATTTAAAGAATTTGTGACTTTGTGGCACCGGCTTGCCCAGGGGTGAAAGTAGGAACAAAAACTGTAGTCATCAAAGCAAACAGCCCAGGTTTTATTCCAGTTCTTATTCTCATGTCACTCACCTTCTTTGCAGCCTGTTTCCTCGGCGGCATTGCCCAAAACCAAGAAAAGGGCTTAAGCTGGAATATGTTGTTTAGGGTGACCATATTCTGACTTCCGAAAAAAAGGGCGAGTACGAGCAAGTTAATTTTAAGATTTTTTCAGTCGGATCGAGTGTCTTTTACGTGCTTCTAACTCAGTAAGTCCATGTGACACAAAATCAAAATTTACGTACAAAACCACAGACATTTGAAGGATTGTATAAACGGACAAAGCCGGACAAGCCCGGACAGCCCCCCAAAAAGAGGAAATGTCTGGGTAAAAGAGGACATGGTCACCTTAATGTTGACTATCCTGCAAGTTGGTTGCATGACAGCAGGTCAAATTCAACCCGGTCAAGTTACCATGGTGATTTATTTTCTGCAGCTAGCCTGCTTCAGATCAGGCAAACAACCGGGCTAAGATTAATCCTAGTAATTCATCCGGTAGGTTCACTGTCAATCTTTTGAGAAATTAATGTGTTTTACAGCATTTCCATGGTTTTTCTACATGTGCTACATTATTTTAATTATCCTGCAGTAAAATATTACAGATATCATCATTTGTCATTTAATTTAAGTCTGTTGTCTTTTTGTAATTGCAACAGTCTTCAAATATTCATTTAAACAGTCAACTATTCATTCATGTGGTGCTGTCAATTGCTTTGCTAATCAAATCAAATCAAACTTTATTTATATAGCACTTTTCATACAAAAAGAAATGCAGCACAAAGTGCTTTACGTGTTAAAAACAACCCCCCCCCCCCCCCCCATATCCTTCCCCCCACCCCCACCGAGACCCCACCCCAGCGCACGCACACACACACACACACACACACAGATAATGCAATCTTAAAAGCGTGTGGCTGAGTACAGAGGAGCCAGGTCAGGAAACGTCAGGAGGCTGACTGCACTGGAGGCTGCTCATGGCCCAGGTGCACACCTTGTTACAGGCCAGTAATGGGCCCACAGCAGCAAGCACTGCTGCAGACCACCACCTGGCCGAGCTGAGTGCACACCACAAGGCAGAGAAATCCCAGACAGAGCCAGTCACAGCCTCCAGTGCAAGGGGCCCCCACTGAGGAAACACTGGAGAAATGGATAAAAACATAAACTACATCGGCTAAAAACATCAAACTAGATAAAATTATGAAATACTGATTAATAGCTAAAATACCATTTAAAAATAAGTAAATAAATAGAATAAACATAACATGTAAAATGAGGACTAAAATATATGAATAAAAAATAAGATAAAAATAAGACATTACTTAAAATTCAAATTAAATAGGTGGGTCTTGAGCCTGCTTTTAAAAACATGAATATTCTCTGCGGCCCTCAGATCCTCCGGCAGGCTATTCCAAAGACAGGGGCCATCGTGCTGGAAAGATGCCTCACCCAAAGTTTGTGTTCTCACTTTGGGCACTATTGAAAGGCCAGTGCCAGAGGATCTCAGGGACCGCGAGGGTTCATATTGTAAAAGCAATTCGGAAAGATAAGAAGGTCTAAGGCCCTTTAGACATTTAAAAACCATTAAAAGAACCTTAAAATCGATCTAAACCACACAGGGAGCCAATGCAGTGATTTTAAAACCGGTGTAATGTGTGCCCGCCTTCTGGTCTTCGTCAGCACACATGCTGCTGAATTTTGTAAAAGTTGTAAACTTGCAATTTTTCTTTCTGGAAGACCAGAAAGCAGGGCATTACAGTAGTAAAGACAACTGGAGATAAAAGCATGCATTAGCGTCTCTTTGTTAGCCTGGGAGAGAAAGGTAAAGACTCTGGCTATATTCTTTAAATGATAAAACCCTGTTTTCGTTATATTTTTAATATGTGGGATAAAAGTCAGCTCAGAGTCAAAGATGACGCCCAGATTCTTTACCTGATTTGATGGAATTAAGGACAGGGTTTTCAGTTTTGATAAAAGTTTCTCTCCCTAAGCCTTAGGATCGATAATTAAAACCTCAGTTTTGTCCTGGTTGAGCTGTAGGAAGTTTTCTGCCATCCAGGATTTAATGTCCAGGATACAGCTAAAAAGGGCATCAATTGGCCCTGTGTCATCAGGAGACATGGATATGTAGAGCTGTGTGTCATCAGCATAGCTGTGAAAAGTGATACCATGACTCCTGATGACATCTCCCAGTGGGAGCATATATAAATTAAATAGTATGGGGCCTAAAATTGAGCCTTGGGGCACACCACATTTAGCACCACAGTAGCACAAGGACTGTAAGCTTGTGTGAGTCCAAGTTGCACCTAAGATCATTAACAATTTCCAGTAGTCCAGTCTCTGTTCTGTGGTTTTTCCTTAATCCAGATTGAAATTTCTCCAGGATGGAATGGTTATTTAAAAAATTCAACTGAATAAAAACAAGTCTTTCTAAAATTTTACTTTAACCCTTTGATGTGCAACATGGGTCAAAAAAGACTCGGTTGAGTTTAAATTTCATATATCTTCCCAATAAATTAATTCCATCAGTTGGTACTCAAGGAATTCCTCAATTAACTTGTTTTTGATGACCCTACATCCTTATGTTAATTTTTCTTTTTTTACTTTTTGAATAAAAACCGTTTTTGTATCACTACCCCTCTATTGCACAACATGGGTCTAAAATGACCCGTATCCATTTTCAATGTTATTTCATGTATGGCTGAGTGTTTCTTCGGTATATCTTTGAAAAAAATTAATTTTATCATTTACTATTCCAAGTATGCAGTAAATATCTTGTTTTAGTTGAGCACAAATAATCATTTTTATTTTTCCTTTCTTATGTTATGAGGAAGCACAGATTTTGTATTTCTACATCAAGTTAACATACATGGGTCAGAAACGACCCACATACAGTGACTGTAGCATTTAGCATGAAAAGACATTTCACAGCACTGCACAGCTCCGTTTGACCGTCTAATACATGTAAGTATGGTTTTTCAATTGTTCTGACATTATCTTAGAAATTATTTGATGACAATTGTGAAAGATAATTGTACAAAGATTTGATTAGGTTTAGGTTACCTTGAGAGTGAGGACATTACATTACATGCAAAGAGCACAAACAACAAATAATAATTTGTGAAGCATGTAAAGATTGAGATTCAAATTTGTGTTGTCATGTGTCACATTTCACCACTTGTACTTATAGTCGTACTGATACAGTTCAGTTCAATATCCGTGTTATGTTATCAGACGCATGTGTATGTGACAAAATGACAAATAAACATGTTGCTAATACAAAATACATAAGTGTTTGGCCCCACTCACTGCTAATTTCATTACTTGAAACAAATTATTTTTATAGTATTAGGCAATTTAATTTTAAATCACACTTGGATGAATGGGTCATTTTTGACCCATGTGTGTAAACTTGATGTAATAATATAGAAACTATATTAGTTCATAAAGTATGAAAAGAAAAATAGAAATAATGATCAGTGGTGATCAAAAACAAGATATTTAAAGAATACTTGAAATATTCAATCAGAAAATAAATTGATTTCAAAAGACAGAACAAAGAAAAACTCAGCCAGCATGAAATACCATTGAAAATGAATGCGGGTCGTTTTAGACCCATGTTGCGCATTAGAGGGGGTGTGCATATGTTGTGCATCAAAGGGTTAAAATGGTAAGTTGGACACTGGTCTATAGTTATTAAGAACATTAGGATCCAAATTGTTCTTCTTCAGAAGGGGTCTCACTACTGCTGTTTTAAGGGCAGCAGGGACAGAGCCCATCTGAAGAGAACAATTCACTATATTTAAAAGCTCACCTTCAAAGAATCCATAAAACATTTTAAAAAGTGATGTGGGAATTGGGTCTAAAAGGCAGGTTGTTGGTTTCACTTTGGAGAAAACTCTACCAAGCATCTCAGCATCAACCAGGACAAAACTGTCCAGTGTTTCCTCAGGTAAAAACAAGCTTTCCACTGTATTAGAAACAGTGTTTTGAATAGATAAAATAGAGGATCGTATGAAATCAATTTTACCCCTGAAGTGGTCTGCAAAACCTTCACAAAGTATGTTTATAGGAGTGAATTGATATCTGTTAAAAACCGGGTTGATTAAAAGATCAATTGTAGCAAAGAGGATTTTAGGGTTGTTTTTTTTTTAATCAGTGATTATGTTGGTAAAATAGGTGGATTTTATTGTTGGTGGAGCTTTATTGTACATTTTCAGTCGCTCACAGTATATTTAATGATTAATTGTAATTTTATTTTTTCTCCATCTCTGCTCAGCTACCCTGCAATTTCTTTTCAATTTTTTGATTTCTTCATTTCTCCACAGGGGTGTGCGCTTAGGCAGTACCTTTTTTGTTCTCAGTGGAGCTACAAGCTCAAGTGTTGTTACAAGTTTGTTGATAAAATGTTGAACAATAAAATCACAGGATGCTGGTAGAGTAGCTGAGGGATGCTTGCTCAAGATCTCGATAAAATTTGCAGCCACTTCTGAGGTAAAATAGTATTTTCTGACAGTTCGCACCGAGGTCTCTTGCTGAATAAAACTGGTGATATTAAAAAACACACAATAATGGTCTGACACAGCCAGGTCAACAACAGAGGCTGACAGGCCATAGCTGAGGACTAGATCCAAAGTGTGTCCTCTGTTGTGAGTCGGCTGTATGACATGTTGTTTAAGTAAAATCCAAGCAACTCAGTAAATTTAAAAACTCTTTGCCATGGAGTCTGATGGATTGTCGATGTGTAAATTAAAATCACCAGATATAATAATAAAATTGTAAGTGGCATGGATTATTGCTAAAACTTCAGAAAATTCACTGATAAAAGCAGCATCATGTTTTGGTGGTCTGTGTGATGATAACAGGAATGGATGAATGGTTAATAAATACAGAGAGTCCAAGTCCAGTATTGTGTGTCAAAGGTGGAACTAAAATCATAGGAACTGGGACCAGGGGGACATCAATCAGTGGTGGAAAGGTCAGTCTGTGTAGGTTTGGGGTGATGGGAGGAAAGTGAGAGTTGAGTATGTTTGTACACCTTATGCCAGGTTGGCGGCCAGCACGCAGGTGCCAGTTCTATTAAGATGAAGACCATCCAAGCCTAAAAGATGTCTCCTCTCCCTAAAAACATCAAAGTTCAACTTTGCAATCAACTTCAGCAGGTAAGGAAGCGTCTAAGGCGGTAGCCTCCATGGTTGCCATGTAGCTGACTCAGCCAGAGTGTAAAAATTCCCAGAGTCTGATGACTAAAACCTTTTGTCCAGTAAAAGCAAAAAAGATCAAAGTAATCCTTTGCTCAGGGCACAAAGTTTTAAAAGCAATCAGAACCTTTTCAAACCAGCTAAAAGTGTCAGCTTGCAGACACTTTCACTCCTGCTCTCTGCTACAACAGATAAAATAAAATAAAAATCCATACACGGTAAAAGTTCAACTTAAAAGTCAGCAAACTCTAAAAATGCAGCCTTAAAAGTTGTTTAAAAATGGGTTCAAAAGTGGCTCACAACAGAGAGAAACGGTTGGGTGCCACACGACGGCGACACATGCGCCGTCTGCGTGTAAAAGACGACTTGATATGTTATTGCAGTTATTAATAATTACAATGCATCAAATTTTATATAGCACTTTATCAGTGACCCTCAAAGCACTTTAAGTTGAACACATCATTCATTCGCTCACACAGTCACACCTTGGTGGTGGTAAACTACCTTAGAAGTCACAGCTGCCCTGGGGCAGACTGATGGAAACGTGGCTGCCAATTTGCACCTACAGCCTCCCCGACCACCACCACACAACACTCACAATCATATACCAGTGGAGGACACACACTGGGAGCAAGTTGTGTAAAGTGTCTTGCCCAAGGACACAACAAACAAGCTAGGGATAGGATGAGGATGGAACCTCCAACCTTCCAGTTATTGGAAAACCGCTCTACCTCCTGAGCTACTATCACCCTTATTGATTTAAAAATGGCTGAAGTTGCAAAGGTTGTTTCAATGAAGTCTGTGACCTGGGTAATTTAGTGTATATGTCAAAATCCCATTTACTCATGTCCACCTCATAATGGCATGCCCTTTTTTGGAGGATGTACTTGATGAGGAAGGTCTTATCCTCAGATGAGCTTTTCATCATTAAAGAGTGTTCTTGGACAGGTCAGACCCATTGGCCTCTCAATGAAATTACCATTGAGACCTTTTCATTCTGGCTCGGCAATCGCGCAACCAGTTAAGCCAAGATGCACCGATTAGACTAGGTCAAACTGTTCTTACTCTCTCATCCTGGATTTCCTTATTCTACTTTTGTGCAATACCCCCAAGCTCCACACACTGTCCCAGCCTTCTATTATAAGTCTTTTTTAGGCATGAAGCTTGTTCTCTTTATTGGATCTGTAAATCATATGTAGCCCTATTAAATCCTGCAAAGTCTGATTTTTGTAAAGAGGGAAATGCTGAAGTAGTTCCAAAAAATACTTTATTTAACATCCAGCTGGACCTGCTGTTATGCAAACATACATGTGATAATGATAATAATAATAATAATAGTAATACTGAGTTGTTTAAATGTTACATTTTATTTACATTCATCCAAACAGCTTCAGCCAGGCCCTCCTGGACTATAAACCCCCAGGGATAAAACATTAAATAGTCTCTTATTTTCAGAAAAAACAACAAAGATATACAACATACCATCAGAACAAAAAATAATGAACACACACAGACATATTATTATTTACATCATCCTGAAGCTGCTTTAAATATAATGTGTCTAAAGTCAGAGTCCTCATGCTGCAGTGTCAAGTTAGCAGGTTTCCATCCTGGGAGCACAGGGAGCCAGGGAGGTTTATCTGCCCTGATCACAACAATGTGTCGAAATGCCCTTAAACGAACATTTACTAACTGCCATCACAAGTAAAACACACATACTGATATATGACTGGGCTTTGTGATTTAAAGATGCTTTAACTATAGGATCTTGATTGCAGCCATCTCCATTAAAAATTGGGGTTTACTGTGTTAGCTTGTTGAAATATTAGCATGTAGTTACCAATGATGAGCCAGTGTTAGCGCTAGCGTACTTTTGTTGTTGTACCAATTGTTGTTAGCATGTTATGGTACTATGTGCTAATGCTGCCTCGTGATCTCTAAAAGAGATAAGATGTTAATGGAACCTGGTAGTGTGAACAGGAATGTGTGTTATTATGAGGCTCACAAGGTCTGTAATTAGAAGGGATACGTTAGCTAACATTGGCTAAAGAGCAGCGTGTGTCGCATTGTTGGCACTTGTTAGTTCTTTGTTTCAGAGTGGAAAGCTCGGGATACACATTGACATTGCCTTACAGCAGTTACCACTCGCTTCATGACTTCATGAGGAGTTCCATTTGAAGGCGGCTTTTGATGCTAAAATATCAGCTAACGTGTTAGCATTCACACACCCCACAGTTTTACATGTTTGATTGCATAAAATAATTAACGATGTTACATCTCGTATCTGCTTGGCTGCTCCTGATATTCCTGACCAGAGAGCCAATAAGCTCCCTGTGCTCCCGTCATCCTTGTCCTTACTCACTTTCAGTCTATCACTTAAGTCTGCATGGCTTTCAGCTGTGTTTGTCTGACTCGCTGCCACTTTGCCGCCGAGGCGAGGAGGAGGCGGAGCTAACTGAGGCGCCAGCCTCCTCCACCTGCTGCTGCTGCTGCTGTTTGGAGGAGCTGGACAGATCGATGGCCACCTCCTCCTCCATCTCGTCCTCCTCCATCTCCAGCAGCTCCTCCTCCTTGCGCTCTGCCTGACGGGACTCACAGGGTCCACTGCTATGGCGCTCAGGAGCATCACAGAAGGAGTCGGATCGGGTGGAGTCTGACTCTGGAGGGCTGGAACACTTTTTGGACATTTCCAGAGACTTCTTGTGCATTCCTGTGAAGACAGTGTCAGATTCAGTTCAGACTGCAGGGTTCAGGTGTATCATCACACTGCCCCCCTTAATAATCTTAAAAACGACTTGTCCATTCACAGAGGCTCATTTTTTAAATTCCTCTCCAAACTTTACACACTCAACCCTAAAATATTACATCTCATAATCTCAGTAGATTGTAGGTAAGACTGAACGTTTGCTACAAAAACTGAAGCTAAGAGGTAAAAAGTGAAAAAAGACCAGTCCAGCAGGGGGCACCAGAGGAACCAACACAACCAACCTTTAAAAATTTGAACATAAGGAGGTTTTATGTCCAAGTGTTTGACAAATGTGCAAATGTACATGTGTAAATGCACATGTACTCGGTCATAATGAAGTGTACAAACTTGCTGTCACATGACCTGTTTGAATAAATTACATTAAAACCAAGATGCCCACTTTGATCAATCCCTGAACCCTAGAGACTGACAGATGGAACAGTTTAGGTTTTACAGTGTGAGCACAGCTTACTAGATTCATCCAATAACAACTAGAGTCCACACTGTCTAAACCAGAAACCAAGCAAGTCTTATCAGCAAACATAGTGGACAATTGTAAATACTAGTCAGCAGATCCTGTGCAACTCAGGGCTCCTTAAAACTGAACATGCTGCATATTAACATGTTATTTCTGAGTGAATAAAAGGAGGTATAATCACTATAACATCAATCACGCCTCAGTAAAACCTTATGAGATCAACATTTTGTCTGATGGGGACATAAGGCCCACTATCCTCTTGAATATGTAGCAGTGTGTGCCACAAAATTCAGAACATAAGTCACACCAGTACATAACAGGTTTTTGTCTGTTTTTGGTGGTCTCAAATGTTGAAACTGTGTTTCTGTGAAAGACTGCCATTGCATTCAGACAGTTACACTTTCTGTGCAACTGTGGAACTGTTTCTGCCACCATCTGTTACCGTAAACTTGCCCAGTGCCTGTGCTGCAGATTCACTGCTCACCATCAGATAACCAAAACTAGCACCACTGTCCTCTGCTGCTCACTTCTCACCTGAGCTTTATTTACAAAGTTGTGCATGCACACTGTGTCCGTCATGATATGAAGCGGTCTATTTCCTGAAGTACCATCTTCTGGGTGAAATACAGCAACACAATACAATTCCTCTCTCTGCATGTTGAATGCGTTTTGTATGGTGAATTGGTTGCATTACTTTTGAGTGTAAAAAAATGCATGTACACACAGCAGATTTCACTGTTCATTAACGCTTTGTGTTGGTGCGTGGTGAGGTGTGTATACACTGCGCATTATCAACCGTGTGTATCAATGCATGGTGTGGTGTTTGCGTGGCACTGACGTGTATGCGGCTCACCGAGCAGCCAGGGGGCACAGGATCCCATCATGCCGTTCTTGGCGGAGTTAAGGATGGACTCTGGCAGCGGGATGGAGTGTCGCACCATTGCGCCATACAGGCCGTACTCCGCCATGACGCTGCTTCGACCCCAACACTTCTCACGCTTTCTCCACTTTGCACGACGGTTCTGGAACCAAACCTGAAGAGAAAGAAATGAGTATAGACAAAATTGTACTTAAAGAAATGGGAATAAAGGATATAACTCTTTTATAGAATGACTGAGTCTCTTTAAAAAACTGTCAATTATTAGTGTTTAAAATGTAAAAAAAAAAAAAACTCTATGTAAATTACATTCTTTAATGTTTTTATTTTCTTTTTAAGCAGGAAAAAACCTTTAAACTGCATATTCACTTTAGAAAACATTCATGCATTCATATATTCTAAAGACCTCGATCGATTATCTTTATATATCAGAGTTGACATTAGATTTTACTGATAAAGACAAACAGATAGGGTCATTTTTTTCAGTAAAGATTAAATAAAGTTTGTTTTGTTTTTGTCCTCTAGAGCTTCAGTCTGTACAAATCGTCTCATAGCTCTAAATCTGTCCTGCTCCACTGAGAGTGTGATCTGACTGGTATGTCAGGAAACATTTATTTGAAAAAATGAAATAATTAAATTATTTGAGATACTGTTGTTTATTTTCGTCACTTCATCTCTTTACTGACATCTTTGTAAACCAGAGCTTTTTAGTCTGACCTCCATGAAGGATTCAGATGCTGAATAAGTTGAATTAAATATAACTGTTCATGTATCAGCTTCAGTGAAGACCTGTCAGTTAATGATCAGTCATTTGATAACTTGTGTCTTGGTCTTAATATCTCACCTGGATCCGGTCCTCGGGCAGCTCTGTCTTCATGGCAAGCATCTCCCGGGCGTACACATCTGGATAGTGGGCCTCATGGAAGGCCTTCTCCAGCTCCTCCAGCTGGTGGGATGTGAACACCGTCCTGTGGACCATAAAAAAACAGATGAGGACCATTAAAGTGACACCTGCCCTGAGAGACAAAGCAGCACCAAAGAAAACCTCTGTATTAAATGATTTTTTTTTATTTTCTGGAATATTTACAGAGTAAAATCCGTCAAATTAAATCATTGACTCTGATGATCAGCAGTGTTGCCAACTTAGCGACTCTGTCACTATATTTACCGAGTTTTCAGACCCCTCTAGTGACTAATTTTCAAAAAAGCAACTAGCAACAAATCTAGCGACTTTTGTGGTGTCATTAGAGACTTGTGGAGACTTTAACGTTAAGGCACGTATCACCTACTCTTCTCAACGAGCAGCGTGTGCTGCCGTGAGCCTCTCCCCTGTCCCACAGCACTTACAGACTGCCGACTGGTTGTTTAAAACCAAACAAAACTTTAAAAAAAAAATTTAAATTTTTAAAAATGAGTAACTTCTCCAAATTGTCTCGATTGGGTCAATTTCGCCAGTCCAAGTCCTATTGGTATTGTGACATAAAGAAATAAAGAAAAAAAACAAGAGTCGACAGAAGAAACAATTTGGCCAATTATGCAAATTAGGCGATGACATTTAGCGACTTCTAGCGACTTTTAGGACAACCAATAGCTACTTTCCCTACTGAGGAGTTGGCAACACTGCTTATCAGATCTTGTCAGAGCTCACACCAAAGATTCTGGCTTTTATGAAATTTTAAATTTCTCTTCAAAGAAAAAAGAATCTAGGAAAAAAACGGTGAAATCAGACTTAATTGTGTATTCCCACAAATATTTTTACAAATCTAAACCCCTTTAAAAAACAGTTATAACAGTTATGGGTGTAGTGGTTCCTGATCAGAATTCGGGTTTTCCTTAGTATCCCCTCAAAAGCTGAAGTCACAAATCACACTAACTTCAGTGTCTGGTGGGCTGTGTTTAATTTTTCCATCATGGTCCATTTTAAAAGTGTTTCTTTCTCACAATAAATTAAATAAAGATCAGAATAAATTAAGGTTCTCAGTTTGATAAATCAAATTTCGTTAAATGAAGCCGAGATTTTCTCTCCTGTCATTTCTTCCACGTTGATGAGTTTATAACAATCTTTTACGAGTTTGACTTAAATGAAAATAATACCAGTTTGACAGGTTACCCTTTGCTTATTTTAAAAAATAAGAAGCGAATATGGTTTGTAGAAGAATGAAGAACTGAGTAAAGTTATTTTCAAAGTTCAATAAAACTAGGGCGTGTTTGTTTTGCTCACCTGTGCCTCCTCTTCTTCCTTTTCTGGGAGTTTGTGGAGCTTTTTGAGTCGTTTCTGTCAGAGAGACACTCTTCATCTGAAACACAAACAAATAATAATCATCAATAGCTGCATGGAGCCCAGAAAAACGTTGTCCCAGTTCACACAAAGAAAACTCGGGTTTACTGTGTTTCTGCCAAATCAACCGCAATTAAGGGAAAAACATTTTTTTTAAAATACAGTAGCTATAAATGAGTGGATACTATTAGAAACATTGAAAACGGGGATCTAAAGAGCAGAGACCTACGGGGGCTTTTCACTCTGACCGGACTTTTATTTGACAATTAACTTTAAAATTTAACCCGACAGCGACACGAAACTGGACTCGGACTTTTTCACAGGAGCTATATATCAACAAAGAAAAATATCTACAGCGAGACATTTAATATTACAATAAATCATTATGAAAAACGAGATCTAAACCCAGAAAATACATTTTCAACCACTAAATCAAGTGTTTTATAAAAATATCAAACTGAATTGCTGTCTTGTTTTAACTCCATCTATTACTGTCCGACACTTTCTATCAAGTATTCGGATCAGGCTGGGCTATACTGGTCCGTGTCGTACCAGAGTACGCGTCCCTCTGGGCCTCCAGGTTCTGCAGGTAGTGGCTGTCGGCCCGGGCCTGCAGCAGCGGCAGGTGTCCCGGTAGAAAGCAGGGTCCTCCGGCGGGCTGCTGCGCCGCCAGGCTGCACAGGAAGCCGAGGCCGAGCGGCAGAGAACCTCCCGGAAAAGAAAATCCGCCGAGGCCGCCACCGGCCCCCTGCGACTCCGACCCGGGCCCCGAGCCCGTCACTGACAGTCCCGAACCTTGGGGACCGACGGGCTGCTGCCGGGACTGCAGGTCCGATTCCAGACCCAGTAAGTCTGTGATGGCGAAGCCTTTGGACCGCAACCCGGATCCGTGCAAGCGGGATTTATCGATCCCAAATCCGGGGGACAGCATCTTGACTCTGGGCTTCTCCTCGCCGACCTCCTCCCGGGCCGTCATGGTGCTCATTGGGAGATAAAGCTTGGTCCTTCAAAGTCTGTATGGGTTGAGGGTGATGGACAGACCGGGACAGTCTGGATGGAGGGCTGTATATATCCGGCCTCGGTCTCCGGAGATCAGGGCAGCAACCAATCAGAGGACACAGCTGCTCCCGCTCTCCTCCTCTCATCCCGGAGGATTAATTGGGACCAATTTTCCTTCAATCCGATCAGGATTTTCGCTGAGGGACAGCGACAGGAGGACACTTTTTCATTTGTGCTCTTTATCTCTGATCCGAAGAGCACAGTTTCAGCTCCACACTGGACCCCCAGCGGACCTCCAGGAACCACTACCAGGAGTTACATCAGAGGGAGGCTCGGGCACCGTTTTTAGCCATACTCTTCAATTCAGCGTTTTACATTAAAACACTCCCCGCCGATCTGCAGACCTTCAAACGGACTAAGAGACATAGAGAAAGTCTGCCAGGAAAGAGTCTCAGCGTGTGTGAAATAAAGGAAATTCTTTCTATTTATACAGCATGTTGTTTTCTGAGGCCGACAGAAATGTTTGAGACACTAAAATAAGAAAAAAAAAATCTAAGTTCCGGGAATGAAGAAAACCTGAATATAATCATGAATAATAAGAGGAGAAAGATATCAAAATGCAGATGTAAACATATAAGTAACTTTTTATTTCTGAATATAAATCAAACACACTCATTCAGAATATTCCACCAGCAGTTAGGATTAGGAGAATTTTTCATAGGCAAAAAGATGAAAAAGACAGAGAAATAAAAAAGAAGCTGAAAATTAAAAAGAGGTACAACGAAGAAACGACAATTCGGTGGATAAATCTGTATCCTTAGGTGATCAAAAATGATCTTTTAAAATTTAAAGTTTATTCCACTCTGATTAAAATAAAGAATAAAATGAACGAATGAGTCTAATGTCATGACGAGAAGCCGTTTAAAGATCAAACGAAGCGTTTAACAGCTATGGAGGAAACTAAAGTGTTTCATTTTCAAACTTCAATGAGATTATTTCATTTTATGATAAATTCTAAATTATTTTATTCACTAAAAATATTTGTAGAGAGTTTTTTAATTAAGTTCGTGAACAAAACAATAATGAATGAATAAAAAATAAATGAATAAGTAAATAATGTTTTAGCATGGGTCAATTTAAATGATTAAGCACCTTGAGTCTCCATTTCATTTTGTTTTGAGAGAAGAGATGAAACAGGAACATTACATCTGGACTCACCAAAATAAATATATAAATAACTAAATAACAGATTAGAGTTTAAGAAAAAAGCCTCAAATTTGCTTTAATTATCTCTGATAAGTAGATTCCTCTAATTGCTTTTTAAAACCAGTTGACCATTTTTACCTTCTTGCGCACACACACACACACACACGCACACACACACACACACACACACACACACACACACACACACACACACGCTGGCTGCCGGCCTGCAGTCAATCCTCGGGGATTAAATGTTAACTTGGCCCTAATTTTACGAACTGACTTTCATCATGAGGAGATTCATTTTCTCTAACAGCTGATTTTCACCCAGCTGCTGCTCCACAACATCCACAGCCTTAAAATAACGATTCATTGACGTTATAATATTACTACTACTACTACTACTACTACCAATAATAATAATAATAATAATAATAATAATAATAATAAATCACTGCTTTCTATTTTTATATACACTGATGTGATTTTAATAATAAATCCCTGATTTCTATACGTATGTTATGTTAATTATAGCAAATCCCTGATTTATATATCGAATAAATCTATACACTGATGTTATAATAGACAATTATGCTTTATAGACACATGTTATTTTGATCAATCACTGCTTTAGATTATATTTACACACGTTTCGATAATAAATCATGGCTTCAGAATATTTGTATCCACTGATGTCATGATAATAAATCAATACTTCTGTGTACACTGCAGTTTTAATAATAAATCACTTTTTTTATATACACTGCTGTTATAATAATAAACCACTGCTTCATGTACACCTATATTATAATAATTAATTGTTGCTTTCTATACACTTGTTATAATACTAAATCACTGCTTTATTAATTGTGGCTCCAATTTAAAGTTGTTATAAAAACTATTAAAAATTACTGCTTTAGTCAATATACTGTATTTTTATCATAACTAATCACGGCTTTTATTTATAGTGATGTTCTATTGATTATAAGTCACTGCTTTAAAATGTATTAAAGGAGTGATTGTGATTGTGATATTATAAGGTTTTTGCTCTTGAGACAAGCCTATCTCAAAAATTATACCTAATCAATCAGCAGATAATTGGACCACCTTTTTTTTCCACTTGTTGATTCTGAGCCAGAGCCATTGGTTTGCTTTTTCATTATTTGATAAATTTGTAGAAAAAAATGGTCCTGTTGGCATCATAAGTAAACACTGTGGTAAGTCATTCATTTCTGAGTGGGAGAGCTACAGATGAGTTCACATGAAAAAAATCTTTTTTTTCTGAGTCAGAGATATAAATATTGAGTCATTGAGAGAATCTTATTAATTCAAAACACATAGTTTATTCAGAATGCTATTCTTTATTCTGAGATTATGTTTTCATACAAACTGGGCAGAATAGGCCTAGATGCACAGAAAAGATATCCAGTAATTCTGGGAAAATGTTCTCCCTAGATCAGAAAAACTAAGCTGTTTTTTTAGGTGACTGCAAAATTTCACAACACCGTGTTGTAAGGGGTTAGGGTTTGGGTTGTATGAATAGGAATATGAAGTGACAAATATTGGCAACATTTTACATTGAAACACACCCTTGCTAATATAATAATGTTCTCACATGTGATTGGCTGTTAAGTAATAAAGTAATAATCTCATTATGTGATTGGCTGTATGCTGGAGAATTCTTGCCTCTTAGGAACTGATCTACTAGAGGTTTGCGTGTGCAAAAACACGTGCAAACTTGATAGCACGCAAAATTCTGGTTTAAAGAGGGCGTGACGCACCACTTTTGCACCTGTGATCATTTGCACACGCAATGATAGTAGATCACCCGCAACACGCCCACAAATAGCACATGCAATTTTTTAGTTTGCACACGCAATTCAGCGCTCGCAATTTTGGATCTGTATATCATATGATCTGATCTACCTGATCTACATATCTGTAGATCTACTAAGATCTATGCAATTTAGCGCTCGCTATTTTGGATCTGTAAGTCAGATCTGATATACCTGATCTACAGATCTGTAGAAAAGGTAGATCAACAGATTTGTAGGGCCTGATCTACAGATCCGTAGATCTACAAATCTGTGGATCTGTGGATCAACTAAGATCCAAAATAGCGAGCGCTATATTGCGTGTGCAAACAAAAAAAAATGTATGTGCTATAAGAGGGCATATTGCGGGTGATCTACTATCATTGCGTGCGCAAATGATCACAGGTGCAAAAGTGGTGCGGGCCGCCCTCTTTAAACCAAGATTTTGCGTGCGCTATTGGCCGTCACCACTGAGCGTTTGTGAGAGCACATTGTCTAAAAGCCATGGAGTTGCACATATCGTATTGGGGAACTGCATAAAAGGCAAGGCAAGTTTATTTGTATAGCACAGTTCATACACAAGACAATTCAAAGTGCTTTACAGATACAAGAAGACATACTAGAAATCAAAAAAAGGATTAAAACGATTTAAAATCAATAAGAAATAGATGTTTTTTTTCCATCTGTTCCGTGTTTGACCTCATTATTTATGAAAATCGTCATTTACTAGAAAAACGAAAGTAATCACAAGCTTTTGGACAAGGATCATGACGTGTATCATGGCACTTCTGCATCCTTCTCTCCACAATGACCTTCTGTAATGCTGTGTCAGTTTTTTTTTAATATGATTTATTTTATAACAACTGCAATATAAACACCATACATTAAGAGGGGTTAATACAAAAATTACATCTTTGGAACCTGGTACTGAAAAAAGGGCAGTTTACCTCCCACCCCCCACCCACTTCCCATCTTAGCAGAAAATAATAATGGGATAGGGTACAATAGGTACAAGCAGTAAAGACAGTGGTATTCCAAAATTAACCATGCATATCTATATATGGCCCATACAGAGACTGACATATGTGTCATCCATACCAACACACTTACAAATATTCAAACAAAATAATAATCAAACAATACTCCCGACAAAAAAAAAAAAAAAAGGTGGTGGGGATTACTGTGCTACAAGCTATTGCTTGGGGGCAGGCCAGTGGGCATTGGCAAGGCTCTTCAAACATTGAGGTCAATGTCTATCTGGAGAGATCTGACGTGGTCTAGGAAGCGTTGCCAGACTTTATAGAATTTATTTTCAGAGAAACGAAGGGAGTATTGCGGGGGGGCTAAGTGCTCTTCCATCACAACGGAATGGCACGTCTTGCTAGCAGTGTGCGAAAGGCAACAAGCTTAGCGAGATGAGGTCCAGAAAATGTGACTGAGATTGGCTGGTCTTTCGTGACATCTATCACAGTTTGGATCAGTGTCAAGATAAATACGAGAAAGCCTACTTTTCGACCAGTGAACTCTGTGGATTACCTTACACTGTAAGACTCCATGGCAAGCACAGACAGACGATGAGTGGACCCAACCCAAAGCATACACCCAAGCAGCAGGTTCTATACCCTTACCAAGCTCTGTAGACAAAGCGTCAGAGGGTGTTGTCTGATTCCTATTCTGATTGAGAATAGTATCGTACAATGTTGAAATGGAACCTTTGAGACTAGGGTTAATTTCAAGAATGGTATCGATAAGGGTAGAAAGAGGGAGGGCTGGAAAGCCAGGAAAATGAGTGCGAACAAAAGCTCTTACTTGTAAATATCTAAAAAAGTGGGTGGATTGCAAGTTGAAAGCCTGTGTTAACTGACTCAGGAAGGCAAATGTTCCATGTAATGTAAAGGTTATTTATGGATCCGATCCCCAGGTCTTTCCAGGTCAAAAATGCCTTGTCAATAACTGATGGAGTGAA